ATATATTTTCGTACATAACTATAGAAACAAGCAACACAATAAACAATTTCTAGCCTTCTGGGATTCGCGTTCATGGATTGCGAACTACCGGCAGCCATGACCTATTTACGCCTTTATGTCAATTAAAACTATACCAAATGACGTAAATTAACTACAATTGTTTAATTATTCGATTCATTAATTCTCGGATTTGTCGCCATGTTGTATTAAATAGCATGAATGGTTCATACACGGAAAATTAATGATTAAACTCATTTTAATACCTTCTTAATGAGATCCCTGTCGAAGTTTTCCCAAGAGACTATATCATGGCGTTCTTCAAAAGGGGCTAAAGAGGTCTCTGTAGGGTCGGCAACGTGCGCGTATTACCCCTAGTATTACAGGTGTTCATAGGCTACGGTGACCGCTTACCATCAGGTGAGCTGTATGTTTGTTTGCCACCTAAGAAAACCTCATGCGTTTTCTGTATGGTATACTCGATACTTATTTTTTATTAATTGATCGAAATGGAATGGTAACCCTGTTTGCGCTATTGATTCACGCTGACGGGTGATAGGTGAGGATGAAAATTAATTAACTAATGAAATTTTAAGATAAAAAAGCGTCGTCGTAGTCCTCAGAAATAGTAACGCATAAGGGATACCATCATTATATCAGCCGTTAACTGCCCATTGCTGAACATAAGCCTTCTCCTATAGGGGGTTCCTTGCCAGTAGTTGCCACGATGACAGGCGGATTGGCAACCGCAGTTAGGGTTTGGTGATATTTGAAAAGGACCATTAAGTTCCCTTAGTTGCTTCTCACGATACCCAAGGAAAGGAAGGGTGGCACATACTATGTCGGGACCACACCGCGAGAGTGTTACCAAGGGCATCGTGAATTAATTGTCGACCTGTTTTTCACACTATTTATAATCTATGGTTCTAACATCACATATGTGTAGACCTCTTTCTTAATATTATAATATTTATTTATTCATTTATTGAACCAATTAAGAATTAATAAATATAATGAGAAGTGATACAAAAGACGATCTTGACATTACCATGTAACTGTGTAACCCTGTATTTGTTAATAAAGTTTATTATTATTAAAGTTATTATATAAAACGAATAAATAAAAAAGAAAAAAGAACACATAAAAATATTACAAAAAAAAAGGAGGATTATAGTATTGCTTTAATGCACAAATACGTTTATTATTCATTTTTGTTGGTTAAAACTATAATTTCCCTTGAAACCCATACGTTATTTGATGGAAACAGTAAACATTATACCGTCAAGTCTAGGCAGTAAATATTATGGGCGCCTAGTGTATCTACTTCATACTGTTTACCTTTACGGTCGCCACTCAATGACAAGTAAGATACCTCTACAGGAGATCGGTGTAATGACCTGTAAAATGAATTCACATCGAATTAAAGTGATGTCTGAATTATAAATAATTTATAAAGTTTGAGACTTTCCATTATACCTTCCTTTCCAGTTTCAGTATCTCTCATTACCATAGGAAGACTTTGTACAAAAGTCGTTTGCTTGGGTACCTCAGTCCCATTCGTGTTTCTATCGTGAAGCAGTTGTGTTTACATGACTGTGTTTCAGCTTGAAGGGTGACACAGTTGGAAGGGTGGAAAGGAAGGATAAGGCAATGAATTTACAGGGTACAGAGCAATAACGCTTTAATCCTCAGGAATGGCAACGCATAGTGGGTATAATTGGCGAAACAGTATACTCTGTTATGTTCATGGTACTGGTTATGTCTATAGGCAACGGTTATCACTTTCCATCAGATAGGCTGTCAGCTTGTTTGTCATTCTAAGTTGCATAAAAAAATTTGAAATGAGTATACCGTATGAAAGTGTTCGTTCGCTTGTCAGAGAACTGTTGGCTGACTGTTGGGTGTTTTGGGTTTATTTAACACTCAAGGTTTCATCTAAATGTTCATAAATCTACGTATCATTTGTTTGTTTGTCACTAGTCTAGAGGACAAGCATGAAGTTAAATAAACACTCACCTAATTCTGATTATTATAATTTTGCTTGAATAAATGCGTCGTTCCCGCAATAGCCGTGTAGGTCGCGGCATAGAATAGGCCACCCCTTTCTTTTCTGTGGGTGTCGTAAGAGGCGACTAAGGGAGTTTATAGTGGAGGGATTGGTAGCAGCTTAAAACATCATCAAAAAAGCCATACTACGGTTGTCAACCCGTCTGCCAATCGTTGCAACTACTGGAAAACCCCCCTTATGGGGGAGGCTATATCGAGCAGTGGCCAGTTAATGTATCAATTTAAATGTAGAAGTTTGACAACAAAGTACAAAGTATAAAACTAGTCTAACTCGAATAGTGTATTCTTTAATGTTTATGGTTACGTACATGTCTATACACAATGGTTATATCCATTAGATAGTCGAGTTGCATAAACATCATCCTTTTTCAATAAGAGTTTTTCAATGGCAGGCTAAAAACCATAGACTAATTTTGTCAGAGCTAGGAATTTTATTGGTCACGATAAATATAGTTAAAATAATTTGGCGACAATCCAGCTTTTGTTAGATATCGTTGAGCTGGAGTATTATAGAACCAATTTACGATGTCTGTTCTTCTGTTTTACTAATTAAGGTCATATTTAAATATACTTATTATGAATGTTTATGTGGTCACTTCCTATTATTAAAATATTCTGTATTTAATGTTGTTCCGTGCTTATTTATAAACAAAGAAAATAACTGCCCAAAATAAACAGTACACGTGTTAGTGGTTTATAATAATTTGTAATCTGTAAAAATAAAAATGAATCGTTAAATGCTTTGTTAAACGCAGAATTGTAACTGTGTACCATAAAAAAACCTTACTTCAATTGTGGTAAAACTAATTATTTTGATATAAAACCTAAACTAATGAACCGATTTTGATAAAATTTCCATGGTACAGATCTGTATGTATAGCCTATGATATAATTTACCAAGTGATAAAAAAATATTTTTCCAAATCTGTTTGTAACGATAGTACGATTTATGAGATAACAAACAAAAAAAAAAACAATCGTATTGAGACCCTTTTTAAGTTGATTCAAAATTTATATTAGGGAACTTACTAGAAGCTATAGACGTAAAACAATAACTTTTAGTATTTTTTTATACCACTAAGGTGGCAAACAAGCAGACAGCCGCTTGATGGTAGGCGATTACCATAGCCTATGAACGCCTCCAATACCTGGAGTATTACACGCGTATTGTCAAACCTGATGAAACCTCTTTACACCTTTGTTTAAGAACCCCATGCTGTCTGTCTGTATGTTTGTTCCAGTATGACGAAAAGGTTACCGCACCAAATTGGATGAGCTTTTCACATTTTTATTTCTGAAGATGTAATGTAATAAATATAAATAAAAACTAGTATATATTGTATCTGAATACACCAACTAAAAGTAACCATTTTATTGATTATTTACTTCAAAAGTTTACGCATACAAAGCAGCAGACAAAAAAGGGTAGTACATTCTATAAGTATAAATATATCTGATGCCATTTGTGGCAACGATCCTCGAATCTATAGTATTTATAACACACTTAATTCCAAAAAAATATTACGTAAATCCGAGACGGAAATAAACTTTATTTTCGTGTACGTATCTCTTTGATATGTGTTTAGCAGATGGTTTGAATTCTCGTAAAAGATGTCACATGGAACGCGTTGGCCGATATTAGATACTAAATACTGCCTTGACATCTATTTTGTAGAGATTAATCGTTTTACACCATGCTTTAAATAATTTGAATTTTTTATTCGCCCAAATGTTGAGTTTTATTATGGGTTTACGAATGTTGGAAGTTAAAATTTTGGTGAAAATTAATAAAGCCATAATATATATGTATAGCTACGTAGACAGTTTAATAAAGGACTATATATAATAGCAAATAAAATCTCGAATTAGGAAAAAAAGAATACACAAATCGAATCGGCACACAACTTGGGTACCGATTTCGATTGTTCTTTTTTCCTAATTAGATATAGCATAACATCACAAAGGTCTTATTTAGATTACATTTTTGAGTGTTATCAACTACAGAGAACCTTTTCTTATTGAATTCAGTTTTTATTTTTTTATTCATCGCATTTATTGTGTGTATGGAATGAAAGCCTAACTACGGTTTTTAATCTGTCTGCCAAACGTGGCAACTACTGGCTACCCAAGGGGGAGGCTTATGTTCAGCAATGGACAGTTAAAGGCTGATATAAATATGATAGGTATGTGTAACGTTGTGAATTACATTAAAAAACTTATAAATACAGTACATGGAATCTGTAAGGTATTGCATTTTATTACAATAAACATAATGTTATAGTGTAAAATGATTTTGTTATATGTATTACCTCTATATGATACTTTTTTATACTACTTAGAATGGCAAACAAGCTGACGGTCCACCTGATGGAAAGTGGTAACCGTCGCCTATAGACACGAGCAGTACCATAGACATAACAGAGTATACTGTTTCGTCCATGATACCCCTAATGCGTTGCCATTCCTGAGGACTCAGGTGTTATTCCTCTGTACCCTGTAAATTCACGCCATATCTCACCCTTCAAACCAAAACACAGCCATGCAAACACAACTGCTTTGCAGTTGAAACACGAATGGGACAGAGGTGTCTAAGCAATCGACTTTTGTACAAAGTCTCCCTCTGGTATTATTATACTCATTTACAACACCTAATAGCAGGTTCGGACTCTGCCACATTGGATTCTGATACGTGCAGCAACTACAGTGTTACGTTCACTATAATGGCAACAGTAGACAGATGTCTCTGACTACCCCATTAAAAATTCATACTCTAAATTTATTTATTTATATATTAAATACATACACTAAATATATTTATATGCTATATAATATATAATATTATACTAAATATATTGATTTTTAATATCTTAACTTACTATTTTATTTTAAAATACGATTAACTGTTACTCAAGACGATATTTTTTGCTTTGTTCTAGCGTTCATCATCTACTTCTCCTTGGAGTCGGCATTCTTTTGGCTCAACGTGATGTGTTTCGACATCTGGTGGACTTTCAGGTATACACTATTTTTATTTCATGTTTTCATTGTGTTATGATGGTTAAACTCATGAGATAATTGATAAAACTTATTAATTTCTGGAGTGTCGAAAAGGTGACTAAAAACAAAGACACCCCTTCCTTTCTCGTGAGTGTCATAAGACATGTGTCGATTAAGGGTAATTTAGTGGTCCATCCCTGGGCAGCAGCGTCCCTCTTTAAGCACCACCAAAGCCTAACTGCGGTTGTCAATTCACTTGCCAAGCGTGGCAACTACTGGCAAAACTCTCCAATAAGGAGAGTTCTATGTTCAGCGGTAGAAAGTTAACGGCTGATTTGATGATGATGATGAAACAAATAAATTTGTTCTGACCATAGATAGTCTATTGTCTATAGGCCAAAGTAGTACAAATATAAATTGATTACTCGAGTGAATACTTTGTTGGTAATTTTATTAAGAAAGCATTCCCCAGATAGCAAGGTGATATCTGCGACTCAAATAAGACGTCGGTTTTAAATAATTTTAAATAGATTCTTGATTACCACCAATAATAGTAAAAAAAAAGAAAAAAAAAACAATTCATTGGCGCTGCCTCAGCTGTTGCTATATATGCACACCTCCAGCGAGATGTACCTATATAGCGCTAATTCTCAGGCGGCCCCTTAACTTATTTAACGTTAACATTCGTGCGGGTCGCCAATACTAATTTCTCGGATGAGAGACTTAATACACTGAATTTAAAAAAAAATAATTATAACCAAAACTAAAAAAAAAGAACAAACTCTGAATATAAAACTATTGCAATTGACAATGACAATTTTAGGGTCGGTGACTAAAAATCGACGCCAATAAGACGAATAATTGCTGCCTGGGTTCTATGATACTTTCAACAAAAATTTGTTACCTTTTTGTAAAACTTAATTGAAATGTACAATACGCTTCCACATAAGTTTTCTTAAAGTTTGTGTGAGGGAGGAAAGGGATTGTTAGTAATGGGGTCTAATTCCCATTGCTAGCAATACACCCTATCAGGTTGACCTCCACGCGGTTCCCCCTGGAAACTATCGTGGTTAATTCTAGTGGTTAATTCGTCACGTTGGGCTAACTGACCTGCTTTCATCGTCACGAATCATCCCTCACTGGTGCCCCGTTAACGTATACCGATAGCCCACCCATTATCACCCATTACAATGTATGTGTGAACGAAAGCTTACATCTACGGTCATAGTTACTAAAACAAGATTACATACATAGATTAAGGATAGTACGTGTCAAACACACCTTGCCGCCATTTTTAAATTAGTTAAATAAAGTTGTTCTTCCCTTCCAGTGACTATTATTTTGGAAAATTCCCAGTCAATTAAGTTTAGAGCCAATTACAGTGATGGTGCGAATTGATACAAATGCAAATTAACAGTTTGACTAATAAATTAGTTAACGGTTGCTCACGCAAGTCTGCGCTTGTCTTACGGGGGTACTTAATAAATTTCATTAGAATCACATTGTTTTATACTAGAGACTCGCCCTAGCTTTGCACGGTTTTTTTGTAGTAAAACTCAACTCGCCGACAATGTAGCTTTGTGCAGGGAAAGTAAATAACAGATTCAATAAAAATAGTTTTTTTTTTTTTAATTTAAGTAAACTTAATTATAAGCCAATTTTTTTTATGAATTTACTGTTCAGTTCGGAATGTAATTTCAGCTGAGTAAATAATTTGTTGCAGTAGATTTTACGTGATGCCGGAACAAACATACAGACAGCTAGACATATAAGATTTCTAAAATTTATCATTTTGGCTTCTGTTATTTTTCTTATGATTTCTCGCGTCAATTTTCCTTAAATATCTCCCATGTACAGATATTATCTAATTATAATTTTGTTATATTAGTCTGATAAGTATATCTAAAAATTTAAAAATATAGTGGCGTAGCAAATGACACTTTATACTCTTATTTTAAAACCTACTTTAGCTAGTACACGTCCGTCGTATGAAGAATACTTATGATGGTTAATTTAAAATAAGTCCACCCACACAGAAATACATATAAAATCATAGCAAATAGATATTAGGTATAATTATCTAGAATATAATGATTGAGTTGTTTCTCACGCATCATTATAGTAAACCTATTGTATGTACACATATATTGTATCACAGTAATTATATATTGTACTATAAATGATATAGCATATACAATTTGAGTGTGCCAGCGGATTTTTTTTTTAATATAATATTTAAACAAACAATAAAAAAAATAACAAAATTACCAAAAACCAACTGTTATTTTAAGCAAGTTTTTTTTTTACGTTGGCATGTAATCATTTATTAATAATAAAATTAAAACGAATAAAGGATATTACACATTGTATTAAAATTAGGTACAATAGGGTATACATTATTAAATACCTAGGTAAGTAGATAGGTATGTGATTGGCCATTTTGAAAGACATACCACTTAAGATCTTACTAAAGAATTCACAAAATAAACTTAAGAAATTTTGCTAAATATATATGTATATTTAATTGAAATCATTTATATATATACAGCGAACTTTCCACGTCTCACCCAGATACACATTTTATGCTTCGTGTCTGGTTTTCCCATAACTCCACTGTACGAGGTTTGTCCGGAAAGTACGTATAAATGTTTTTTAAAAATTTTATTTTACAATTATTCAGGTAAATCAATTTTATCCCCTTCAAAGTACTCCCCCTGTGACATAATGCACTTGTGCCAATAATCCTTGAAAGTCCTCTGGTTGTAGGTTTCTCATGCCCCGTCGTAGCTTTTTTTATATTTATGTCCCCCAAATGCCGCCCCCGTACCAATAACATACACGGGGCCAAATCCGGCGAATAGGGGGGGTGTTCGGTCACCGTAATGGAATTTTTACTCAAAAACTCACGGACAACAAGAGAGGTAATTGTCGTGGTGAAGAATCCAACGCCCCTCTCGCGCCAATTCTGGACGAACTCGTGCCACACGACTGTCTGACCGTTAAACGACGGTCCCCATTAACACAAGTTCGAATTCTTTCCACGTTTTCGTCGGAATGTGAAGTGGAAGGACGTCCTGAACGTGGGTCATCTTGAACGCTTTCTCGGCCCTCTCTGAATCTTTTTAGCCACTTGTGGACGGTTGGTTCCTTCACAGCATCATCCCCATAAACTGTTCTGAGATCGGCAAAAATTTCACGGCCATTCTTGCCGAGTTTCGAGAGAAACTTGATTACGACGCGCTGCTCTTCAACGGAAGCGGGCTCCATGCCGACGGGGTTTCGTTAAGAGGTAACTTCACAGATGGCGTGACAAGCCAGTTCGCACCGCACGGCGGTCAGACCAGAACTGAAGCATTGTTAGGGACATAAGGAAGGGGTCCTGCGCTTACCTGGCCTCCCCACTCCACTTTCTCGCATTCCAGAACACTTTTATACGTATGTTAATGGTTTAAAAATAGACTGATATTCCAGTTTTAACTTAATACCATAATTAAAGTATTTCAATGGACATAACTTAGAAGACACCTATAACATTTTTATTTTGTACTAGTGAGTAGTAGATAGAATTTTCGAATATAATATATATACATATATACATACATAGACAAATAACATGAAAAAAAAAATAAGAAAAAAATCTTTAACATGCATATCCTGTTTAGAGCAATATTATATTTAATTGTTATTTTATTGATTACCTACATATAATACCAAAACGGCATCAACAGTATCTGGTCCAATATGGCGTTGATCTCAGACAATTTTCATACTATTAAAAATAAATTAATTTACATCATTAGAGCATTAATCGCTGATCCGGCGTGAAGTAATGCTTCACTCTATTAAGCACACCGAGTTTTTATATATACTAGACATTAAATTGTATACATAGGATACCATAGGATACCTATTTTATTCTCTTTCACAGGAATGAAACTATGTCTTTCAACCAGTTGGTTATAAAATTTCCACTCGTTTTTTTTTTCTATGTAATCTATAGATGCGTCTGTAGATATCTATTCTTTTTTTTCGCTTCATCCGTTTATGGATTTCCCCGTTAAATATTATGGTACCGCTATTTTTAGTTACAGATGTTGCGTCACTCATTACAATTGTTTGTTCAAGAATACATCTGGAGTCCTCAATATTCATGTGAGAAAGGCCGAGATATCATTCAGAATATTCAAATTGTCGCCAAGATGGTTCCAATAAGCTCATAATTACATCATTACGAGCATTTATAAATTTAGATCGTTGAAGTGTGGCAAAGTATCAATTATGTGTGAATTTTCTAAAATTATTTAATAATTGCTGATTTTCACCACCGTACAACCCCTCACAAACTAGAGTTTCATCCCAATCATCTGGACGAGTGGCGGTCTTCCACCGTGCGTTTTTCAAGGCACTTTCTTCCACGCACAACCATTCTTTGGAATCAACTTCCTGCAGCAGTATTTCCGAATCGATACGACAACATAACCTTCAAGAAAAGAATATATTCCTATTTAAAAGGCCGGCAGCACACCTGCAATGCCGCTGGTGTTGTGGGTGATCATGGGCGGCGATAGTCACTTACCATCAGGTGAGCCGCATGCTCGTTTGCCCCTGTGTTGTAAAATAAAAAAAAATTCAATATTTCTGATTCACCATCTGAGACACCGGTCAACACGATTTATGGGTCTGGTTTCTGTATGTGAAGGTTTACTTTCTCTTACGTTAAAATAATATTAAAAATAAAGACGTAATTTTTTTTCTGACCAAAGTTTGTTTTTATATAAATTAGAGCAATTTTTCGAGTATTAAAAAAAAATTACAAATTTTTATATTTTCTCTGAAATTTTATTTAACATTAAAAAAGTTTTTTTTTTTCTGAACACAAAAGTCTTTTTTATTTAAGAATTGTGATAAATAATAGCAAACAAGTGTAGAATAACAAAAAACGAAGTTCAAAATAAAGACTTTTTAGTTGTTCTTTTATGTTTGTATGGGCTTTTTCATATTAATCTCCATCTATATACATTCTTTTTGTATTACCCTTGGTAACATCATTCAAATTCCATCACATCTTGGTGAAAACATTCATTTTGTTAGGAGTTCACTGTCATCGGTTTTAGGTCACAGAACAACAAAAAAAATTATTGTAGACCTGTGTTAATGTTTAGTAAACGTTTACACAGGTCTACAATATATATATATATATATATATATATATATATATATATATATATATATATATATATATATATATATATATATATATATATATATATGTATATCTTTATATTTATCTTTTTTATTTAGAGGCTTTTATCCTATAAGGATATGTCAGCCTCGTCATACCCTAATTTTATAAAATACCTCACATATTTAAAACATTGATACATAAATAAATAATACATAATATAATAGTCTATCTATATATATACCTTAACGTTTTAGTTCGCTTTAATTACTATTCCATTCGTAATATAAAATAGGTTGTGAACTAATATACTGAATTTTAGAGGTAAGTGAGGCGATAAAATGTGAATAGAATATCAAATATGTAAACCGCTACTGGTAATTACTTTGTAGTATGACTTCAAATTTACCTAAACATTATACTTACTAATGATGACCCGAAAAATAAAAGCTTCAAATTACTTGGCAAGCTATAGAGAGCGCTATGTTCGGAGTTACTTTGCGTGACAGAATTCGAAATGAAAATATTCGCAAAAGAACAAAGTTACCGACATAATCCGAAGGATAAGCAAGCTGAAGTGGCAATGATCTGGCCACATAGCTCGAAGAACCGACAACCGATGGAGAAGAGAGGTTCTTGAGTGGCAATCCCGTACGGTTACACAGTGTAGGACGACCTCCCCACTAAATGGAGCGACGACCTCAAATGCATTGCAGGGAGTCAGTGAATGCAGGTGGCTGAAATGTTGATGAAGATTATACTTACTTATTAAATAAATAAATAAATAAATAATTTCTTTAATAAAGGCAACCAGGGACCACAAAATTTTAACAATAGTAATTTGCACCAACTATAAATTATTAATTCAAATTTTAAATTAAATGTTTACATTTATAAATAAATAACATTAACTTAAGAACAAAAACTTAACCTACTAAATATTTAACAACCACAATTTTCTAAAACCACATTTTGTCCTCGATCTGTCATGTCGTCAATAAGTATACCTAGCGTGTACTTACCGGAATTTTAAGTGACATGAGTCATTTTGTTTTTTGTCATAAACTTTAAAGTTCATTTGTAGCACAAGCACCTGCAAATTGTGCATCAAGTTGATGCTTGATTTCTTATCTCATCACTATCATCATCATATCAGCCTTCAACAGTTAGTACTGCTGAATATAAGCCTCCCCCTTGGGTTTAGGGAATTTTGTCAGCAGTTACCACACTTGGCAGGCGGATTGGCAACCGCAGTTAGGCTTTGGAGATCTTTTAAGAGGGACGCATCTCTCGCCCTCGCTTAGTCGCCTCTTACGACACCCATGGGAAAGTAACGGGTGGCCTATTTTATGCCGGGACCACACGGCAAGATTTCTTATTATTACACAATAATTTTAAGCATTACAAAATAATTTTATTTTTAAAAGAGTATTTTTAATCATCTGTATTTTTGTGACTCTGTTACACAGTATATCTTGAATCGATTATGATAATTCTTTTTGAAACCAATAACATTTACTGTCTATACACATTTATTTTGTGATAATTGAAATTACTCTTTTTTTACGAAGTAAAATCTGCTTGTTGCGAGGCAAAATATACTTGTCGACTCACTTACAATGTAATGGTTCTAGGAAGCATGCCATTCATTTGCGTGTGCATGTTTACGGTCAAAGTCGCTTTTTTAACTGATTGTAATAAAGAAGATTCTTAATTCGGTGTATTTTTTATTTGTTATATCAGATCATTTCTAAACGGATTTGGTTTCTTTTTTTATTTACAAGGATATACATTCAAATTAATAAATAAACCAACGTCAATTGTGGCAAAATTTAATAACATATGTAATAACAGTTTTAAAAACAAAACCACTAAATCTATTTATTTGAGAACAATCTGTAAGCAAGTAAAAAAAAATTAAATCGGTTTTTATCCAACGGAGTTAAGGTAACAAACATAAAAAATACAACCGAATTGAAAACCTCGTTCTTTTTGAAGTCGGTTGAAAAGGTTCTCTCCTATATTGATCTTTCGCTATTATTTGTGAAGTTATATTTTGAAAAAAAAAAACTTAAATTTTTGCATTCAAACAAATTTTGTTTCGAATTGATACAATCTATTGGGTGTAAATATATTTTATTTTATTACTTTCCAGTGGTAAACGTGGCATTTCATTCGAGAAGCTGTCTACCAAGGCCCGGTTTTACGCGTACGCTCTATATGCCTTTGGGATACCAACAGCGCTGACAATTCTGCTAGCAGCACTGGAGTTCTCCGACCTGCCGTTGCATCCACTGCTACCTCAGTTGAGACAACAAGGCTGTTTTATATATGGTAAGTTTGTTCTGGACCAGTCCTGACTTCCTAAGGAGAAAGGGCTTTTTAGTAATGAGGTTTAACTGCTCCATTGCTAATAACATGCACTATCAAGTGATCTCCACGTGGTTCCTCTTGGATATCATCGTGGTTAATTATTATTGAATTCGTCATGATAGGCCAAATGACCTGCTTTATCCTCACATATCATCTTTTACAGTACAGAAGGGAAAAAATATTGGGACACTTGATACGACACGACGAACTTACCAAAATTATAATAGAAGGTAAGATAGAAGGAAGCAGGGGAAGAGGTAGACCAAGATATAGTTACATCAGGCAGATCAAGGAAGGAGTTTATGTCGTGTCGTATCAAGAGGTGAAGAGACTCGCTGTAAATCGTAGTGAGTGGCAAGAGCTCCACCGACAAGAGCGCAGCTCTTAAATAGGATAGATAGATAGATCATCATTTACTAGTTCTCCCTCAGTGTATATTAATAACGATAGCGCGGTTATAATTTTTTTTATATCATTAAAAATAGCCCCATTGGTAATAATATACCCTGTCAGGTTGACCTTCAATCACGTGGTAAAGTTGTAATTATAGTCCAACTAATCTGATTTTATCCTCACCTATCATCCTCCACTGGAACTTTAACAGCATATACCGGTAGCGCAGACTACACTATTTTCATTAAAACCCCCTAGACTAGGGGTTCCTGTTAAGATGACGGAACTCCCACCAAATTCCTTTTATTTTATGAAACCCCATATGAAACGGTTACAAATAAAAAACACTGTAATTTAAATAAAAACAGAAGCTTTTATTAGAAATATTTTGAAAGTATAACACTTTATAGTTTTCTATGATTTTTAATGTGAAGAATGAAATGGTATCACTGTATAAATAATTTCGCGTAATCTTGGTGAACCCCTAGGTTCCGCGGAGCCCACTTTAGGAAACGCTGCTCTAGACATATGACAAGTGAAAAATGAATCTATAGGGTGATACACTTCTGCTTTTTTTTTATTGGACGATAATGAAATGGTAACCCCGCCCGCGACAACAGTATACACTGGCGGGGCACCAGTGAGAGATGACAGGCAAGAATAAAAGACAGGTCAGTTAGCGCATCGTGACGAATACACCTGAGATTCAGCACCTTGGTTTCCAGTCAGCACGTGGAGGTCGACCTGACAGGGTGTATTGCTAGCAATAGCACTGATAGTCGACATTACTAACAATCCCTTCCCCCCCGATACACTTCTGTTAACGTAAAGTTGAAATCGAAGTGAACACGTACCTACGTAGTATTTACGTAAATGTGATTATAATCACACGGCTCGTTTATTTGGGTATTTTATTCTGTGAATAGCATTAGTAAGTAGTTAATAATAAGAGTAGAACGGTTAAATATGTTTATATCTACGTCAAATTATATGAGTTTAAATTGTCTTCATAATAATGTTGGTCACGTGATCGAGTCTTATTTCATAGTTAAATTAACTATTTTTTTATGCAACACGTAATGGCAAACATGCTAACGACCCACCTAATAGAAAGTGGTTACAGGTCATAGACATCATAGATTATATTGAAACGTTCATAGTATGGCTCTATATGTTGCTATTTGTGAGGAATGAAATGTTATGTCTCTGTAGACCACTTTACTGCATTTGCTACACTTCACAATGCAGGCGTGCAATTTAATTAATTGATGAGCTTTATGTCTTAGTGAAGAGTATGACTCAGGGCCAATTTAAGAAATTAACTTTTCTAATTTGAATGGGGTCTGAGTGTTTTAAGTTGTGCACTTAGGTCTTCGTTCCTTAACAGAGGATTAAGGGTGGGTAATATATGGTAAATATCTGTATATTCGCCATAGAATGAGCCGCCCCTTTTCTTTCCCGTGGGTGTTGTAAGAGACGAGTAAGTGAGAGCGAGGGATGGGCAGCAGCGTCCCTCTTAAAACATCTCTAGAAATCTAACTGCGGTTGCCAACCCGCCTGCTAAGCGTGGCAACTACTAGCAGGACTCCACTTGTGGGAATGTCCCATATCCAGCAGTGGATATTAAAAGGCTGATATGACTTAATATATGGATATCGGATATTACCCTTCTCTACAAAGGATATTCTAGTTTAAGGACCTGGCAATAGATGTGCTTATGGAATATTTATTTATTATTTTATTAAATGGTTTTAGGTAACGGAAGACTGATATACCTGTATGGACCGCTAGTTGTGCTGTGCACAGCGAACCTGATCTTTTTCATACTGACAGCAGTGAAAATCGCGCAGATTAAGAAACAGACCTCCGTACTAAAGTCCAAAGAGAGCTCTACTCACGATAGCCAGAGAAATGACAAACAGAGGTACAGTAAAATACAATGTAACTCACTCGTTTAGATAATAGAAATTATTACAAATAAAAAAGTATTTTATTAGGTTAGGTGTTGTTTTGCAGAAGTTCATACCGCTAGTTAGTTTAATCAACGTACTTACTAAACTAACCAAAAAACAAAATCACTTATATATTACAAATTTTTAACATGAACATCTTCTACCATATGAATTTCTAGAACTTCAAAGTCATATTATTACCAATTTATTACCAAATTAAATCGGAATACATAATATTAGCGAGTGACTTTATAAAAGAAATAGATAAAGACTGTACACATACAGAAAACTTAGTTCAACCTATTTCCCTAGCAGACAAATTCATCAACACTACTTGCCTATAAACAGTTTATTAATTACATAAGTCATTAATGTCCAATAAATAAACAATAAACAAATATGGGCTATGTCCAGTATTAATTTACCTAATCAAATCTCAAAATCATTACTAACAAACTTTTAACCGCGTCATAGTTCGCGTAACGAGATTATATTGATTGACTGGGCTAAATATTAGCTTACATCTTTCTTCAGCCTAAATAGTACATGCATATTAAATCTGATGATAGAACGTTCAGTCTTTAAAGCACGAAGTGGTAACAAAAAAACTAAGAGAGTCATTTTCACATAAAATATTAGTAGGGAAATAAATTAAATGGTTGCAAGTTTAATACAAGTAACAGTACTTTTTGTAGTATGATAAAGTTCTAAAGCATGATCATTAAAATGATTTTCAGATTGTTCCTGTACATCAAACTCTTCATCGTGATGGGTGTGAACTGGCTACTCGAGGTGATCAGCGCACTGTACCCGGAGCTTGATAACTTCTGGAGATTCACCGACGCATACAACGTTCTCATAGGCCTGATAATATTTATAATATTCGTCTGCAAGAGGAAGATATTCAGACTTATAAAGAAGAGGTAAGTTATCTTCATATTTTAATATTTTAATTTATCGATTTATTTTTATATGTACGAAAAATGTAAAAATTGTATCCGCTGATTATTTTGATTTTATTATAAATAGCACATATCGTTCAATAAAGAAAGAAGATTTTGTTGGTCTCATAGCATTAAATTTGTACATTCCTTCCGTATCCAGGATCAAAGACAAATTTCAACGTCGTCAGAGTGAAGCTGGAAATATGACTGTAGTCAATAAGAATTTAACGCATTGGAAACAAAATCCGGAAATTAGAACAAGTATTGAGACGATAAGAACAACATGTGGCCACGATTCTGATAGTATCAAGAACTTTAAAACAGCGCATTTATAAATTAATTGTATACATAATATAAAAAAATAGCAAAATATTTTTCTTAGTTCTATAATTATTTCGTTATTTTAATATATCGAAATACTTTACATTGTTAAAATAAGAGTTAACATAATTAATAAACAGAAAGCTTTAGAAGACAATTTACCAAAATATGAGGTTATTATTACACGAGAATATGTCTAAATAACTATAGAAAATATAGAACACTTAGTGAAGAATTTACACGAGAAAATAAAGATAACGAAAAAGGCGAAGATAGTATATGAGATGCAGTATAATAAATATATTGCATGAAATAAGTTATGACAAAAAATCGATAATAGGCATACCAAATCCATACAATATCCATGTATAAATGTAAATACTGCAGTCTGTGGTATTTCAGAAAACTTAATGATTTAGAAAGTTCAAAATCAGGAAAGATGAACTGGAAAATGATGTCTATGAATCGAATGTGGCTATAACATATGCATATCACAATTGAAACTAAGAAACAACTGGCGTTGTGACTATAAGGTATAATATAAAACTTTTAATGATTTCCGGATTGTAGTGAATTTGAAAAATTAACAAAAATTTATTACTAACTTTTTGCACACTAACGTGTCAAAGCAGCTTATGCTTATAAACTAAAGGAAGACAAAACGGAGAATATAATTGTATGGTGTTAACAGAAATGCTTCCGGTTTTGTGTATTTTGTGCAAATAAAAATTGTGTAAATATTTTGTAGAATTCTATTTCATCGGTGTGTGATACTTTACTTCAGAAGCACAATTATGGGCGTTTAAGTAGGATATTGTTATATTCATTCGAATATAACTTACCTATTTTTGTAATAACACTTGCACTTTATTAATTTATCAGTTTTAAATTAACGTAAACTGATAAACTAGAAGAGAACTAATCTCTTTTTAATTGATTTCAGGTTTTGTAATTTGTATGTGTTAAACCACCGTTTTCGATTTTCTTTACATTATGCACTACATATTTATACACTGTTACAATGTTTACTATTTTATAATAAAGCAATTATTACTTATTATTATTTTATGCAACATCTTCTAATATTTCTTCTTTTATTTCTATATCTTTTATTAACTGCCATACTTTTGGAATTTGGACTTGATCGTTTCAGCTCTCTTTTTGGGAATGGTTCACTTTATCTGTAAAGATAATCCCTAACCATTTATTAACTTGCTCATTACCCATACATTTTAGACTTGGGTTGCGGAACACGTTAAGAGAACCGGGGAGCGATGAGAGTCAGGGTAGGAGAAGGGGAGAAGAACACAAAGAATTGATGTATGTATTAAAGAAAGCTTGTGCTGTCCAGAGTTTGTCGACAACTGTTTGTCAAGAATGCATACAAAATTATATTAACAATATGGACGTCTTTTTGTATCGTCCGCTAGCTATTTGGACTTCGCTTGGGCTTTTAAACTCTTTCATACGAAAAATAACGACAATAAAATTGTAAACATTAGCCTTATCAAAGAAGGTTATTTGGCTCTAAAAGAAGAAATTATGTCATCGTATATACAAATCGTTCCTTTGTCAATATTTCATTACAATAAGAGGAATCATCAATAATTTTTTATCATATGTTACTATATTAATATTATTATCCATTGTTTATATTCTTATCTTGTAAATACTCTACATCATTCTATGTCTGTCAAGCTTCATGTCTACGTTCAACATGTGTTAATAAATGTGAATAAAAGCTTCATTATGTATTCGTTTTAACTAATTAATAATTCAGTGAAAATTACATATTGAACATAATTCACTGTACATTTGTCATTAATACATTCACGTTGTTAACACCATTCATTCATACATTTTAGCCATTAACTGTACACTGCTGAAAATAGGCATTCCATATAAAGGGAGTTTTGCCAGTAGTTGCCACGCTTGGCACGCGGGTTGGCAACAGCAGTTAGGATTTTAGAGATATTTTAAGAGGGAATCTGTTGCTTATCCTTTGACCATTAAGTTCTTTTAGTTGCCTCTTACGACATCTACAGGAGAGGAAGGGGTGGTCAATTTTATGTCTTTGATGTCTACATTAATTATCATAAAATACAAAATTAATATATTGTTTTTTTTTTTAATTTATTAATCTAATAAAAATAAAAAGTTCTATTGTCTGACACCAATCGTTTGACTCTTTTAACCATATAAAAATACATAAAATTGCAATTTTTATAAACCTTTTGGATAAGTGTCATGTAATCTCGGGTTATCTGCATAACTAGCTTCAATTAGTAAATGCAACTTATTATCTCAAAGCAACTCTCTCTCTCAAATCTCAAATCTCAAAATCAAAAGCAAAGTCTCATAGTTATGTAGATTTATTTAAAATAATATTAAGTACCATCTCTTAATTACTTTAATGTTATTACCCATACATTTCATACAGTATGTTTTCAATGCGTATCTTCTATATCTTAATACAAATTTATTATGAAATTAGATGTTTCTATATGTTTTTTTTTTCTTTTATAAGAATGAGATGGTAATGACAATATTTACATAGTTATTATAGTTTTTTAAATAGACCATCCTCATTATAAATACCATAAAATTGATATTATATTGTACACGAGATATAAATCATTATTAAATCAAATTTTATACAACAACAGATACAAGCAACTCCGAGGCGAACCAATGTCCAGAACTCAGACAACGATGTCCTCTCGAACTGCATCCACGAAGGATGATATGCAAATGAATTCAATCAAGTTTCACAGCAAGTGAAAAGATGGAAATTTAACTGGTTAATAGTTTGTTTTTATAGAACACAATAAAAAAGGTGAACAAACATATGCTTAATTCAACTACAAGGCAGTCTACTAATGCCCAATAGTAGATAGTACGAAAAAAAAATCTATTACTTTACTGAATGTTTCAATTTGTCACTAATCTCACTTGGAGAGTGTTCCTGTGACAATTTTAATAAAACTTGGTCAACTTTTTATTAAGTTATATTGAAACAAACTATAGTAAGATATATTGACTTTAATAAGAGACTAATTATGCCATATTCGTATGTCGACTTGAGTTTTGAGATGTTTTACAATAATAAATTGTTAACAAGAGAAGAAAATTATTTTCGATAAAATCAAGTAATGTAAAATAAATTCTTGGTTTCTAGTAATTAAATGCCACTTCGTTAAGATCACTTATTATGTTGATTATCTACAGCTTAGACCTGATGTTTTTAACAGGCGATTAAGTATTGTTATAATTAAAACTATATTAAAGTTAGAAATCTATTAAAATTGTAAACAGTAATAAAATTTTTATTTTCAAAAGTTTTGTAACTAAGCACACATTGTATTTTAATTCCAAAAATAATGACATTGATTTACTTGTATTCGAAAAGGTATTCTTAAGAAAAATACATTTAAATCAATTAGGTTACTTTTAAAATTGAAATCGTTCTAAAATTTCCTATCTGCTTAAACTTAAGCTTAAGAAGTGGTAATCTTCTTGTTCGGATAATCTGCTTATTGTTTATTGAAATATCTGTTGAAGTTTTACATGTTATTGGATTTTTCGTTGTAGTTATAATCTATTGTTAGACATTACAAATGAATTGTAATAAAAATACTCATTATATTATCATGACGTTCGATGTTAAGTACTTTAAATTTGATGCTTATATTAATTACATTTTCTAGTATTATTATTAATAAATTAAATGAAATGACACATTTTAAAATACATATTGTATTTAGGTACATAAATGTTTTTACTTCTACGGTGGCGGCACGTATTTTTGAATCTATGTAGTTGATGTTATTTCTCTAAAACAAATACATTAAATGTTTATAAATTTATATTTTACATAATATTTACAATTATTAAATTGTAAATTGTTAATTGTAATTATTAAATTGTAAATTCTTTTTATAAAATACTTTACAACATACGTTAGTTTAAAAAAATGGAGTTTGTGAAGTCAATAACCTCAATAAGTTGTAATCATAAGATGAAAATCTTTGTATTATTATTTCTCATTGGATGCTAAGTCTTGGATGGCAATTGAATATTGAATAACTTTAAGCCAAATTAAATAAAAACGTTCCAAAAAATTTAACCACACAAACTCAAGAGAGAGACAGACTCATCTTCGCATTTACATTACTAGTATGTATCAAATGAATGTCTATATATATACTACTTTAAATTCGTGTAATTTATACTAATTCGCCTTTATATGTACACTAGCTTTTACTCGTGTCTTCGTCCGCGTAACCGGGATATGTTTACTGATCGGGTTAAAACTTATTCTTCTCCATCGCATATAGTACGTGTATATCAAATTTCATAGTGATTGGTTAAGTCGTTAAGGCACTATAAGGTAACAAACAAACACACTTTCACATTTATAATATTAATAAGGATATATTTTCATGTGTAATTAATATTTAAATCTATAAATTGTAATAATACGAATAATCGTATCTACCTCTTTAAGGAACAAGTGATTGTATGTCTCAGCTTACTTGTATTGCTGCAAAATATTTGTGTACTTGTATGTGTGATAATATCTTATAATAAGACATATGTATGTGTTATAAAATAAGAGATTTTAACAAAATACATTTATTTTTTAATAATTGCAAAAGGGACCACTTATGTCGTAGACGGTCAAGAAAAAAAGCTTTGTACTTTACTGAGATCACAAATTAAGCATTCAAACTATATCGACTCGTTTGAGTTATTAAACTGTATTTGTGGTTTCTATTCTATTATTAGAAATTCAACGCCTGCTAAGGTATGGATTAACAAAATAAACAGAAGAAAGTGTTGACTTCAATCTTGGAGTAATCAGTTATTCCGTTTTTAAAACCAGAATAAAAGCATAACCGTTCAGAAAGCAAAATAAATTTCTAAATCAGTTTTTAAATGATAGAGGTCTGAGGTAATAAACATAAAAATTACAACCGAATTAGAAACCTCCTTTTTTTGTAGTTAGTTGAAAATGGAACAATTTCACAATGATGCAATATCTTTAACAGTATGATTAAGGATCACGAATTGATCCCGAAACTAGTCGAGCTTTCTCGAACTAATTAAACGTAATTTAAACCGGTAGTTATTATATTAAACTATGATTGTAGTTTGAATGTTGCTTATTTATCTTCTATAGAGTCCTTTTCTTTGTTCCTGATGAGAAACTATTATTCTATCATTAATATATATAGATATATATTTCTACAAACGATTTTTAAACACATAATGATGTGATGGCTTAAGAGGGACGGTGCTGTCCATCCCTCAGTCTCCCCTAGTTGCCTTTTACAACTCCCACGGGAAAGGAAGGGGTGGCCTATTCTATGCCGGGGCACACACGGTAATTTTAATATTAAATAACTGAAATTAAATAAAATCCCACAGAAAAAATAAATAGAAACATAGAAAAATTATAAGGTTTCTTTTAATGGGTAAAAATGGAATAGTAATCCCGCTTGTGCTAACGGTATACATTATCGGGCACCAGTGAAGGATGACAGGTGAGAATGAAAAGGCAGGTCAGTTAGCCTATCGTGATGGATACACCTGGAATTCTGCACGATGGTTTCCAGGGGAGACCATGTAGAAGTCTATCTGACAGGGTATATTGCTAGCAATGGAATTTGTAGTCCGCATTACTAACAACCCCTTTCCCCTCAGAGTATAAGATTAGGTACACTTTATGTGAAATTTGACATTTATCGTTTTACAATTGCATGTCATTAAGTGTCCGCGAAAGGTAGCATTGCCATTGTCAACTTATACGTATATATTTTAAATCCACTATCGGGACTTAACGTAACCAAAATTATAGGATCTATATATAGGAAAGGTCATTACTCATTTCAATATCGCTCATATCGGTTGGATACTATTTTTGAATATGTAAAAATCTGTTATTAAATTTTTTTTTTTTGGATAACGGACTTTTTACGTATTTATTATTGGACCAGTATATAGATATTGTAAGTAAAATATATAAATATTGCTATATACTATCTAACCCTTACGTTTTCTATTTACCTAAAATTTTCGTTAAGTCCCAATAGTGTTTTAAAATATGTGTCAACAACTCGACAGTAGAATATTAACTAAGTTATACGTATTTCGTTCTTAAGTATGCTTAAGTATCCTTAAGCATAACAGTTATCTGTTATTACGCATTACCTATGGTATTACATAAAAATTATATATACATAAGATTAACTTAACTATCTATTGGGTTAATAAACGTTCATTATTCTGTTAAATTTAACATTTGTACATTATATATTTTGATATTTTGTATGGGATCAATTTGAAAGTGAAAATGATCAATTTCCTTTGGGATAAAAAAATAATAATATAAAAAAATACAACCGAAATGAGAACCTTCTCTGTTTTTTAAGTCGAATGCTCGACATTGAAAATTGTTAGCAAACGACGTGCAAATGGTAATTTTGATGGAATTACATCCAATTGCTAATAATCCAACTATACAGTTTGATTCAATAGAACCCAATGAAAATGTAAACAAATTAGTAAGTGACACGACCATGAGACGATGTAGTGATGTCCAATAATAGTACAAATCAATAATTGGTTAATTAATTTGAAATTTCTATTTGTTACTAATTTCGTTTACAAAGTGTTCCTGTGATGATTTCAACAGAACTTGATTATGTTTTCATTGAGTTGTATTGAAACTAGTTATAAAAGTAGTAATGCTTACATTATACATCACTAAAGAATATAAAGGTCTTATAAAAAAAAATTAAAACATTGCCTATCTAAACAGTGTTTTACAAAATCGTGTTTAAGTGATTAAACATTATTTAGTGTAATGTTTCTTTTGTGCTACAATCTACATTACATATTATTGTAATAAAATATATTTACAGATTTAATTTTGCATAAGACATTATTTTGTTTAGATGTAAACAGATGTTAAACACCCCTTCTGGAAGACTTATAAACACGTATTAACACCTGTTTATCGCTAGTTTATCTTTCTTGTAAAACCGTAAGTAGTCAAGTAAGGTTTGTTTACACCAATTTCTATAAAAGGCAGAAGTACTACCTAAGTTTGTATGGAAACATTATTTGATAATGAATGTTCTAGTCGTATAAATATAATTAGCTATCGATGTACTGTTTAAATGTTTATAATAAAGTATTTAAAAAAAATATATAGATGTTTAATTTTATTTCATCGCTATCTATTGGTTTTTCTTGTGTGAATTAAGATAAAATCTATAAAGCTCAGGATATGATCGATCTATGTATTATTTTTTATTCAAATACAGTTAATTGAATAAAAAAATCCAAAAATTTAACCATACAGTAATATATAATTAGTGCAATAAATCTGTCTATATTGTATATGGCAAGACAGATAGATAAATAAATATTTTAAATTGGAATTAGAACAAAATTAAAATGGAATTATCGTAAAAGAAAATAATCTCAACTAAAGATGAAATTTCAAAAGAACCATAAATTTCAAAAGAAATATAAAATCATCAAGTTTAATTTTTTTTTGTGATATAACTGTAAATGTATGGTTTTCTGATTTTTCTTTTACTTGTGCTACATGACATCGTTTCTTGCAAAATTTCATGATTTTACATCAACGGGATGTACCCTATATATACAATTTTGATTCCCTTTGCAAATGTCAAAATATGCGAAATAAATGGAACAAAAACGGCCGTATTTTTCGATCGCGTCGATTTAGAAGCTTGATTTTTTCACTGCTTTAAGAGATTGCAGATCTGAGTATATGATATTAATTTTAACTTGACACCACGTGTTCCTAAGAAAAAGGGTCTTGACGAACGGACGGATACGAAGTGATCCTATACGGATTCCGTTTTTTTTGGATGTACGGAACCATAAAAATAACCTAACCTACCTTAAAATCTTTCTAAAATTTATTCTAAACTTTTAACTTAAACTGAAACTGAATAGATCTCAAAATGTTAAATACATTTTGAGGCAGTACTTATACCTACCTACCACGATTAAAACTCCCATTGGTAACCAATTACTAACATAATTATGCATTCTTATATAACACTGTATTGTTTTCCCATATTTCTGGGCTTTTCTAACGGCAAACTCGTAAATTGAGTAGGAAAATAAAATCATATAATAAAAGGAAATCGTATCATTCAATTGAGTCACCTTAAGAAGAGCACACACTACTGATCGTACCAATATGCTTGGTTATCAGATTTATATATTTTGTGTTCTATTGTGTATTGTAAAATGTGATAAAATCGTCTGTGATAATCAGATTCTAACAGATTTCAACAACAATGTAATTCATAAAGAAGAATATTGTGCTAAAGCACCATGTATCATAACTCCTTGTGATACAGGTGAAGTGATAGTGGAAACACTAGACCACAAATTTATATGCAAAAGTGTAAATGAAAATTTGCCAGATATTATCAAAACTGAACTTTGGCGGCTACAAACTGTATATAAATTTGTATATAAGCTAGATAAAACTGACATGAGCTTTGATGATTTTCGTTTAATTCAATTTAAAGATCCGACAATGTATTCGGATGACTGCGGTGGTAATTGGATGGAAATTGGTAACCTGACTACGTCGTATTTTTTAAAGGTAAGATTTTTTATTATCTTTACTAGAATCGGAGATAATCCTATTAATATAATAAATGCTAAAGTTTGTAGCGATAAATGGATGGATGGATAGATGGATAGTTGTTGAACTGAACGGATTAAATGAAATTTGATACATCAAATAAGTTATACCTGAACTTAGCACATAGAAAACTTACTGATTCATGCAAGCGAAGCCGCAGGACCACCTAGTAATATAATAATAAGAAGTGCTGTACAATCACACCAATCGGTTGATCCTTAGACCCTGTGTTATGAGGTACCTGACAATTTGAGGGTCCATCCAGATCACTCAGACTTAGGTCTGAATAAAAAAAAATGTTTCCTTAATCAGCCCGACCAATAAATAGAATATTACAAGATTTCTTGCTTCATAATTGAATTTTACCTCAACCCAGCATTTTTATAACAGATCAAAATCAAAGTAGCATTATATTCATATTAAGAATGATATTTTTTTAATCTCTATGATCTAAGAACATGATAACTGCTTACTATCAAACAAGTTCTATGCTGGATTGTCACTTACGTACAAAAAAGGAATATGGAAGAATTGATATACTACATATTGGAATAGGTTCCAAAATATGAGACCCAATATCTTACTTGACAACACTTTCTTGATTTTTGAAAATACCCAAAAGACGTATTGAGTTCTCCAAGTATGAAGCCAAGGAAATTCCTTTTAGTTTTGATACATATAAAGGATGTACTGCTTTTACTATTTTATCAAGAATTGAAGTTAGTTTTAGCAACTGAACTCGTTACTTCATTCAGGTAGATTTTACGTCTTCTTTCTAAACGAAGGCATATAAATCTGTTGGAAGATGTATTTTCATTACTCCACCGCAATTTTCATACTATCTGAGTGAGAAACATAAGGATGAAAGATATTTATCTAAAAGACCCAAAATACATCGAGAAGAGTGAATATAGTCAACGATTAATACAAATTCCAAATTTGTTTTAAGGATGGTGCTCTGTTGTTAGATAACCGTGTTAAAGGAGACCCGTTTCATGTGCGCGTCCTAAAGGAGTACATAGTAATGTTCGTACTCAAAGAGACAGAAGGTGGCTTCACTGGACCACATCTGTATATTAAAGTCTTGAGACAAGACGATCAAACAATTACGCGGATTAATTCCGTGCTGTTCATAGGAGTAGGTGAGTTTAGCTAAATTTATAGATAACCTAATGCACATATATAATACAACCGTGTGATTCTGGCATAAAATGGTCATCCTTTTAACATTAATGGATGATAAGGTGAAATGAGAGAGAGAGGCGAGAGAGGTGAGAGATGAGGAGTATTAGAACAAATATTAACTAATTCGCTTACCAACAAGCAGTTTTAAATATCTATTTAGACGCAGTACACATTAAATTAATATTTTTCAACAGTTATCTTCATAATTTAATATTGTGTTCAACAAAAAAAAAAAAACCTGACTTTTGTGGCAAAACCAATTATTTTCATTTAAAATCTAAAGTACTGTATCGATTTTGATAAATTCACTGTCATACCCCACTCTTCAAACTGAAACACAGCCATGAAAACACAACTGCTTCACGGTAGAAACACGAATGGGACAGAGGTGTTCAAGCAAACGACTTTTGTACAAAGTCTTCCTCTGGTTCTCTACATTCAGGTATGTTGAACATTATCCAATGTTTTATAAACATTACAATTTGGTTTTACGCATGTTTATTAAATTTTTCTAGGTATGGTGATATCCAGTGTTTTCTTAGTGTTGACATTAATTATATATAGAATGGCGAATAAGAAACAAGGTCTTGAAATCTGGCAATACAATGCCTTTTTAGCGAGCCTTACAGTTGCTGTATTGACTAGAGCGTCGATATCATTGGGCATTTGGACAGGAACTATTGGATGTACAAGCTGTTTGTTATTAAGTAAGTATAATTGCCGTATGGTCCCAGCATAGAATGGGCTACGCATTCCTTTCCCGAGGGTGTCGTAAGAGGGGACTAAGGGAATTCAATTTTTGAGGGATGTGCAGCAGCGTCCTTTTTATAACATTACCAAAACCATGCGATTGTCAATTCGCCTGCCAAGCATGGCAACTACAGGAAAAACACCCCAATAGGGGGAAGCCTATGTTCAGCAGTGGACAATTAACAGTTGATATAATATTATTATTATTAAAAAACTAGCGGTTCGCCCCGGCCGCTAATTGATATTTCATATTAGCTTTAAAAAGCTAATTTTTGATACCTTCTGTTCATCATAAGAACTACTAACCGTCCGCTACTGAACATAAGCTTCCCACGTAAGGGGTAGTAGTTGAGACGCTTGGTAGACGTATTGGCAATCGGAGTTAAGCTCTGGTGAAGTCTAAAGAGTGGCGCTTTTGCCCATTCCTCGACAATTTAGTTCTCTAAATCGCCTTTTATGACACCCACGGGATAAAAGGGATAGCTCATTCTATGCCAGGAGCACACAGCAACTAAATATGTATTGAATAACAAATGTAAATTAAACTAATATGTAATATTCTGTTTTAGGTCCACTACATAATGCTGCATCATTGAGCTGCCATATGTGGCTCAATACAATGATATACGATATTTGTGCTATTTATAAGTACGTATAATATATTTTATTATTAGGGATATATTGTGGTTTTACTACTATGAATCGGGATAAATAATTAATCTTGTAAACAGGGTAGAAGGGATAGGCTGGCCAAAATGAAAAAAATTTATTCAGATGAATGGTTTAAACCAGATGGCAGATTATTTTCCCACCGAAAATATATTAAGCCCTTACATGGGTTAACGATTCTTAGATTTGACGCCGCGCAATGTATTTGAAATTTTAAGTCGTACAGTGCTCCACGTGACGAGGAATATCGACACCGCGCGGTCAACGGCGCTTCTTCGTAGGTAGTTTTCATACGCTTGTGGCGTTGACCTTACATACATACATACATATTGCATAGTATTTCACTATATTATATTATTGTTTCTTTATAGGACATAATATCATAGATTACATCATTTTAAATACAAAAAGAAGAAACAGGAAAAGAATATTAAATTTTCTGGAAAGAATTTTCACTAGTTTTCAGATCAGAATAATGGTCTGAAATTGTTGTTTCAGTTTTTGCCAACCTGTCCCTTACACCCTGTGTAGTTTATCGTATTTGTAAATTAAATTCAAATCTGTTCAGCCAAACATCTAAACATACATTTACACTTTAATTTCATACACTATGATTTGATGAGTCACTAATACTCGCTCACGATCATTTAAAATCATTACCCTCCCTTTATCGGCATTCGGTTTAAATATTATCTATCTAACATTATTGCACCTAATGCTTATGTACCTTTTTATGCAATTAGAATGCCAAACAAGCTAACGGCTCATCTGATGGAAAGTGGTAACCGCCTCCTTCAGACATGAACAGAACCATAACAGATTTTGTTTATGCAACTTAGAATGGAAAACAATCTGACGGCCGACCTGATGGAAAGTGGTAACTATAGCCTATAGATATGTACCATGCATATAACAGAGTATATTGTTTCGCCCCATGCGTTGTCATTCCTGAGGACTCATGTGTACCTTGTAAATTCACTGCCATATCCCACCCTTGAAACCAAAACACAGCCATGCAAACACAACTGCTACACGGTAAAGATACGAATGGGACAGAGGTGCCCAAGCAGACGACTTTTGTACAAAGTCCTCCTCTTCTCTATTCAAATAAAAGTATACCAATTCATTCATTTCTCACCACTAATACAAACATCGTTTCAGGTCTCTTGGTGGACGCGTTATGGCATACCCTATGGGTATGATGTACAGCGTCATCTGCTGTACTCTGTACGCATGCGTAGTACCTTCGCTGGTAGTGTCCGTAGAACTAGTACTTGATTGCGTGCATTTGAATTATTTCTCTAAACCTATGTTCCTCGACTGCGCTGTTACTCGTAAGTACTTATATAATTTTTTATCGTCTTCACTAGGTTTTAACCTGTCCCTTTAGATAGAGCACAAATGAATCTATCAGTAGAATCGCATCGGTCAACGCTCAGATAAGAAAAAACAAGACAGCGCATGCCTCCATCTCATACTTTCCGTCTCGATTCTCTAGCGATAACGATCCTATCAATAGATTTGTTTAAACTTTTTCTAGAGAACTTTGCTTTGAATTAGCTGTTGTTAATCCAAAGCCAAGCCGTCTAGACAAAGTTTTCGTGTATTCGACAAAATGAATGGGCATTAATAATTAAGTTTCATCGTAAGAATTTATTTACTCCTCTTTTGATCCCATAGTAATTGTCATATTTGAAGACTGTATATTAAAAAAAGTTTGAAATAAAATTTTATTTAAAAAAAAAAGGTTGTTTAAACAAGTTACAGTACTAATATTAATATTATAATTGTAAATGGGTACAGTAGTTGTGGGTTGTGGTTTCAGAACTAGTCCTAAATAGCTCCTAAATAGGTTAACATAATAACCTGTATAAAGGGCCAGTCCCAGCCCCTTTAGTATCATGGGAAAATTAAGACAATGTAAAAAAATATTAAGTCAAATCACGAATAATTTCAATTCCTAGAGCTTCAAAGATACAAAATTAGTAACAATCCCCTAAATGCTTGTATTCTAGATAGAAGGGTAAAATATTTTTGTAAAATTATTTTATGGTACAGTGATGGACCTGTTGCTTTGTGTACATGAGATTCCGGGTTCGATTCTCGGTCGGTCCAATTGAGAAAACGAACTAATTCGGGTCTGTGCATCCTGGGTTGTGCACCTAGATGTGCATTGCCTACAGTTTCTCATAACACTATCCTATCTTGAGGATCATATCCTAGCTTGGGGACCAAGTAATTGGTGTGATAGTTTGGCACTTATTTTAAATTGCTAGGTACTCTGACTAAAGATTTTAATGGTCCACTGCTGAACATAGGCCTCTACTTAAGGGTTTTGCTGGTAGTTGCCATGCTTGGCAGGCAGATTGGTAACCGCAGTTAAGCTTTGGAAATGTTTCAAAAGAGAAGCTGCTGTCCATCTCTCGCCCTCCCTTAGTCGTCTCTTACGACACCCACGGGAAAGAATGGGGAGGCCTATTCTATACCGGGACCACACGGGAATATATTTATACTAAAGTATATATTGCAATAATTACTTATCATTAAGTAGGCTATATATATTTGTTATATAAGAAAATACCATCAAATAACATTTAAAACATGTTTTTAGCTAAATCGAAGTTACTATATCAATTGCTGCCGAACTCCATGGCTCTTGGAATCAGCTTGATTCTCACAATATTTACTGTTAAATACAAGAGAAAAGCTGAAGCTGCACTGTCTTTTTTGCATCTACACGAGGTTAAACTATACAAGAAGAACAAAAAGCGGTAATCAAGTTTTTCATCAGCATTTTCATATCATATTTTTTAAATAGGTATATACATATATGTACTTATTCAGTGTCTTTTTTGTGTCATTTTTCCCTTTAAACTTAACCTTGCTTGAGTCATAGATTGTTTTTATTGCTTTTCTAATACAGTTAATTATTTCTTATACGTAGTAATATTTTGTGTACTTATTGTATGTATATATTTTTATTTACTATGTGTATGTTTATATTAGTCTAATTATATGGTTATATTATATGAATATGGCCATGTGGTTCTGTCATAGAATAGGCCACCACTTCCTTTCTTGTGGATGTTGTAAGAGGCGACTAAGGGAGGGCGAGGGATGGGCAGCAGCGTCCCTCTTAAACATCTCTAAAGCCTGACTGTGGTTGCCAATCCGTCTGCCAAGCGTAACAACTACTGGCAACTTTGGGATTGCCAGTAGTTGCTACGTTCAGCAGTGGACAATTAAGGGCTGACATGATGATGATGTATATATGAATATATTAAGTATTACTTTGTATTTCCTCAATTCATGAATGGACTGTCTACTTATTTTTCTGTTTGTTCACTGTTTTTTTTTTATACAACTTAGAATGGCAAACAAGCTGACGGCCCACCTGATGGAAAGTGGTAACCGTCGCCTTTAGACATGAGCAGTGCCATGGATATAACAGAGTATACTGTTATTTTCATGGTACTGTACATGGTACGCCCATGATACCCCCCATGCGTTACCATTCCTGAGGACTCAGGTGTTATTCCTCTGTACCCAGTAAATTCACGCCATATCCCACCCTTCAAACCGAAACACAGCTATGCAAACACAACTGCTTCACGGTTGAAACACGAATGGAACAGAGGTACCCAAGCAATCGACTTTTGTACACGCGTTGACAGTCTCTCTCTGGTAATATGTATATATGTATATCTAAATATGTATGTATGTATGTATGTAGTAATATATTGTATCTTAATTTTCAGAATGATTGTTTGTTGCTCCATAATGATGGTGTTGTTAGGGAATTCATTATGTGAAATTATAGTCAATGGTATTGCAAGGATATCTTCATGGCTTGAAATTGTACTTAATACGTACATCGCATATATGGGGCTGATCATCACGATTATTTTCATTACTACAAATAAAACAATGTTGACATATTGTATGAAGTAAGTTACAATGTTTCTTTTTTATACGTAATTTAAGATGCCAAGTGGTCCCAGCATAGAATGGGCCGTCTCTTTCTTTCTCCTGGGTATCCGTAAGAGGTCATCGACTATTGGTCAAGGGATGGGCAGCAGTGTTCCTCTTAAAACATCACCAAAGCCTTATTGCGGTTGTCAACCCTAGGCAGGTTTAAACATGGCAACTACTAGCAGAACCTCTTATGGGGAAGGCTTATGTTCAGCAGTGGATAGTAACGGCTGACATCTTTATGATGATGATGATGAATGTGGTCTTTAGACTATATACATGTTCAAACACAGCCATGCAAATAACAATACGTTAGTGTACCACATTTTATCAATAAATTTTAATTCATTTTACTGTTTCACAACACGAGTGGGACAATAGTGTCCAATTCTGAATAAGCTGGTGTAATAGTTCCGTTTTACTTCTTCTCCTTTCTTATTTTTCTTGACCGAAATTGTAAATTGAGCTTTTTTTCAAATCAGATTCTGTACATCATGCCGTAACTCTTCATGGAGGACTACAAATAGTGTATCATCCATTAATTCGCTGAAGAAATGCGAAGAAATAGATATTGGCATACCCCAAGAAAATCGAAATAGGTAAGGATCTTAACTGATAGAAATAAACCAGTTCCACAAATAAAACAGACCAAAATAATTTATTTAAATTTAAAACATCTTATAGTTTACTTTTAAAATCGATATAAATTGTATAATGCCACAATTGAAGTAATTTTTTGAGAAAGATAACTTTAAGCTATATTGGGATGACAATGGAATGGTAATCCTAACAACGCTATTGATATACGCTAGCATAACCTCGCCATTCACAATATACTAAAGAAAAACTATCTTCCGAAATGATAATTCGAATTCGTGCAAGCAAAGCCGCGGGCGGTTGTTAATGTCTAAGTAAAAATAAGGCATTTACATTATTTTTGGCATTATTAATATATATAATGGTACAAATAAATAATCTATCTATCAATCTATCGCACACAAATAATACTTTAAGTTTAAAAACATATTTTAGATGACAGGTTTTTCCTAAAGACTACAGTATGGAGTTTTTTAAAAAGGCTGTACTAAGGTTTCTCCAGGGTCGGCAACGCGCATGTGATAGTTTACCATCAGACGAGCTGTATGCCTGTTTACTACCTTCCTCGTATAAAAAAATGCACAGAAAATTGTTGTCTTTACCATGAAATCCTCGGATTCTGAAAAACTTTAAATGAAACCGACATTAATAAAATCTACTTGACATTTATTAGGAAATATTTTTTAAACGTCTGTTTAGTAGTTTTTGCGTGAAAGAATAACAAACATCCAGCTATACATATCGTTCGAAACTTTCGTATTTATCATTTTAATATGATTTATTTATTTCTTACAGGTATAGCAAGAATATTTCGTTTTATTTTGAGACGATAGTTGCAAGAGATGATACTACACACCCCGCCACCGATCTTCGAAACCAAATTTGACATTATCTTTTTTAATAATAATAATAATAAATAATAAATTTATTGCCATTCTTCACAGAAATTATAATGTACATATATTAATTAATAAATATATTGTGCAGTATTCGTATGCGCCTGGCAATAGGTACAAACTCAGCTTTTGCTGGATTGATGTTCGTTCAGCGCTGATTTTCAGTTTGCACCTACACGGGGCACCGTTTCATTATCAAATATTTATATATATTGATGTAGATATTACACAAAAAGTAAAAGAAAAAATAAAAACTCAAATAAATAAATATAAAAACAATGAATAAAAGAAAAAAAAAAACAGAACAAGAATCCAGTGTACCAACAAATCAATGACAAGAAAAATCCCTAAAAAGTGATATACATGTTAACTTACTGACTGTGACAGAGTTATTTTTTTATACAACTTAGAATGGCAAACAAGCTGACGGTCCACCTGATAGAAAGTGGTAACCGTCGCCTATAGACATGAGCAGTACCATGGACATAACAGAGTATACTGTGTCGAGTTAATTTTTGATAATAAAGAAAGAATGAGATACTTTAGTTATATTTTAAAAGATTTTACGGGAAGATGTTATTAATTCCTTCCATAATTTTTGTGGTGTTCAGGGTTTCTATAGACGTCGGCAGTAGGGTATAAAGAGGTGCACTTGTTCCCCCTGTTAGGAAAGAAAATACAGGTTTGTTATAAAACATAATTGTACAAATTATCTGTCCTTATTAAAATTATAAATGTGAAAATGAATTTGTTTACTTTAAGTACCTTAACGGCTTAACCAATTATTATGAAATTTGGTTCACAAAATTTCTACTATATGGAATGAAAAAGGAGGCTATTTTTTATCGCGGTCAGTAAATATATCCCGGTTACGCAGACGAAATTGTGGGTAAAAGCTCGTATTTTATATTTTATTAGTTACTTCTATAGTATGTAGAAAGGGATAGCTAATTCTTTGCCATGTGATTCCGACATAGAATGGCCACCCTTTCTTTCCTGTGGGTGTAAGAGGCGACTAAGTCAATTTAATGGTTGAGAGATGAGTAGCAGTGTCACTCTTAAAACATCGCCAAAGCTTAACTACAATTGCCAACCCGTCTGCTAAATGTGGCAACTACTGGCAAAACTCCCTAAAAAGTAAAAATAATTTTATGGTTCTTATAGAAAAAATAGAATTTTAATTTTCTAGGGTGACGTATCGATTCGCTGGAATCTATATGTCATGTCTAGTTCATATTACGTTTGAAACAGTGGCATATCAAAAATATCTATGTATAAGGTAATTTAATAAAAGTCAGAGAATCTTAAGTCTTAATCGTCTTAAATAAACATTTATCGAAAATCAAACTTCAAAATAAGTCAATGGTGGTGGTCTCGAAAGACCACCCAGAATATTTGTAGGCATATAGAGATATAAATAAGCGATACTTTAAAATTAATCTCCCTTATTCCAATTATTCGGAATTTAGCATTATTTTAGTTTTTGTAGTATTCATCGATAGCCAACCCTACTTTATCACTTTCATACACCAATTTCATACAACTCTAGAGGAGGCTGAACTGGACTGGAATATGCTGGACAGTAAGACAATCATCACGTACTGGTGTCAAATAAATAATAAAATGATTGTAATTACATTTTAATAAAGAAAGTTAAATAAAGGCTATTATTTATATTTTATTTTATTATTATTCCAATAATTTGGTATCAGTATATTATATTTTATGCATATTACTTAAGGTTTTGGCTTTAAGACCGGTAGTCTGCCTGACGTTATCCCTCTCTGAGAATATGTTTGTTGGTGGTATTCGCGCCAAATACGAGTATGGTGTATAGGAAAGGATTGAGGAAAATGGAAATTTATGAGGACAAGGAAATGAGAAAGTGATAATTCAAAATACTAATAATAATAATAAACTTATTATTGATATTTTACAATATAAATATAGACTTTAAGGCAAACCGCAGGAAAATATTTGACATCAATACCACCTACTATATGTGTTGATATAAAATTTTATTAAAAATTAAAAATATTAGTTTACGTAAATATAAATTAACTATTCGTCATCTTATTAGCCTTTAACTGTCCACTGCTGAACATAAGCCTCCCTCTAGATGGGGTTTTCCAGTAGTTGCCATGTTTGGCATGCGAACTGGCAACCGTAGTTAGGCTAAAGAATTGTTTTAAGAGGGACGCTGCTGCCTATTCCTCGCGTGCATTAGTCACCTTTTACGCCACCACTGGAAAGGAAGGGGTGGCCTATTCTATGCCGGGACCACACGGGAAAATTAACTTTTAAACCCAAACAATTAGCACAAGCCATATAATTATTTTATAATATAAATATTAACTTTAGGACAAATCACAAGAAAATATATGACCTCGATACCACCCACTGTGTGTTGATATTAAAATTTATAATAAATTAATAACATTATCATATGTAAATATAAATTAAATATTAAACCAAAATATGTGGTTAAAGTTAATTAAATATATAGTTTTATATCTTGAATATAGGTTATATAGTTGTATAAGTAAATAATCGAAACAAACTCAAGATATTTTTTTAAAGACAAAATTAAATTACTAGTGTAGGTACTTTAAATTCAGTTAAGATTGATTTTTTCAACCGACTTCAAAATGAATGAGGTTCTTAGTTTAGTTGAATTATTTTTATGTTTGTTACCTCATAACTCCGTTAGTTAGTTCTAAAGCGATATGTATTTTTTTTTTGTTTAAAAGAATAAACTTACAGCTTGGTCCTATAGAAATTTTATGAAATTCGACTTATTAGTTTATGTTTTAATTCAACATAACTGGTTTTTTTTTTCACAATTGCATTCACATCTTTAATTATTGTAAAACAAACAATTTTAATTACGCGTAATTCCATAATGTATTTTATATGCCATATTCTGTTCATGATAATGACCGACGGTTACCACACTCCATCAGGTGCATTCTTATTTATATTCCATTTTTTTTCTTAAATAAAAAGAGAGACAGAAGTACTTCTCTGATAAAGTATCTCTATACATACTAAAAAAGTCAAATTTAGAACCTTATTGTGTTATAATTAATTGAGAAAATACATAAAACATGCAGCAAGAAAAATTAATAATTGAAAAAATATAATTACATCCGATATGCATTTACAAAAATCGAATAAGGAATGTTACGATGATTTGGCCATTTGGAGAGGATGGATGAAAGAAGGATTACGAAAGAGATTTATCGAGCAAGAGAGAGGTCATCCTAGATGAACGTATGTCGACCAAATACCCGTAACCGACAAGCGTGTATGAAAAGGTTGGTGAATGTGGAAGAAGCGAAAGAGGCTTATTTGAATCGAATCATTTGACATTCCATCTTTTCTGCCTACCCTATTGAGAGACAGGCGTGACAGATATGTATACAATTTGTCTATGCATTTACTAAGAAAGATTTTATATATAATATATTATTATATGATACGGGAGATATTAGATTCTGTGCTGGAAATGTGCTTTATACGATATATGCTTTGATTTGTAAATAAAATATTACGGATTTACTGATTTTCACGAAGTCTTAATGGCCTAATTTTAATTACATTATTAATCCTTCCATGTAAACATATTAGTAATTAATACCATATTAATTAGAGTTATTATCGCACATAAATTAATATTATTTTTTCTCAAACATGCTTGGAAATGTGAGCATTATTTTCACAATCTTCTTCGAGATAAATCAAAATTGCCCTACTGGCTATCTGGCAATCTACATCTGGCTATCTACATGCGGGCAGCGGCTGGTAAAAGTTGTATGAAAATCCATATTTGTTGTGTTTTGCGGCCAGATAAATTACTATGTAAACTCATATCTGTCCTGTAATTTAAAAATGGAATGACCTTTTACTTCGAAACATGGCTACCAAGGAGGTAACTAATAAAAGGTTTTATTTAAATTTCGAACTGGCTTGCAAATAGAAAGCTGTTTATTGAAAATAAAAACAAACGAACATTATGGCGCGTGAATAGTACATTACTGCAGCGGCCAGCAACTGAGGCATTGATGGACAAACGTGCAAATGTGGGCCGAGGCGTAGCCGAGGCACACATACGTGAGTCCATCTATGCCTAGTTGTGGCCAAGGCTTGTATAGTACTTTTCTCAAACAATGCGCGGGAATCAAAAACATAATTTTACTTTTTAAGTTCAATGACGAATAACGAACAATAATAATTTTCCACCTAATTGAAAGTGGTAACCGGTGTTATTCCTCTGTACCCGGTAAATTTACGCCATATCTCACCCTTCAAACCGAAACACAGCCATGCAAACACAACTGCTTTACGGTTGAAATACGAATGGGACAGAGGGACCCAAGCAATCGACTTTTGTACAAAGTCTCCCTCTACCTGATTAGGTACAAAATTTTATTCAAATTCGAATTCCAAGTAGTTTTAGCATGAAAGAGTAACAAATATCTATCTATTCGTCTATCCTATGCTTAAATTTACATGTGTAATCTCTATTTTCCTATAAAAAAATTGTTCTTACTATGAATTTATTATTGGAAATTCTTCAAGATTACATAAAGTATTTGCGGTTAGATTATCAGTATTTTAATTTGGGTCATCAGCGGCTGTGACATAGAAATCATTGTTGAGTTATAACGTCATTGTATTAAGTGAATTACTAACCACTGCCTAAATATTAAATGAAATATAATAAAATAATAACATAAATAATAAGAATTGAATGTTTTTGTCGTCTGTCCACCTCCGTCCTACTTGTGTGTGCTTACGTAGCTGTGTTTCAGTTTTAAGGGCGGTATATGGTAGTTATATACGATAGCCCAAAAATAGTATGCAAAAGCTGCAAATTACTCAGCGGGCTATGGAGAGGGCTATGCTCGGAGTTTCTTTGCGTAATAGAATCCGAAACGAAGATGTCAGCAAAAGAACCAACGTAACCGACATAGACCGAAGGATATGAGCGCAGTAAATAAAATTGCCATTGGTAATAGATTGGATTTATAATATATTTTACCAGAGGAAGACTTTGTACAAAAGTCGATTGCTTGGGTACCTCTGTCCCATTCGTGTTTCAACCGTGAAGCAGTTGTGTTTGCATGGCTGTGTTTCGGTTTGAAAGGTGGGATATGGCGTGAATTTACTGGGTACAGAGGAATAACACCTGAGTCCTCAGGAATGGCAACGCACGGGGGGTATCATGGGCGAAACAGTATACTCTATTATGTCGATGGTACTGCTCATGTCTATAGGCGACGGTTACCGCTTTCCATCAGGTGGGCCGTCAGCTTATTTGCCATTCTAAGTTGCATAAAAAAAAGATTGATATTAGATTCAAATGTAGACCTGCTGATCTGGGAAATTTTTAATCCAATTACTTGCCAACACGGATAAAACGCGCCACTTTATTTTGGTTTATAAATACGTGTCCAAATTCAATCAGTCAAACGTCACTAGCGGGTGGAAGGGGTTGTTAGATGGAAAGTGGGCTGTCGGCCCCATTTTTTTATTATTATTTCAGCCCTTAACTGTCCACTGCTAAACATAAGCTTTTCCTATAAGGGTAGTTTTGCCAGTAGTCGCCACACTTGGCAGGCGAGTTGGCAACCGCAGTTAGACTTTGGTGATGTGTTAAGAGCAACGCTACTGACGACTTTTCGACTATTAAGCTCCCTTATGACGCTCGCTGGACAAGAAGGGGTGGTTTATCCTATGCCAGGACCACACGGCAATTTATAATATTAGTAAGAATTATCACATAATTGATATACTTATAAATGCAAATATTAGTATCGTTTTTTGCTTGCTTCGATTGCTTGGGTACCTCTGTCCCATTCGTGTTTCTACCGTGAAGCAGTTGTGTTTACATGGTTGTGTATCAGATTGAAGGGTGGGATATGGCGTGAATTTACAGGGTACAGAGGAATAATATCTGAGTCCTCAAGAATGGCAACGCATGGGGGTTATCATGGGCGAAACAGTATACTCTGTTATGTCCATGGTACTGCTTATGTTTATAGGCGACGGTTACCACTTTTCATCAGATGGACCGTCAGCTTGTTTGCCATTGTACGTTGTATAAAAAAAATACATAGGGACGGGCAGATGGGAAGCGACTTTGTTTTATACTATATAGTAATGCAGAATTGTTATTTCAATAAAGTTAGTTTTACCATAAGGTAAAATACCATAATAAAATACCGTAAGAAAACAATCGTTATTATGAGAATTGATTTGTTATTGTTTCATATTCGATGGGCGTGAATATAATGAATCACGTATTATTTATTAGCACAATTAGGTATAAATTATGGTATACAGAATAGAGTAAATCGTAAGTAGTTTATTTTAACCGGCATCAAAAAAGGAGCGGTTCGTAATTCCGTTGTATTTTTTATGTTTGTTACCTCAGAACTCCGTCACCGTAAACTGATTTGAGAAATGATTTTTTTTATCTTAAAAGGATTTCCTTTCAGATGGTTGTCCCGTAGAAGTTTTATCAAAATCAATTCAGTTCATGCGAACACAACTGTTTCACGGTTGAAACACGAATAGGACAGAGGTACCCAAGCAATCGACTTTTGTATAAAGTTCTGGTGGATCTTATATTGCAGGAGTAATTATTTGAATTTAGAATGTGTATGTAGTACAACATATTAATTTTGGTATATTTAAATGCATTCTTTTTTCGAATGGAATTTTAAAGTAAATCGTAAGCACGAATTCAATGCAATAAAAAAAAATATATATATATATATATATATATATATATATATATATATATATATATAAACTTATCAGCGTTTCCAATATGGTACTTCCTGTAGATATGAATACTGTACTTAATCATACATTTTGTGCTATTATTGCAATTATACTCGTATTTGGAATAAATTATAAATTTACCGTATTATTTATCAAAATGTCAAATCTCTTATAAATCTGTTTTACTCGTAGCTACTGAAGTGTTTTATCTTTTTCTTTTGCGCAAATTTTTCAATTTGAAAGACAGTGACAAATCGGTCTAACAGTTAACATGTTTTTTTTTTAATAATTAGTATAATGGAATAAAAATGCCTGCATCATATTATACGCTGGCGAAGCACCAGTGAAAGATGACATGTGAGAATGAAAAGGCAGGTCAGTTAACCTATCGTGATGAATACACCTGGAATTCAGCACGATGGTTTTCAGGGAGACCACGGGGAAGTCGACTTGACTGGGTATATTGCTAGCAATGGGACATCCACATTACTAATAACACGTTTTAGTTTTTACGAATAAAAGGGTTAGACTTTGAAATGAAACATACAAAGCACAGGACTGTACAAAGTGGCGCATTTTGGGCAAAGTCTATGTCCAACAGTGAACAGCTGTGGCCTGATGGTAATGATGATTATATTATACATATTTACATATTTTTTAATAAAATTTATATTTTGCAAAACAGATACTGTTGAAATTAGAAAAAAAAAAACATTAAATTAAGTTTTAATTTTTTTTCATAAATAATTTTAGGTCAATTAATTGTTTCTAATATATATGTACGTTATTTTTATTTATACTTCATTATACACTAATAATACATAAAGAAATATTACAGTGAAAATCAAGTGTACTAAGGCGAGCTTAACTACACAGTTCTCTTTCAGAGTAGAGCGGTGTACAATACTGTGACAATTTATCATATAATAATAATAAAACGCTATTAATTGGACCTTGTATATCGATGTCAATATTATATTTAAATATAATAATATATTATTTATTTTATAACTTTATATGATACAATAAGGTATAATGAAGATTAATAAAATAATTGTGTATAGTAATTTTTTTTAATGAGTGATAATGGAATAGTAACCCTGCCTGCGCTATCGGTATACGCTGACAAGGCACCAGTGAGAGATGATAGATGACGATGAAATCAGGTCAGTTAGCCCACCATGATCAATTCGATAAGAATTAACCATGATGGTTTCCAGGGGAAACCGCGTGGAGGTCGACCTGAGAGAGTATATTGCTAGCAATGGTGCCATTAGACCTCAACTAACAATCCCTTTCCCCCTTGTATAGTCATGTTATATAAATAATCGTGTATAATTGTACTCGTATTGCATCGGTTATAATTTACCATATCTGATAAATTTACAGTTTTTATACTTGATTTAAACGATATTTAAAAGACAAAACTGAAATTGTGTACAACAATGTAATAAAGTCTTATAGTAATTGGTATTTATAGACGAGGAAATATACACCACACGTCACCATAGGAACCTTCGATGAATAAACAGGGATACAACATCCAAATTGTACCCGCTCGTTGTTTAATCATAACACTTGTAATAGCGGTACACGGACAAACATACAAATGGGTGCGTTGTGTTTTCAACTTGTTTTATTTTCAACAATTTGTTTCACCTATGCTTGGAGTTCGGCATTGATCAATGGTGACTTTGACATGTCAATTTGTGGACGAAAAAAATGTATATGGAAGTGCTGCCCGGAAAATATGTATGTGAATAGAAAAAAATGCGCCCCGTACAAAGAAGCATTGAATTTCTCGGATTATCCCGTGTTCGATGGCGATATGTATGAGAGTGGAAAGAAATTTTCGGAACTTTTCGCTTTTGTGCCGAACAAGTTTCATAACGAATCGTTCCGGAATGATTCCTACAACATGAACCGGCTGTTCAACGTTTACTTGATGACGGTAAGCTTTTTTTTTTTAAATCTATTTTTAAAAAGTGGGAAGTTCTTAATTCGAATATGAAATGGTAACCCCGTCTGCACTAACGGTATACGCTAGCGGGGCACCAGTGAGGGATGATAGGTGAGAATGAAAAAGCAAGTCAGTTAGCCCATCGTGAAGCATACACCTGGAATTCAGCTGGTTTCCAGGGAGAACCACGTGGAGGTCGACCTGACAGGGCATATAGGTAGCAATAGGACTGGTGGTTCGCATTACTAACAATCCCTTCAAATTGTTTTAATAGTTTTGTTTTTAACTGTATAATAACTAGTTTTTACCACGATTGGATCGCTGTTTTTTTGTTTTGTGAAGCTAAACCTACTTTTATATGTGTATATTCTCAAATGTTTTTTATTTAGATTTAAGTATCTGTAATGTTATCTTTCTAATATAACAAAATAGTAATATTTAAGATAAATTAAAAAATAACTTTTAATACAGAAATTTTATCTGTTTGTCTGTATGTAGCAAATTGGATACGGTTTCCATAGTTATGTTCTAGAAGGTCTAGCTTAAAATTTTATTTTGATATCCTACTTTCAAGTCGTTTATTTTATTTGTTTCCCCATAACTAAAATTCACGTGTACGAAGTAGTGGAAAAAACTAATATAAAAACAGGATTATATTTATATAAAAAAAGCTTCCCACTTCGCCTTCGCAGGGTTATACTATTTTTTTTATTATCCCGTTTTTTCAAACATTATTTCCATAAAAACTTTCACGTGTTAATTTAATTTTTATTACAAACATAACAAAAACGAATTTGTCAAGTAGGTGCAGTCGTTCTGAAATAATGTACCTACTTTAAGAGGGAGACTTTGTACAAAAGTCGTTTGCTTGGGTACCTCTGTCCCATTCGTGCTTCAATCGTAAATCTGTTGTATTATGATATGGCGGTTATTTACAGGGTACAGAGGAATAACACCTGAGTCCTCACGAATGGCAACGCATGGGGGGTATCATGGGCGAAACAGTATACTCTGTTATGTCCATGGTACTGCTTATGTCTATAGGCGACGGTTACCACTTTCCATCAGGTGGGCCATCAGCTTGTTTGCCATTCTAAGTTGTATAAAAAACGTCTATTTGAATATAGATAATTTCTATTCTATTCTATTCTATTCTATTCTATTCTACAATAAATTTAATTTCTGAGCGAAGCCGAACTATTCCTGTTTGATTGTTCCAACTTATTGTTTTTTCCTGTAATAAGGGCCCTCGATATCACGTTTACCTAGAATAAAATATAATTAAAGGAAATCGACCAGATGTTTAATTAAAAACAAATCCATTTGGCATACGTACTTGTGTATTATCGCTTACTTAGAATTCCGTCGCTGAAAACTTAAATAGTGTACCTATTTAAATTAATACATTGTTCTTGCAAAGTTGTCATATTAATTTTCTTTTTATTTTGGTTTTGGCGGCGTGGTCTCGGCATAGAATAGAGTTCCCCTTCCTTTCCCGTGGGTGTCGTAAGAGGCGACTAAGTGAAGGCGAGAAATGAACAGCAGCGTCCATAAAACATTTTTATAACCTAACTGCGGTTGCCAATCCGCCTGCCAAGCATGGCAACTACGGGCGAAACCCTCCAAGGGGGAGGCTTATGTTCAGTAGTGGAAAGTTAAAAGCTGATATGATGATGATTTAGTACAATAATAAATAAAGTGATGTATTAAAAATAAATAAAACACATGAAGCCATTTAGAATACTTTGTATTATTGATATAATTAATAATGGAAGTAACAAAATTATCAATGTATTGCGGTTTATACAAAACAAAATAACTATTGATTTATAAGTAAATAGCATACATTATGATTTTAATTAAAATGTAACAAATATTTATTTATAAATATTAGTATAAGACTACCATTTTCTATTAAATGGGCGGTCAGTTCGAATCCCTTTTCAAGTTGCGTAAAAAAAAAACAAGTTATGAGTTTTTGTATGATGTTTTCTTCCACAAACCCTCAGATTATGGAATGAGTTCCCTGTCGAGGTTTTTCCAAAATACTACGTAATGGAGTTAAAGAAAAGGTATAGAGCTTTCTTCAGGGTCGGCAAAATACGCGTAATGTATGACCTTGACCTTGACGCCTGCAATAGGCGTTCATAGGCTACGGTATCCGCTTACCATCAGGTGGGCCGTATATTTATTTGCCGCCTCAGTGGTATAAAAAAAGCAAAATTTTATATATATTACTTGGAGAAGTAACAAAAAATGTTTTCTCATTAGTCAGACTGTTTTGATAATTTTTATGCATTGTCAGACAAGCCGAAAGTCGACAGTGAAAGATGTGTGCGCGAGTATTGTTTGTTCTAATTTGAGAAATAGGATAGTATTTATTTCATTAAAAAAAATTGGATCCGATAGGTGGCGGCAGGGGGTAAAACACGTTTGCCGGATTGGGTAATAGTAAATAAATTACAATATACAATAATGAGTAATGATTTCGAACGGATAAACGCAGTGTAGAACGACCGCCCACTAGATAGAGTGACGACCTCAAATGCATTGAAGGGAGTTAGTGGAATCAAGTGGTTCAGGACCGTGTATGAGTGAGACGTACTCGTATGTTTAGCAGTGGACAGATCGTCATAGTCGTAGAATACTGACGGATCTGACAAAGAATACATATATAGATCCGTCAGTATTCTACGACTATGACGAGATGTCCGAAATGATGATAATGTACACTAATAAAAACAAAACTGTTGTTCCACTTATTATGATCCATATAATTCAGAGAATTATTAGTCTTGTGACTCATTTAACTATAGGTAATATTCCTATTATATTTAACTAACCAATACGCGTAGTTAGTGATGTATTTCGTGTTATCATTTATGTAGGCATTTTAAGTACTCATAATTCTATTTATTTTCAAACAATTTTAAAAACTTTGGTTTTACGAAATGTAGCAATGTTGGAATTATCTGTAAATTATCAAAAACAAAGAATTTTCAATATTTCCAGTTACTTATTTAAAAAGTTAGCAAACTAAAACATTAATAGTAGAACCACGTAGAACATATTGCATTTTTTCATAATTGACAAACAAATGCAACGTTGCCACACTTTGCTACGCTATACGCGTATCTCTTAAAGAGACAACCATACAAACGAAGGTTAAAAGCTTCGTTTGTGTGGTTGTAAAATTCAGCTTATGTTTTATGGCTAACTTATGCGCTCACGTCGCGAATTCCGTGGATTTTGGGCGTTGGACTTTTTTCATAACACACTCTTATATTTGACAAGAAGTGTTTGCTTCTGATTTCGCAGACGTAAATTTTAATAGTCTTAATTAATTATTTGTTGCAGTTGTATTTGCTTAATACTAGAACAAACTTCTATAGCGCTTATTAAGACCGCTCATATATTATTTTTTTCAAATATTGACCTTATTTTATAATTGAAATTTAACCATCAAACGACTTCATATAGGGAAAGTTAGTTTATTTTTTAATTTCTCTTTATCATTTCTTTTCTTTAATTTGTAATTTGTACAAAAATCTTACTTACTTATGTTTCTTCAGTAAAGTAGCTATGTTTAGTTTTGAAAAAAAAAAGAATATAACAATGAAATTACAGAGTATAAAAATATAAAATGTAGAGACGTCGTCTATTTACAATTTTATTATATGTGTATAGGTTAATTGCCGTGCGGTCCCAGCGTAGAATGGGATACCCCTTCCTTTTCCGTGAGTATTATAAGAGGCGCTTACGGTAACATAATGGTCGAGAGATGGGCGTCCTTCTTAAAGTCACCAAAAGCCTAACTGTGATTGCCAATCCGTCTGCCAAGCATCGCAACTACTGCAAAACCCTACCTACTCTATCCTTATGGGGGTGGCCTTCGTTCAGCAATAGAGAATGGCTGATTTGATGATCATGATAGAGATAGACAAAACTATAAATTATCTGTAACAGTACTTCTTAAACGGTATTCTTCTATTATTTTCAGAGCGGATCCGCATATTTGGAGTTACCAAACGCCTTCCAAAGATGGACCTTAGTGGCACCTTCGAACTTCTGTTTAGACTACATATTGCCAAACAAGAGAGTTAAAAAGCCAGAAATAAACCTCTGGGCTACCTTTGAAGAAGCAGATGTGATGGAAAGCAACATATATATGACGATTGGTAAGACATATTGTGATATTACGAGTACTAAATTGAAGGTTTTGTTCCAAAAATTACCGACTTCGATTGCGTGACAAAATCACTTATTTGATTTAAAATTTTAGTGAAACCTATCTACACTTTATATATATATATTATATATATATATATATATATATATATATATATATATATATATATATATATATATATATATATATATATATATATATATATATATATATATATATATATATTATATATCCAGATACACCTTCAGAATCTGTAGGTGTATCTGGATATATCTATATAAAATATTTTGATCTCTTTTAGAGATAAGCCCATACTTGTTAACAAGTTGTTAAACAAATCACTGTATCTTTTGTTCAAGTGCAATAAAGAATTAAAAAAAAAATAACTGGCCATACCAAGATTGAAGTCGGTATTTTTTATTTTGTGCAACAAAATCAAATCTATCTGTAAAAATATATCTGTTTGAGCAAACTTTTCAATTGACTCCAAAGAGAAGGAATTTTTCAATTTGGTTGTATTTTTTATGTTTCTTACCTAATAATACCCATAGAATTTTTATTTAAATCGGTTCATAGCTTAGTTTTTAAATCAAAATAACTACTTTTGCCATAAATGAAGTCGATATTTTTTCGTGAAATCTTTATAGATAGATAGATACTCTTTATTGTTTCCTCCAAACGACTACTAATTTATTAATTTTCAAAAGATTATTAATTGGATTTACTAGTAAAATTACAATTATTTTCATGCTTAGTCTAGAATACACAGTATTTATTTTCTTTTCCTACAGGTATGCTCATATCATGTGTATTCATGGGTTTGGTTCTTCTCGTATACGCCTTACTTCCTGAGCTGCGCAATCTGTGTGGTCTCGTTTTGATGTCATATGTAGCAAGTTTACTGATGGCCTTCCTCCTTTTGGCTGTTGTACAGTTATATCAATTTACCGATGTGGAATGTCTCTGGATGAGTAAGTATCGCAAACCATGCATTCATTTATATTTAGGAACTGCGCTCTTGTTAGTGAAGCCCTAGCCACCTACTACGATTAAAAAAAAAAATTTTCTTCGCTTTAATTCCCGATTGTCTATTTAAAATATGTGTTAAAATTAACTAATATTAGTATAGGTGTAAACTAGTGACTTCATAAAATACGACCATATATTAATAAATTCGATTAATCATAGTAAAATATTCGGTAATTTATAATGAGCGACTACACATAGATTAATAAGTTTTATTCATATTTACTTAGTCTTACATAGTAAGACACACGCCGTGCAGTCTTGTGCGAAATTTTCGCGGTTTACACACAGCACAGTATTCAAAGGGCCTACCAAGAAATATTTTCCGAAATTTCGAGACCAAACGAAATACAAATTTGATGTTTAAATTACATAATACATAAAAATAATAAAATATCGTTCCTGTGGATTATCACAGTTGGATTAATGACGAATAATATGTTAAACTCCATATTGAGTCGATTTCGGTACAAAGAAAATAATAAAATTTAATTAAAAATTTGAACTTTCATTTCATGGTAGATCTCTAGCATTCTAACAAACGGCTGTTAACAAATTTCTACTCTGCTATATGAATTACTTTGTAAATTTTTGACCACGGTAGTGTGCCATATGCGTGAAGCACCTAAAATGTTAAATGAAAAAACTTAAGTATTAATTCTATTGCAGCTTTCACGGTGTATTACTGCTTCATGGCGAGTTTTTGCTGGATGAACATCATGTCTTATGACATTTGGTGGACTTTCAGGTTAGACAAATGACTATTATTTCATAAACACCGTAGTTATTATTTATTTATTCTAATTTTAAACTTAGACTTTAAATAACAATATCACTGTTAAAAATATAAAGTTTAAACTGAAAGCTTATTTACTGTTCAACCTTGCTAAAACAGCAGAATATTAATGTAAATATTGACATTTGAATACGAAATGTAAAGTATCACATACTAGCCCAAGAGGTTTAAGTGGTACTAAAAATCCAGTTTTTTTTAATGTATTTATGCATGCTAATTAAATCAAAATAAAAAAAAATTAAGAATACTTAGATTTTTAATGTTCTAAAATATTTAGATTTTAAGCCTCGATGCTTTATCTATATAGATATCTCAAAAACAGGTCAACTTTTTATCAACTAATTATCAAATTAGCTGACTTTTCTTGTCGAAATCTAGTAATATCCAAACCAGATCGACCACCACGTAGTTTCCCTTGGAAATCATATTGAATTCCAGGTGTATTCATCACGATGGGCTAACTGATTTGCCCGTTTATACTCACCTATCATCCCCCACTGGTGCCCCGCCGGCGTTTACCGTCAGCGCGGGCGGGTTTGTCATTTATTGAAAAAAATAAATATGTTAATTGGGTCACTAATCCCAATTACTCTGAACTTACACCTATTCTCAATTGATCTGTTAGTTTCTTAGCATTTCTAATTTAAGTAAAAAATGCACTTAATATATTTTTTTTATTTACAGAGGCTACGCCAAAGCGAGGCCAATTCATAGGCGTGGAGAGACGTTCAAGTTCTGCATGTACAGTCTATACGGCTGGGGCGTGCCTCTTGGGCTTACAGCATTCCTCGGCATCATAAACGAAATGGACCTTACACATGTCCCGTGGTTCATCACTCCTCAAATACCTGATAAGGGATGCTTTCTGGAAGGTAAGAATTTTACAGATTATAGTAGATATAAAGGCATAACACTGATTTACAAAAATTTACAACATAGGTGTCATTATTTATTACCAAGGTGTGAAAAGGTAACAAATAAACAAACTCAGTTTTACAATTACCTAATATATTTTCCATTGCCGTATAGTCCCGGCATAGAATGGGCCACCTTCCTTTTCCATGGGTGTCGTAAGAAGCGACTAAAGGAACTTAATGTTTCAAGCATTAACTTTATAGACAGGCAGCAGTGCCCGTCTTAAAACATCACCAAAAACCTAACTGCATTTGTCAACCTGCCTGCCAATCGTGGCAACGACAGGCAAAACTCTCCTTATGGGGGAGAACTATGTATAGCAAAAGACAATTAACGGCTGATATGATGATAAATATGGTCGCCTACAATATGAGTATAATAACTTAATAGGTTAGTTAAAATCAAGGCTAATAAATTACAATTATACATAAATAATATTAATTCTTACAGATGGCCAGAAATTGGTGTACATGTACATTCCAATGTTGATCATGAGTGCTTTCAACTGGCTCTTCTACTTAATGACCGCGTACAACGTGTGGAGGCTCAGTCGTGGTACCGCCGTGCTGGATTCAGCCGCTGCCGGGACTCCAGCAGCTCATCGTAGCCAAAGGCACAGGTAGGAAGTAAAGAACAAAAGAGACAATAGAAAGATACAGTATTTTGTTGCAATAACATTCTGATAGTGCTATCTTAGGCTATTCAGACCAGGTTGATTATGAACTATAAGTATTTATTTATTTATTTATTCATTAGTACCAATATGTGTACATGGCGGACTTAATGCTAAAAGCATTCTCTCCCAGTCAACCATAGAAAAGTGTCAGAATACTCGAATGCGGTACATATAAACGAATAAATATATATGAATTACAAATATACTTACACATATATGATATATACTATATTATGCACGAATTTGGAAATAATATAAAGCAATTACTGCTCGGATAAAGATAAAAAGTGAGCGTGAACGCTTTTTTTGAAAGACGGTTTAGTCGGTAGTCTCTTAATGGCATCAGGAAGCGCGCTCCAGAGTCGTGAAAGTATGTTCATTATAAGCGCTTAAAACCTGGCAGGTTTATAAAGTTGAGATAACAAAACAATTTACATTATTTCTAAATAAGATGTCTCGACATGTATATCTAATTATTACTTTATCTGATAGCACAACATTCAAAAATAAATTACAATCATAGAACTTCACGCAGATAATAATATCTTTTTCAGATTTATGGTATATCTTAAGCTGTCTATCCTGATGGGACTCAATTGGGTATTGGAAGTGATTAGCTCATTCAAACCGGAGCTAAAATTGTGGAACATCACAGACGCATATAACCTGCTCATTGGAGTAGCCATATTCCTCATTTTTGTCTGCAAAAAGAAGATCTTTCAAAAACTAATGAAAAGGTCAGTATCAAAATTTAAGTCAGATCTACTTTTAAAAATTATATGTCTAGTAAAAAAAGTCAAAAGAAATGTACATTGAATACACCAAAATTTTTATCTTTTGCATTAACTTGACAGTAGGATATGCCGTATAGGTGTGGGAGACTCAAATTCGTTAACTGTTTTTGGATCTTTGTTTCTTTCTACTTAAAAGGTTATTCAGTGTCATTGTTAGAATACTACAGATGTGGTATACCATATCTATAGTTATAGTTACGCTATAGCGTACTATAAACTGACAGATTGGTAATGCAATCATAAAAACGAGGCAAGAAAATTGTTATACTAATGTACATATAATGTATATGTGTTCATGTGACAGTTCTGCATAACTAAAGTTGCAAAAATAACAAAAAAAAATATATGTATTTTTAATAATTTACATTCATATTTTACAGAACTATATTTAGATTAAATTAAAAATTTTTCTGCTTATTCTTGCACAAAATATTTTTGATTATTCTATAATATATCATGATTTTCCTATGATATATGTTTAAAGCGTAATTAATTGAAAAACGTGCATTTTAGTTGTTTTTCTTCCACTTAATTATATGTTATATTCATGTACAGTAAACTTAATTCTAATCAACTCCACTTACTTAAAACTAATTTCACTTTAAAACGTAAAAATTATTAGGATTTGCTTTGTTCATACTCTCACCAAACCAGCTTCGAGCTTATATTGTAAAATGAATGAATACTTCGTCTATATCGCTCTGTAAAACGTTACATTATTATGTTTTTTCTCTTTTACATTATCAATTTAAATATATTATAATTAAAGTATGAAACAATCCTTAAAATAGGTTTTAATTATTTCTGTGCATATATTTGTTCATATAACATACATATACATATATAATATGTATTAGACAACTCTAATGATCTGTATAAAAACACGAAGATCTTGGTAAACAATTTTATTGAATTTATTTACGTTCCTTCACAGATTCAGAGAATGCGGTAGCCACCAATGGTCACCACACTCTAAGAGCCGCTCCAGTTCCACCACATTATCCAACCTCAGTCAGGAGTCTACCACCCCACAAGTGTGCATCAACCCTAAAGGATTCGCCTAATTTTATTTAGTAAAAAAAGAAACATACTCTTTATATACGTAATAGAAATGTAATTATCTTTTTAAAGAAGTTTTAGAAACGTGTAGACCCTAAGCCGAGTTAATGTACATTGTAAATAATACACAGAGAATCTTAACTATATACGTATTTAATATATCTTTTCTAATAAAATTACTTTGCTTACTGTGACAAGATTAATTACGAATTACTTTATTTATCGAACTTAAACACAAGTCAGCAATATCTTTGGGTGGTAAGATATTTTATAGTATTTGTCACAGAGTAAATAATGAAATGATTTTTATATTTTTAAACATTTATTTCAGTTTACAAATTTTATTTTTATATTTGTACGGCTTATATATATAATATATGCTAGTATAATAAATATAAAACAATATTTTAAATATTTTAAAGTGTCACCGACCGAAAATGTAAGCTAAGTTTTTTCTATTTTTCTTCGTTAATTGTCATATTTCTCTATTTTTTTTTTTTTAATATTGTACAACAACTGGGTTCCATGAACAATAAAACAAATTGTTAATTTAACAATTGTTATTTGCAGTACAAAGTGTAATGTAATGTTCTCTACCATAGATATATAGACCATAAATGTGCAGGTTGGTGTATTTTTTTTTTTACATAAGTATTATACAATATAATTTTATAGCACTTTAAATGATAGATATTAATAAACTAGTAAAACAACTAAATAGGCTAAACTTATAATTTAAGACTAAACCCTATAGTTATAGGATAGTTGGTTTGAAACAATAAACCGCCTCTAAGTAAGTGTTAGGATTATTTTCGTACAATTAGTTTTATAATGTTTTCTTTTCAGAGGTAATGAAATTATACATAATTCTAAATGAGTGTAATGTACAATACCAAATATCTCATTGAATTAAAAATAACAATTAAGTAACTTAATAAACCTCCAATAAAGTATCTTAATACCAAATATTTATGTTATTCCTTGTTCTTAACATCATAATCTAATTATTTGCAACTTGCAACACTGAAGAACGGTGTTTTGTTTGTTAAAAAAATTAAAGATTTCGGGGGAAAAATATAAGAACAAGGAATTAAAAAATATACCAAATATCAGCCAAAGTGACGTTTATTATATGATACAGTCGTAGAAAGACCGTAGATACTGTAGTACAGAACTATAATACGTTTAATATAATAAATACGAAATAAGATGAGTGAGATGTACCTTAATTACTTATTAAGAACTGGCTAATTATATTCAAAATATACTTTTTCATGTGTGTTTAGTTAATTTTATTGATAGCTTAAATTTAAATTTATGTATTCCATAAGGATTTTACTATTTAAGTGTATTTTTACTCTTTATTTTGTAATAAAATAAATTCGTTGTATCACAGACAAAAAATTATAAACAAGGAGCTAATTTTTCTAAAGATTTGTATGTATGTTTTACCCATGTAAATTTGTTACTTCGTAAATCATTATGGTTATAATTGATAGCTTATGGCCAAAACCCGAGAAATAAAAAAATCACAGTGGTTAAAATAAAAGCTGTATCTAAGTACTTCATTATCATATCAACCGTTATCTGTCCACTGCTGAACATAAGCCTCCCCCATAGACTGCCATAAGGAACCTGCATTGATCTAAGTGATTACCATAAAACAATGTACCAAAACTTTACGTAAGTTTATTTTTTTAATAAGATAGATAATATTTTAGTTGTTGAACCGCAAAATAAAGAGCATTAGCCTATGGTGGGATATTCAAAGAACTCTTACATAGTTTTAATTTAATTACTTTTTATTTTATACATTGTTTTTATTAATTGAACCTTATAATACTCATTGAATAGATTACTTTAGAAGATTATTGCAAGTGATTTTAAATGTAAGTATTGTAAAAGTAATAAAATAAATAAAATAACACACACGAATATGTAGTTTTCTTTTAATTAGTATTATGAAATCTCATATTTATCCATATTGTTTTAATGACATGCAAAATGTAAAGTTTTATTTACTTGGATATATTTTAGATAGATAGATACTCTTTATTGTTTCCTCCAAAAGATAACAATAATAAACTTATTATTGTAATAGGATATTATAATATTATATATATAATAATTGTTAAATATAAACAATTGCAAGAAATAATCACAATGAGATAATAATTATAGATTGAGTTGAGTTACGCAATAAAGACTAAATAAATAATTTTAAACCTTACAGTAACAATAATATATTTATTATTAATTAAATATGTATAAAGAAAATTTAGGAACACTATTAGTATATAGACACTTATCTTAAAAATAAAATATATATAAAAAAAATATAATCGTTGGGTTTTAAATAAAGCAATAGAAGACAAAACAATATTTTATAAAATTTTTGTCTGTCCGATGATTATTTCAAGTATCACACTCTAAAACTACTGCACTAAACTGAATATAGTTTCACAGAAGTATTCCTGAAAATCTAACGGTGTATGTTTTATTTTAAAAATTAAACTACAGAACGTATTTTGTTAAAATTACTATGTAACTAATCTGAAAATAGGTCAGTAACGTGTTAAAATCTAGCTGCTTCATATTTTACTTTTAAAATGTCCATATATTTTTTTGCCACCAACAACTTCCCCTCTCACCGTACTGGTTACGTTTCATTCATTATTACATTCTTCATGACTCTGGAACGCGCTTTCTGATACCATTAAGAGACTACCGACTAAACCGTCTTTCAAAAAATCGTTCACGCTCACTTTCTTACTTTATCCGAGCAGTAAGTGCTTTATATTATTCTCAATTTCGTGCATAATATAGTATATATCATATATGTGTAAGTATATTTGTTATTCATATATATGATATGTAATTTTAGTATGTATGTATATCAATAATTAGTAGTACCGCATTCGAGTATTCTGACACTTCCCTATGATTGACTGGGAGCTAAGCATTAAATCCGCCATGTACACATATTTGTATTAATGAATAAATAAATAAATAAACATTCATAATTCGTAAGTTCGCTATCGGAGCACAGGTGCAATTACTGGTTAGTTAATTAGAATTATTTTGCTTAATTCCGCTAACATGAGTATGTGTGTGACTGCCAACATTCGAAGTTCCACAACCATATTCCGTTCTGTTAACTTCTGTTCCATATTAGCCATCAATCTCCGATTTCCATTTTATTCACGCATGTTTTGCGACACGTGTTCTACCTATAGATGAGGCATTTTCAGGCAAGTTATTAGATTGATGCTCAGAGCCTAGTGTTCCGTTCGACAGCCAAACTTTTCGCAGTTTAAATGCCGTTGGTTAGCAATCACATACATAATAATGGAAGCGAAATTAAACCATTTATTGCGAAATATAAAAATCGCGATTAAAAGACAGGGGTTGATCGTAAAACGATGAAAATTTAAAGTTGTGTGTATTTTTCAATGTTAAATCATAATAAAATAAAAATGGAAAATTTTGTTAAAAAAATAAAAAAAAATTTTTTTGGGGAGAGTCACGCTTATCATTGAGGAGTATGAAAAATAGATGTTAGCCGATTCTCAGACCTACCCAATATGCACACAAAATTTCATAAAAATCGGTATTGCCGTTTCGGAGGAGTTTGGTAACAAACACCGTGACATGAGAATTTTATATATAAGACTAGGAAAGATTGTTTGTTTTTGTAATAGAATGTTCAGATATTGCCACACTTTGGTATGCCCACTCTCAAATCTTCCAGCGAAGCTCGATAGAATAAATAAATAAAAGGAAATAAACAACTTGTCAGTCTTTAAATAAATCTGCACCAACGATTTTAAATACTTTCGTCGTACAATTCATATATTCTATCTGTAGTTAGACGAATTGGGTCGTACTGTGTCGACGAAGTGGTATTTGTGTTACAAAAGTTTGAGAAAATGCGATGTGTTTTATAATGTGATTAACAAATAAAAGCAAGAAAAAAAAATGCTCTGAACATAGCTACAGTCAAACAATTAAAAAAGAATTAAATGATTAAATACTAAGAATAAATAAGGCGGCTAACGTTTATCGTTTGCGAGATTCCTTAAATATATTATTCCTTCATCCGTTAAATGTTTCCAAGTATTAATTAAGAAGTAAGTTAATTTTATGAAAAACTGATCATCATTTGACTCATCTAAGTATTCTAGCATATATAATATTAAAATAGAAATAGTTGGGAACTATCTGTACTTAAAATACAATATTTCACCTATATACATATAATAAGGCGATGTGCTGAAGAAGAGCCAAATTAAAAGTACCCGTAACCGGCGAGCATGTATGAAAAGATTGATGAATGTGGAAGAAGCGAAAGAGGTTTGTTTGAATCGAAGCATTTGGCGTTCCATTGTTTCTGGCTACCCGAATCGGAGACAGGCGTGACAGATATGTATATATATGTATGTATATAATAAAATTTTATATTATATATAATAAAATTGTTACAATAAAATCTGTATATACAACATATTTAAGAAAAAATTATATAAGTGGTGTTTACGCAAAAACTATATCACAAAATTAGATGCAATTAACATAATATTATTCCTGAATATCGAGCATAAATTCTAGTGTATTTCGTCTTAATATACCATTTAAAAGTAATTATTTTATTACAGTTTTTCTTCTTTCAAAATCAACGAGAATAAACTTGCAGGCAAAAGTTAATTTTAAATATTTAGCCTTTCCTCTTTCAAACGTCTGTTGACTTTTGTACAACTATTTCTTCTAATGCCTCTCTACCATGACTTTCTTCGCGTATACCTATAGCAGCATGCTATTTTTATATCTTGTTTATCAGAAACATTTCTCTTATTACCTATCTGCCGAATAATAGACGGCAACGTTTTCTGGGAATGTCTGTGTATACCTAGTTCTTAAGCTAAAACCGCTTTATAGATTTTTATTAACGTGTAATATTAAATTTAATTGTATCATTGCGTAATATAGTACAGTGCGTAATGTATAATATATATGGCCATAAAGTAACAAGGATTTAGTTTATTTTATATTTGGATATTTAGTACCGTTTACTACAGTGACGTGAGTTTGTGTATTTCTTAACTGTTGGCACTTTAATGGCTTAACCAATTTATACAAATTTTGGTTATAGTAAGTACGTACTTCTATTATATGTGCAATTAAATTGTTTAATAGGTACACAACGAAATCGGACACATAAAAAAAGCTTTACAAAAAAACAGTTGATCGTTAATAATGCTAAATCTTTCTTCTTTAAAAAAAAATTCATTTAGATAATTGGACAGATAAATATAGAACTAATTAGATAATTAAATAAATGTTGACCTACATATATTATATTATATTTTTAATATTATTAAATGTATGACACTTTAATGTTTCCTTCAAAGAATTATACAAATTACAGAGACTAACAAAATGTACATAAAAAATAACTGGAATGCAAAGACTAAGTAAAAGAAGGTAATAAGCCTCCCTGGCTTTGTTCTTGAACAGCGATCTCTTTCAGGCAACTTTAGGATGGAGAGAAATAATTAAATTTAATAATTAAATATTATAATTTTTATTCTATTACAATTATAGATCACTATAAAGCTAAACAGATATTTTTCTACAATGACTTTATTTAATATTTACATACTTATACTATTCCTTCATTCGATTAAGTGTCAAAATATCTCAATATGCGATGATAAGACCCTTATAGACATCAATGGTAACATTATAAATAAAATGTTTTGCCAAGAAAAACCTTGCATTATAAGCCGCTATCAGGAACCCTGTGTCTTAGTGAAAAGAAATAGCTCTAATAAGAAGACATGTGAACTAATGGACAATATATGTAATAGAAAAGAAAACAGTAGACTGTCACGTTTTCAAAATGTCTATAAAAAAGTAAACGGAAATATAGTAAAAAGTAATAGAACATTTCAAGAGAGTTTTCATATTGTGACATTTAAAAACAAGTATATGTATCAAAAAATATGTTCGGGTGATTGGGCTACATGTGATTATGTACACAACATTGTATATTTCATGGAAGTAAGTATTTTTTTTTTATATATTTTTAATTTCATCAAAGGCTTAAATACAGTTATTTGCACATATACATACCATCCGTTTATTTCAAATAAAATATAATTTATTTATTTTTTTATTTAAGTGTAATTTTTTAAGCAGTCCACCCGATTCGGAATGCAATTTCAACTGCAAAGTATGGACAAGAAACTCAGAATTAAAATAAATAAGTTTGCCCGTTTTGAACCTTTCTCTTTTCGTCCACTTGAGAAAGACGTAACAATTTAAAATTAATTATATAATATCATTGGAATAAACGGATATGTCTTTACCATTTATTATTCATATGTTAGGTACCACAGTAATACACAGGTACTCGTAATTATTACATTTATGCCTTTGTTGAATTACAATTAAATTGTATGATTATCCTTTGTTAAGACAAATAAATGTAGGCAGGAAAACTCTATACCTATATAAGGTTTATGGAATATCCCCGTCAACATTTTATACAAATTTTGCTATAGGAATATTGTAAAATATTGACAATTAATGTTGACCGACAATCCGGCTACGATTTCATCTTAAATAGTCACAGAATTCTTTTGGTATAATCATTTTCAATATCATACCAGTCGTCTACTATCCATTGCTGAATATAGGCCTCCCCTAAAAGAGAAGTTTTACCAATAGTTGCAATACTTGGCAAGCGAATTAAACCTCAGACTTTATTGATATTTTAAGAGACACGCCACCCGTCTTCTGACCATTAAGTTACATTCGCGTCTTTCGACAACCATAGAAAAGAAAATAAGAAAAATAACTACATCGAAATATATTAAAAAAACTCTTCTTGACTACTTTCCTGTTATCATACAAAATCGATTAACTGTCACTTCAAAAATAAATATGCCTCATGCTACAAATAAAAGTCCTAGTATACAAACTTTTTTTCCCTAAATATACTACACCAAAATATTGCTGGTCTCTTGAGTAAAAGGGACATATTGCAAGTTACTCTTGATGAATTAACTTATCAACATAAATATGCGAAACTTTCATCAAATCCGGTACAGAACAAAATATTCTCCTAAATGGATTTCAACTTGCTGATTACTATTACATTTCACCTAGAACAAGTTGTAAACTATTGTTCAAAGAACATAACTTACTGACATTACCTTGTATGTACATATACGAAATATGTCAGTTTGTAAGGTCCCATTTTGATTTGTTCAAAAATAAAGAAGACTTCCTAGTAAATACACTGGAAGACATTGTAATAAATTTGTATTACCAACAATAAAGATATCTTTATGTAGTTCAAACTGTTATTCCATGGCAGTCAGAATATATAACAAACTGTTAACAAATCTTAAAAACTTAAATTATAATAAATTTAAAAAAGAACTACATAAATGGCTAGTAAATAAGTGTTACTATAGTGTCCAGGTATATTTACAAAATATAAAAGATTGACATTTCTGTATTGCAATTATTATTATATCTGTACAATTAACGTTTAAAAATTTAACATGTTATTATTTAAAAATTATTTTGTCATAACTTATGTACGTCAGTAATAACAAAATGTGTGAAACCATCTAAACAAAACTAGCATATGACCTTAAAAGTAAAAAAATGTAATGATTACAAACCTTACAAGCAAAAAACATACAGAGTGAAAACAAAGCCACATAAAAAACGCATGGAACGCAATGGAAATTAGATGGCGCTTTCAACAAAGTTCAAGTTCGAGTTCGAGTTCGAGTTCGAGTTCGAGTTCGAGTTCGAGTTCGATTTCGAGTTCGAGTTCGAGTTCGAGTTCGAGTTCGAGTTCGAGTTCGAGTTCGAGTACAATTTCAATTTCAATTTCAATTTCAATTTCAATTTCAATTTCAATTTCAATTTCAATTTCAATTTCAATTTCAATTTCAATTTCAATTTCAATTTCAATTTCAATTTCAATTTCAATTTCAATTTCAATTTCAATTTCAATTTCAATTTCAATTTCAATTTCAATTTCAATTTCAATTTCAATTTCAATTTCAATTTCAATTTCAATTTCAATTTCAATTTCAATTTCAATTTCAATTTCAATTTCAATTTCAATTTCAATTTCAATTTCAATTTCAATTTCAATTTCAATTTCAATTTCAATTTCAATTTCAATTTCAATTTCAATTTCAATTTCAATTTCAATTTCAATTTCAATTTCAATTTCAATTTCAATTTCAATTTCAATTTCAATTTCAATTTCAATTTCAATTTCAATTTCAATTTCAATTTCAATTTCAATTTCAATTTCAATTTCAATTTCAATTTCAATTTCAATTTCAATTTCAATTTCAATTTCAATTTCAATTTCAATTTCAATTTCAATTTCAATTTCAATTTCAATTTCAATTTCAATTTCAATTTCAATTTCAATTTCAATTTCAATTTCAATTTCAATTTCAATTTCAATTTCAATTTCAATTTCAATTTCAATTTCAATTTCAATTTCAATTTCAATTTCAATTTCAATTTCAATTTCAATTTCAATTTCAATTTCAATTTCAATTTCAATTTCAATTTCAATTTCAATTTCAATTTCAATTTCAATTTCAATTTCAATTTCAATTTCAATTTCAATTTCAATTTCAATTTCAATTTCAATTTCAATTTCAATTTCAATTTGTCTGTTAAGTCCGGAGTCTTCAAACGCAGACTGCAGGTCCTTCAACTTCTACACTTCTAGTGCCTGCTATAGAGCAGATGGTGGTAATGACTTGGGTCAACAATGAGAATAATCTTGCTTTTAGCCTTTACATCCTTCTTAGGGTCAACGGTTTCCTTGTTGGCGGGGTCCACGCATTACCATAATTCTTCATGTTCCAAGTACGATTTTGTTGCAAATTTCCAACTATTATTATAATAGTATTAGCCTTTTAATAAACTGACCGGGAATTATCCCGGTCAGTTTATTAAAAGGCACGATGTTTATAGACATTGTTTCAGAAACTGATGGATTAGCTGAAAAAATTAAAAATGTGGCCGGCAACCTAACCTAGCTTTTTTTTTACACGCGGTAACTATTCGGAAAACTAAACTTGTTTACACTGATATTTTACTTTAATCTGATGGCCCATAACCTGATGGAATAAAAGTAAAAATAATATAAATATAACCTTTTTAATTACTTAAAATAAACAAAAAATATACAGCGTGAAAACAAAGCGCGGCCAAATAAGAAAACGCATGGAACCCAAAGGAAGGAATGACAGCGAAAGAAACTAGATGGCACTGTGTGGTTCACTTTCAACAAAATTTAAATCCAAATCCAAATTCAAAGGGTTGGCCGATTCGATAGTTCTTTTTTTAAAAACATTTAACAATTAGGTACATTAGATACTCGTATATGATTCTTTAGCAATAATAATACTACATTATTACAAGCACTAATCATGACTTAGTCTTGTTCCAAATATAAATATCTATTCAGTAGCTTTTAAGAGGAAAAGTAACAAATATCCATTTTTACAAATTTTAGCATTTATGATATAGGATAGGATATAGGGATTCTATGAAGCCTTGAATGATATGAAGAGACTTGATAAGATATTGTCTCTTAATTGACTTGTTGTATGAAATGTAATGACTTGTTGTTGACCAAAAGTCTCTTTTCTTCTTTCATTTTTGAATTGTAACCTACATTTGTTTCGTCAAACCTGCCATATTATTCTACAACTTTTGTTTTAGGATGGTTCAATCTTATTAGAGAGCCCTAACTCAGGTGTGCGCTATCAAACAATAGACGAAAATAAATATATCATATTGTTTTATGCTGAAGAGAGTGAATATGGACTAGTGCCAAACGTAGCTATTAAAGTTCTTGAAAGAACTGAGCAGCCAGATCTAAAAGGAATATTGGTGGCTATTGGTAAGTTTACTTTCGTATTTTTACGTACAATAATAACTTCGGATGTTTGCTTTGTTTTGTTATATTTGTTTTATGTTCTAACAATAAAAATAATTTTTTAAGTGATTTCAAAAAGAAAATTATTTTCAATTCGTCTTTTTTTAATGACGCGATTGCCAATTTTAAATCGATTTTATTAATTCACACAAGTTACTTGTATTGGTTTCATATTACTTTTATGATGACAAATGAAAGGAGATGAAGTTAAACACAGGATCCTGCATGGTAAATTCAATTATTTTCAATTAATGTCACTATTTTCCTCCAGGCTCAGAGTGTACTAGTCAGAAGTGCTGTGTTGACCGCATCCCTTTACCATAATAGCTAATGATAACATTACTTACCCTGTAATTTCACTGTTATGTGCCGCGCTGAAATATTTGATTCTGACAAGCTCATGGTCTACCTGATGGAAAGTGGTAACCGTGATGATAACATGAGCAATACCATGGACATAACAGAGTATACTGTTTCGCCCAAGATACCCTCCATGCGTTGCCATTCCTGAGGACTTAGGTGTTATTCCTCTGTACCCTGAAATTCATGCCATATCCTACCCTTCGGACTGAAACACAGCGATGCAAACACAACTACTTTACGGTAGAAATACGAATGGGACAGAGGTAACTAAGCAAACAATTTTGCACAATGTCTCCCTCTGGTGAGTCCTCCTCTCCTCTAAAAATGAATAATAGACCAAGAAATATGCTTCTCTTTAAGAAGAAGTAGACGATTTTTGAACAAGTCTCGTGAACTCTTATTTACTATTCAACCTTCTAATCGCTATTAGCAGTTCAAGCTTCTAACTATCATTCCGAGCGATAAATGCCCTACTACTTTAGTATTCAGTGGAGGCAAAGAGCAAAGTCTGATTGTAACGTTTAGTTTTTTAAGCAACTCTGAATGGCGATCAAACTGACAGCTTATGCCCATAGATAGTGATAATAGTCGCTTATAGAGATGAGCACCTTTTTACTGAACAGTTTCTAGAGATCTATTTTCTTGATTTGATAAAATTCTTGATGTGAAAGATAGTCAATAATGCGGAAGAATATTTAAGCCTTATCCTTATAAATAATATAAATATGAGGTTGTTTATTTATTATGATCTGGGGGATTAATCGATTAATCAATCATCGTAAAAAGTTGTAGTGAAAGAAATATGAATAAAGAGTTCACCATTACGTATTACATTTAAACCTTTGTCGAGGCAACTTCTTAACCTAATCATGCGGGTGAAATTGCGAATAAAAACTAGTAAATAAAGCAACCATTTCTTTAATTTTCAGGTATGCTGGTATCGAGTTTCTTTATGATACTCGTAATAATCGTGTATGCAGTATTAAAGGAATTGAGAAACTTGTTTGGCCTTGTACTGATGGCTTATTTGGGAACTTTTTCTTTGGCTTTCCTAACGAAAGCCATCCAGACTTTGGGTTTATTACAGAGAACAATCAACGTCACAACATGTTTATATTTAGGTAATAGAAATTAAAAGAGTTTCTTAATTTTGTGTCATCACTGTTGCCGTATGGTCCCAGCGTAGAGTAGGCCACCCCTTCCTTTTCCGTTGGTATTGTGAAAGGCGAATAAGGGAACTTAATGGGCGACTGATGGGCAGTAGTATCTCTCTTAAAATATCATCAAAAGCCTTACTACGGTTATCAACCCATCTGCCAAGCATGGCAACTACTGGCAAACTACTGACAGTTAACGGTTGATATAATGATGAAGATATGATGCCATCAGTTTTGCAATCACTGCCTTATTGGTCTATGCAGGTGAAGAACGTTTGATCTCTGGACAAAATGTGTTTCAAAATAAAACATTTGCATTTAGAAGGGATCTTTATTATTATACCTATATACTTACCTATGTTTTTTTATTATTATTATTATTATTTTTAGAGCCTTTTGTCTATTTTGGAATCCTGAGTAGTTTCATGTGGATGAACGTAATGTCGTTCGATATTTGGCGGAAATTCAGGTAAATAAAAAGATATCTTTTAATTTATTCACAATTAATGATTGGATTTAAAATAACTCTTAACTTAACTTTTATATAAAAAGTTCAGTACCACGATATTTATTCACGCGAACTCGAGTTACCGAATTATTCTTGTTTTTTTTTATTAATGGATGATAAGAATGGTAACCCCACCAGTGCTGTCGGTATACACCGACAAGTCACCGTGTAGTACAGACATCGTGCAGTTTTAATTATGTTAGTAAGATAAGATTTTTTTTCCTAATATTGTATGGTATTTATTGTTACCGCTCGCTAATAGCTTTGATCTCATTCAACAGAGAAACCCATTGCCAACGCAGCAATCGCAGAGTTCTACGCAAGTTTATATACTATGGGTTATACGCGTGGCTCACACCAGCCGTGCTGGTGGTCGCTGAAGTCCTAATTGATCATATGGACCTGAGCCACTTGCCAAACTTCAAGAAACCCTCTTTCGATACGTGCTCATTTTATCGTGAGTGAATTTTTAATACCTTTTAAACTTTTGCGTTTAATAGAGACACGTTTTTAAATGGAGGATAAAGTAATAAATAAATACGTCATTTGGTTCCAAGTTAATTCCTAAGGAGAGTTGACGTCAGGCAAGCCGCTGACAGGAAACCGCTTAAAGATGATAAATAGGTGATGATTAAACTGTGCCTGTGTTAACGATACACGCTAGCGGGTAACCAGTGATGGATGATAGGTGAGAATGAAAAGGCAGGTCAATTAGCCCATCTTAATACCTATATAATACTCCTGGAATTCAGCATGATAGTTTCCAGGGGGACCAAGTGGAGGTCGACCTGACAGGGTATATTGCTAGCAGTGGGACTGGTAGTCTGCATTACTAACAATCCCTTCCCACCAATGTATTAGTGTTATAAACCTTACTTCTTACTAATATAAATCTATATGTGAGCTTATGTATTTGTTAACTTAGCACCTTAAAGTCTTAACTAATCGCTATGGGAGAGAGGGGTTAGTATTGAGAAGGTTAGTCCCCATTGCCATCAATGTACCCTAACAGGTCGACCTCCAGGCGGTTCCTCCTGGGAACTATCGTGACTAATTTATCGTTGAATTCGTCACGATGAGCTAACTGCCCTGCCTTATCACCTCTCACTGGTACTTTGCGCGTGTATACAGACAGCGCAGGCGGGGTTACCATGCCATTTTCACTTAAAAAAAAAACGAATCGCTATTAGATTTATTATATACATACTGTATGGTATAGAGAAGGATAAAGAATACTTTGTATATTACTTAATCTATAAACGTAATCCAGTCATGCGAACGAAATCGTGGTTAAAAGCTGTTAATACTATTTAATTCAATTGAATCATAGCTATACCACATACAAAGTTATTACCAATATCATACTAATGACGAATACCTACTTCGACATTACGCCATTAATTTATTATCTTTAAAAACATACCACGCTATTCTAACAACAAAGAAACCAGAGGAAGTTTGTGCATAATTAAAAACGGAATATAATATTTTTCTATGTACTGGTATCTTCATATAATTATTATATGAAACTTCGTTAATCAACAATGTAGGAGGAAAAGGGATTGTTAGTAATGGAGACTGAGAATCCCATTGCTAGCAATATACCCAACCAGGTCGACCTGCTCGCGGTTCTCCCTGGAAACTATCATGGTTAATTTCTGATGAATTCGTCATGATGGGCTAACTGTCCTGTTTTCATTCTCATCTATCACCCTTCACTGGTGCTCCGCCAGTGTATCCCATTAGCGCAGGCGGGGTTACCATACCATTTTCACCCATCAAAAAAAATCGACAATCAAACATTATTTTTTAAAAGATTCATTATTATTCCCTAAAGTTGTTACTCCTGTCTACGACAGACTGGTAGATAACGCCATATGATATTAAGCCTGCCATTTACACTATTTAGATATGTTAAAGTTAAATAAGAAAATAATTGTAATGTCTAATTTTTTTTTAATTTTTTTTTTCAAACATCTCTTAAATTTTATAATATCTCTATTACATCCAAACATTGCCAGAAAGAGATCGCTTTTGGCGATAAGGCCGCCTATTGTTTATATTAGAGAAACACACAGATGTAATCTTTTTCTGTCTAGTAATTTTCGTTTCTTTATAATATTCGTTTATACGAATAATACAAATATATATCATAATATCTATCAATCTTCTGATTACCTCTTAAAACTGATATATTTTTATTAATCCTATCCTATTAATCCTATTTAAGAGCTGCGCTCTTGTCGGTGGAGCTCTTGCCACTCACTACGATTTTCAGCGAGTCTCTTCACCTCTTGATACGACACCAACTTCTTCCTTGATCTGCCTGATGTAACTATGTCTCAGTCTCCCTCTCCCCCTCCTTCTAAACATATTTTTTAATAATATAGAGAAAAAAATACAGACAAGCTAGTGTGAAGCTTACTCTACCTATCTACTTATTCTAATATATAAAAATTAACTTTAACTGGCTAACTAATCTCCGAGACCAGGACGTATTATTAACTAAGATAAAAAGTAGCCTATATCCTTCTCCATTTCACATAGTATGTGTATATTAAATATCATAACGATAAATTAAGCCATTAAGACGCTATAAGACAGCAAACAAAGTGTGTTTGTAACATACACACATTTATAATATTAGTAAGGATTAAGGATTCCATATTTCATTCAGTCACTAAAAACCGCTCAACCAATTTTAATGTAATTTCGTAAATATATATTGTTAAATCGAATTCAAAGGTTAGATAATATTTATCCCGATAAGAAAAAATAGACTTAACAGGGGACAAAACGTTTGCTGGGTCATCTCGTCTATTATTAGATATCTGTGTATTTATTAATTTTTTTTTTATTATCTATGATTTTAGCTATTAGTAAATTAATTTATTTGTTATCGCCAATAATGGTAATATTAATAATAAACATGGTGTTGTTTTGTTTAACTTCCTTCAACATGTGGACAATAAAAAAGGAATTGAGGCGATTCGACAGAAATGAAACAACAAAAAATAAGAAGAATAGAAATCGGTAAATTATTATCACATAATTAATTGTAAAGCATGACAAAATATTCAATAAGAATCTCAGATAAAACATTTACAATATTTGCACGTAACTTCTCATTTGAGGGTGGCGCCATCTAATGTCAAGAGTTTGTAAACTACCTTCGTTATACACAAAAGAATTTGGCATGGCTTACCAATGACTTATGTGTTCTCCGAAGTACAAAGCAAATTACAATAAGTTTTACACGACTGTTCAAAAAACTGTGTCCAGAGTTCATGTATGTATGTGAATTATTTATTCCACCATAACTTCTAAACAGCTGGACGGATTTGGTTATATGGAGTATCATTAAAACCCTTAGCCTTACAGCATCCTGAGTGACACGGGCTATATTTTTTTTAAATAGTTTGATTTTACCAGAGCAGTAGTATTTTTTGTTTGCGTAGCAACATGTACTTGTTAAATGTATTAAGTATAAATTTGAATATATTGTGGTATTTTGACTGTTGTCGAACAGAGGGAGACATTGTACAAAAGTCGATTGCTTGGGTACCTCTGTCCCATTCGTGTTTCTACCGTGAAGCAGTTGTGTTTGCATAGCTGTGTTTCGGTTTGAAGGGTGGGATATGGCGTGAATTTACAGGGTACAGAGGAATAAAATCTGAGTCCTCAGGAATGACAACGCATGGGGGGGTATCATGGGCGAAACTGTATACTCTGTTATGTCCATGGTACTGTTCATACCTATAGGCGACGGTTACCACTTTCCATCAGGTGGGCCGTCAGCTTGTTTGTCATTCTAAGTTGTATAAAAAAAACATTTAAGATTATCGTTGAATATACTTTTAAGCCAACATACCAATTGATATTATTATATTGCTTCTCGTACAATTTGTGGATCAGCGAAGTGGAGTTTTAAAACATGTAGTATATATATATGTATGATGTAAATTTTCACTAGACAATCTGAGTACGAAATCTTAAAGACCATTGACCTCTACCAACAGTGCCATCGCTGTATTACAGTCTGTTTTTGACTTTTTTAATGGGTGACAATGGAATGATAGCCCCGCCTACACTATCGGTATACACAGATGTGGCACCAAGGAGGGATGATAGATGAGGATGAAAGCAAGTCTGTTCACGAATGACGAATTCAACAAGAATTATTTACGATGGTATCCATAACCTCTCCCCCATAATATAAGACTTAGTACAAATATAATCTACTACAAGTTCGTAAATACAATAACTGCAATCTAGCGGAAATGCCAAGTGAGGTTTAATAAAATCCATGTTACAATAATCAGACAAATAATGTAAAACAATGGATCTATATTGTTATCTTTTAGACTTTCGCTTTGCAAGGTTTATGATATACATGATATACTATAAGGGACGGTAATTGGATGACCCATTTAAGTAGTAAACCAGTGTAATGGGGAACTGGTCTAATTAGAATTCTCAGGTCAGAATGAGGTCTGAGAATTCTCAGATGCCCAATGTTCCTTCCAAGAGACAGGAATTGATGCGATCATTCAACTATGATAATTTACCTGATACCTGAACCTTATGATCAAATTAATTCCCGTATGTTATAAACCATAAACTTAATTGTGTCACATTAACAATGTAGTTGTGTGATGTCACAGTGCTTCTTATGTGTATTGGTTTATGATTCCATCATCCATTTCCATCATACAGGTTCACATTATTCCTTCGCCTATCTTTGGTGATGGGTACCAATTGGATCTTTGAAATATTGGGCGCAATTGTCGATCTACCTGACTGGTTCGAGAACTTGGTGGACGCATACAATGTTCTCGTCGGTGTGTTCATATTCTTCGTGTTTGTATTCAAAACTAATATATTTCGTAAAATTTTCAAAAGGTACATATATCATGTTTTACTTATATAGACTATTTCAATGGAAACTAATGAAAATGTAAGTAATAAATGACTCGACCATTGACAATTAATTTACAATAAATTGTAGTACAAATAAAAAGTCGGTTAATGAATTGAATCTTTTGATTTATTACTAACTAGCTATCAGCGCCGGCTTCGTATGGATGTACTAATTTTTTCCACCTTACTGTAGAATTTTTTGAACGCCTTCTTCTTTTCCTAAAAAATAAAAACAATAAGAAAACGTTCGTTAAATATATTCGGCAATGGGTTTTTGTTCATATACTCGTAGATGTTATTTAATTTTTTTGTGATATTTGCAAATTTTTGTTATTTTTCATTAAGTTTTATTGAAATAGACTATAAAACATTCTATCTATGTCTTACAGCGTTTGCTGTATCTGTTTTCAAATGTAGACTTCCCCTTCATCTTTCCATCGTTGTTTGTCTTCAGCCACCGTCTATTATCTCTTTCACTTCATCTGTCTTTTGTGTCTATCCTCCGAACATTATTTTGAATGGTTAACTTTTTTCTTTTATCTGTTTTTTTTTTCTTCTTCTTTAACGTAATGCCTTCTCTATTTGTTATTTACATAACTTTACAAAGAGAATATTGAACATTGTCTACAAGTATAAGTCCATAATTGTCGTGTGGTCCTGACAGAGAATGTACCATTCCTTTTCGACTAAGCGACTAAGGGAACTTCATAATCGAGGGGTGGGCGTCCCTCTTAAAATATCTCCAAGGCCTAACTGCGGTTTCCAACCCGCTTGCTAAGCGCGGCAATTACTGGCAAAACCCCCGATAAAATAAAGCTTATGTCCAGCAATGAACAATTAACGGCTAATATGGTATGGTATAAAGGCTACAATATGGCAATTCACCGAAGATATGGCAATGTACGTGATATGTTCATGACAATATACCGAGACACAAAATGGTAGCTCACAGCATTCGCAAACACAAAACGTTCAGAATAGGGATTTTTCCTTCTGGCATAGCTAAATTTATTCTTCATACAAAATAGCTAGAGCTAGCAGCAGTGATTACATTATTATGAGTCAGTCGACCTATAACCAAGACGCTTATAACAGCGTCGAAATATTCGGGAGCTCGCAAAGATTTTAGCGTTAACTTTCGTAAAACGTATAGGCAACTACAAGTATAAATCTTTATATAATAATTGTAAACAATCGTGATGTTATTACACAACATTATTTTCTTTCAGATGTTGAAGAAATCACTCCGACAATACATATTTAAACAATATAGAAGTAACTAAGGAACTCTAAAATTAATTAATAGTTAAATTGCATTACAAATGTCGTATATATATTACATGAGATAAATCTATTTCATACTGTGGCAAATATGTTCTTATAATATAAACACTTGTGTAATTGAAATATCTTCAGTGCTGATACGGCCGTACAGATACTTCTTATCAACAGGACGTATGCAAATGTGTATCCAGTTCCTAAAGGATGGAGACGTGCCGACTCTATAAACTGTCGCTCTATTTCGGTCATCTCTATAACTTACAAGATTATGTAGCGTATATTGAAGAAAAAATTCCTAATGTATCTTAAAGCCAATGATCTTTTCAGCGGTCGTTATATGGATCGTTAATATGGATTTCGCAAAAATCGGTCGACTGGAGGTCTTCTTTTGTATCTACTTCACTCACATTTGAAGCAAGACATTCGAGAACCATAACTGGAGCAAGACTAATTTCATTGAATTCAATGCCTCTAGAACAGAGGTATGTGTTTTCATCTCGAAAAAGTGTCTTTGATCAAACTCTTTTTCAAATAGATAAATCTTATAAAAAATATTGTTTCGATCTCTATTGGTCTTATTAAAACACTTATATAAATTTTTCTTAAATATCTCCTATATACAGATATTGTCTAATTACAATTTTATTATATTAATGATATAAACATAAACTTCCTTCTGTTTAGACATAAACAGGTGTTAGGCACGCTTTTATTATAAAACGTACATGTATTGAACGTCTGCCTATCGCAAGTTTAAGTTTTTTGTGGTAAGACGTATAAAATTTTACAAGTAGATCCCTATACAGACACTAGTTGCCGGGTGATGAAAGAATATGAGTATAATTTGAAAACTAATTCACTAATATTTCATTAAAATGTAAACAAACGAACTATTGACACAACTATAGCAGAGTCTGCTAATGTCCAATGGTAGTAAAAAAAAAAAATATTTGGTTAAATGTTTCGGTTTATTACAAATTTCATTTAGAGAGTATTTCTGTGATAATTTCAATGCTAATAAAAAGGTAACCAAGTTGGTTACTTTTTTATTAAGTTCTCGAAACAAACTATAAGTCTGATATCAGATATAATTTGTTTGATTTTGGGATACTCTTTTAAATACACAGTCAAAGAATTAATCTATTGTGTTATAAAAGTTATCATGTATCTGCCTACCTATAATTTATTTATCGATGTTCCTACTTTACTCTGCCAAAAATAACTTATTGATTTCACTGGCGTTAAAACTTTGCATTTTTAATTTTATAATGGATATCAATTTATTAATATAGGTAAATACTTAACATGAACTTTTAAAATTTTTACAAAACTATAACAATTCAAATTTAGCATGTTTTGTAAAAATTTTATTTCATGAAGTGTAAAATTTAAACCTTATTTCAATATACCGTTTAAATTGAAAATTGACTATTGTAATACAGGAAGAGAGTATATTTCAAATTAAAAGATATATTATTTATATTTATAATTAAAAAGATGTATTTTGAGAATGCGATTTATTTTCTTTTATTTTTTAAGCATAGTTTGTCTTCATTCTCCTTCCACGCCCCTCTCATTTATATTATCCTGTACACTATTATACTTATACAGGACAATAATGTCAATAATATATTTATAAAAATATAATATTCTACTAATAATTACATATATTATGTGATAACTGTAACACGCTATTGATCGTTACTTTTCCTCAAAGGACCACAAACTACAAATTAAACACAGCGCACCCAACCGGATAATTGCGATGGCCGTTTTAATATTCTGTATATTTTTTCTACTCATGCACTCAGTTAAAAGTGAAAAGTTGAAATGTGACGATAGAAACTTTACAGACAGTATGGGTGCAAATATAAGCGGAGATTATTGTAAAGAGAAACCGTGCATACTGACGAGAACACGAGGGTTCTGTGTTAAAGTGATATCAAAAAAATCGGTAAAATGTGCAAATTTCACATCGCTCCTTGCTAATACGACCGACAGCGAATTGTTGCGATATCAATATGTCTACAGATACAATTATACAACAGATGTAATTGAAAAAAGCAACAAAACCTTTCCAGAAAGTTTCCATTTATTGCGACACAAGAACTCGAACATAACCCGAAATTGTTTTACGGATTCCACGGTGATGGATTATCAAAATTTTATTCCATATATCCTAGAGGTAAGTGTTTTTACCTGTATTTTGCATCTCGCACTACAAAAATCCCTGTAAGTATCCTAGTTTTGTCCTGATTCCGCCGCACCCATCCCACCACCCATATCAAATTGCGAGGACGGTATGCCTGAACAAATACACTTCCAACTATAAAAAAAAAACCGCCCCACTGTGACATTTTCCTAATATTCTAAATAGTTCTTTAAAGTTAAAATGCAGAATCTCAGAAAGAGTCCTCAGGAATGGCAACGCATGGGGGGTATCATGAGTGAAAAAGTATACTCTGTTATGTCCATGGTACTGCTCATGTCTATAAGCGACGGTTACTATAAGATGGGCCGTCAGCTTGTTTGCTATTCTAATTTGCATAAAAAAATCTTGTGTTTACATATTGATTTTGCATTGCAACAAGCATTTTTGATCTGTACTCTAACCTATGATATAAAACGAACAAACTCAGTACATTGGAGAAAAATGTGATAGAGTTCTGATTATGCAAGAAAAAAATATTAAAAACGAATGAAATAAAAAGAATGGATTATTAGTAATAAGGAAGTGAAAACATAGCAAGCAATACATTCTGTCATGGCGACTTTCACGCGATATCTCCTAGAAACCACCGTGATTAATTCTAGATGAATTTATAAAGATAGATCAATTGGCTTGGATGAGGATACCTATCATCCGTTACTGGTACCCCGCCAGCGTATATCGATGATCCCGTTATTATTCTTTGAAAAAGAAATCCCTCGAACAGCAGGCGTAGGCACCCGCGCAGCAACTTCAGCCCTCTCCCGCTTAGATCTCTGTCGGTCCTTGGACATAGATTACATCTTACCTATCATTTTCATTGTTACTTCGTCAGCATATACTAATGTTGCAGGCGGGACTATCATTCTATGGAATCCTTGGTGGCGTAGCGGTTTAACACGCTGCTTATCTTTTTTCCACTGAAATTTATCAAAACCCTTTGATACTCACTGAAAAAAGGATTTAAAGTACTTTTTTTATGCAACTTAGAATGGCAAACAAGCTAACAGCCCACCTGATGGAAAGTGGTAACCGTCGCCTATATACATCATCAGTACCATGGACATAACAAAGTATACTGTTTCGCCCATGATACCTCCCATGCGTTGCCATTCCTGAGGACTCAGGTGTTATTCCTCTGTACCCAGTAAATTCACGCCATATCCGACCCTTCAAACCGAAACACAGCCATGCAAACACAGCTGCTTCACTTATTGACGAATAATCACAAATCTACTCGTACTGGTCCTCCTTAATATTATAAAAGTTTTTCATTTTTTATATTTTTTATTTGCAAAATATACTTTCTTAATAATACAGTACAATCATACTTGTACAACAAGTAGTCCATTACCTTAAGGTTGTCTTGAAAAGATTGCTCTCAGCAATAAGACCGCCTTACTGTACTTATACAATTGTATCGTTGTGATTGTAAATTGTCTTGCTTATTTCCTATATTGTATAACGCAAATAAAGTATACTCATTCATACAAGAGTTTGTTTGTATGTTACCTTATAGCCTCTTAACTGCTTAACCATAAATATGAAATTTGGTAAACACGTACTATATGAGATGGGAAAGGAGTTTCAACGCGCTAATCTCTGGAACTGCTGGTTGAATTTAAACAACTTTTTTTTGCAATTGATTTCTTAAAAGCGGGTATAATACAACCACGGATGGAATAACTGTACTTAAGCAGAAGTAATTGTATGTGTTAATAGTTTATATGCTCGCGGTTTTTTACAAATACTAAAAATAAAAAAAAACATAAATCTTTTTTTAAATAGAAAGCTGTATTAAAAGTTAGCTTAAAAAAATTATATTTATAAACTTTTAATACAGGTTTGTACTTAAAATTGCATTTTTGGTTATCAATATTCCAATATCCTATTTTTTTTATCTAAGAATCTCCAAAAATAGAGCTGGCTACTCAAGTATTGCTTCTGCTTAATTATTGAAACAAAATATGGTCAGGTAACTGCGTATTTGCTTATGTTTCAGAATGGTTCCTTATTGCTAGAGACTCCAAATTTAGGACAACGGTTTCAACTTATTCGCAACTATAAATATATACTTATGTTTTTCATAAAGGATGACAAAAAGTACGCATCTGTTCAATTTATTAAAGAAGAGCTCAGTACTATAAATGATAGAAAAACTGTTTTAATTGCTATAGGTAAGTAAGGCTACAGGATCATTAACCTATATATCTGTATCTTAGATTAGACAGATAGAGCTTCAAGCGTCAAAAACGGACCAACTTTGTATGAGCTAATTATCTGACTCGTTTCTTTATTAGTGTTCTATATACTTACGCACACAATGTATCTTGACGTATCTATATTTAATTATTTAATAATTAAAATGTATTATTACGCATTAAAAATATGCAAATATTCTAAGAAATATAAATATAGAATTTATAAAGAAATCACTCGTAACTATTATACCTATATACTATCACGCAAAATATTATAAAAAAGTTAACCCGCTTTTCTCGAAGCATTAGTATGGAGACACTCTATCTATATAATCTAAAAACAAGATCTGTATTTAGTAATTTATGGTTATATTTCACAAAGAAGAGTTTCATTTTATGTATATGTCTTTATTATAATTATAGTTAATGATTTAAGTATTTTTGAGTTTATCTATTACAAACAAACATCAATTCTTTCCTCTTTTTTCACACACACACACAAATAGTTACACATGCACACATACACACAGTCTGTTGTTTGTAAATTATTTTATTTAAATATTTATTTTCAACTAGTTTGAATTTTTCACTTTATACAGTTTTAGTCATTTATTGAATCTGTTTATTATGACCATAGATTATGACATTGGGTTATATATAAAGGCGATGGGGTACTGGTGACCACTAAATCAGGTTTTTTCAAAACCTAAAGCAACCAGTCTCTCACAAAACAAGTATTACAAATTTCATAGTACATTAAATTGATACTTTTTACTATTTTCTGTTTCAGGTATGTTAACATCGAGTTTCTTCATGATATTGGTGATTGTCGTATACGGGATGTTAAAAGAGCTACAATGTTTTTTCGGCATGATTCTTATAGCATATATGGCTACTTTTTCCGCAGCATTCCTATTGCAGGCAGTCCAATCGCTGGGATTGTGGATGGGAGTTATAAATACCACTGCCTGCTCTGTTCTGGGTGATTATTACTTATAATAAGTACTTCAGATATCATCATCATCATTTCAGCCATTATCGGTCCACTGCTGGACATAAGCCTCCCTCATAGACTGCCATAAAGAACGTTCCTGAGGACTGCATCCACTGACTCCTTACAATGACTTTAGATTAGATATATAAAGGATAAAATCAAAATCACTGCAACCTTTGAATGAAGTATTTTACCAGTGAAACTAAATATTTTCATCAAACAAACATGGGTCGAATTCAAAATTGTCTTCCACACGAGAAACCGATTTCAATTGTGACAAAACCAGTTATTTCGATTTAAAAACTAAACTACTGAACCGATTTTAATAAAATTTCTATGGGACCAGTCTGTAAGTATATCCTTTTCGATAAAAAAGAAACCTTGATCCTAACAATTCTTTCTATCTTCAGAATATATAATGATACTCAATTGAGGGAAAATATTAAGAGCCTTCGTAACTTTACCTTTTCGAAACGTGGCAACGTCGCAATTATCCGTCAATTTTTGAAATAATTTAATAACTTTCCTTTTTTTTAATTACTTTATTAAAAAAGTGGCCTGCTAGCTAACTAAACTACAATAATATGTTTACTAAGCTGTTGCGGAAAATTTGGATTTTTGTGACAAAAAAAAAATGCTTGAATAATTCCAATGCAAAATATGAAGTTGGTATAAAATTTTTATTGGTAGATTTATACGTAATATTTTGTATGTTTAACGTTTGAATTCGCTAGCAGATAACTTTTAAATCATCTATAAAAAAATATTGGAAATTATTCAATTGTTTCTTTTTTTTTTTTTTGTTAAGTGACAAATTTTTAGACAAATGCAATGTTGCCACACTTCGTCAAGCTAAAATTATGTATAATCTCCTCCTTTTGTAGGTCCATTAGTCAACTTTTGTACAATGAGCAGTTTTATGTGGATGAACGCAATATCTTTTGCTATTTGGAGAAGATTCAGGTAAAATTAATGCAGTTAACAATAATGTATATTAGGTATTGAATAATAACTGTCGTGAGACATACTGTATGGAAATTATTTATGTCGACATTACTCACGTTTTCAATTTAGGGATGCCTGACTAGTTTCAAACTTAACATGAGTAAAGCTGACAGAAATGATTCCAATAACAAATTTTAAGTTTTATTTTTAAATTATATTATTTAAAAATGGCAAATAAACTAACGATCGATGTGATAGTAGATGGTAATCGGCCTATAGACAAGAACAGCATTACAGTATATGTCATAGGCTTTATGACATATACTATAATGCTCACCAGAGTACAAAAGTTTTTTTGAATATCCATTAAACATTGTCTGGAATTGAAAATTGTTGTTGTTTATGTTTGTTTGAGAGGAATATGGCATGAATTTACTGGGTACAGAGGAATAACACCTGAGTCCTCAGGAATGGCAACGCATGGGGGTATTATGGGCGAAACAGTATTCTCTGTTATGTCCATGGTACTGCTCATGTCTATAGGCGACGGCTACCACTTTCCATCAGGTGGGCCGTCAACTTGTTTGCCATTCTAAGTTTTATAAAAAAAAAAACAAAGAGTATCACAGTATAATATTAATGGTGTTATCCATATATTTACATAGTGCCCATTATTCTTTAGGTTGGACGAAGCTAGCATGTCGTTTACAGTTATGTAACCAGCGTAGTCTGTAATTTACTTATTCTTCTAACTTTTAAACTATTATCGGTCTTACCACAAAAATAATTGGAAACACTATCTATCTAAACAGAGTTTAACAAAATTTTATTTAAGCGAATTTTATGTACCGTTTTTTATCAACTATTTTAATAATATTATCACTTTAAATAACTATTATATCAATAGACAATTTTTTTTTTTAGATATAAACAGTTTTGTAGTAATATATCTAAACATGTATTGAACATATGTTTATGTTTTTTTTATGGTAAAATAGTTTATTATACTTGTAGAGGTACTGAGTACAACCATAAGTTAAGTCGTCGTGAGATGTGGCACAAGTTTTTGTTCTACGGCCTGTACGCTTGGCTTATCACCGCCATCTTGGTGCTGATCGAAGTGATAATAAACCGCATAGACCTGAAGCACCTACCGAACTTTATAAAACCCTCGTTTGAGACTTGTATGTACAATCGTAAGTATCGAAAGTGACGTGGATTTAACATATTTTGTAATTTGTACCTACGTTCTATTTCCTTGGCAATAATTCTATTAATTTATTATTTATTATTGACGCCATTTTGGCGTCATGGTTTAGCAGTTAACGAGTGTTATAATAACTATTTATTCTTGTGAATGACTTCCTTTGTTAAGAGGCTTTTATTATGAAACATTTCTGGGACGCTTTACCATCCGGTCATTTTTATCATCCTAAGCACAAATGACAACAATTTTTAAATTATCCAAATGTAAATTCGAAAAAAGTCAGGCTGAATTTGATCTTGATGTCGCCGGACCGCAATCAAACGTAAATGACTAGAATAAAATATACCTATATTAGATATATAACACAGAAATCAGTTGTGCTATCACATGGCATTCCTTTTTTAACATAAAAATCATCTGATTGCTAATTCCTACTAGCTTAGACATTGATTTCACTGGAGATTGATTGTATTTTATCAATTTCAGCCAAGAGTAAATTGCTTTACTTGTTGGTGCCAATCTTGGTGATATTAATAATCAACACGGTACTGTTTTGTTTGACCACTTTTAATATGTGGCTCGTGAGAAAAGAGTTATCACGATTTAACAGTAAAGAGACGAAGAACACCAAAAGGAATGAGAACAGGTAACTTTGATACTGTTTTTTGTGGTGGTGATTTTTTTTTTGATGGGTGAAAATGGTATGGTAACCCCGCCTACGCTAACGGGATACGCTGGCGGAGCACCAGTGAAGGGTGATAGATGAGAATGAAAACAGGCCAGTTAGCCCATCATGATGAATTCATCAGGAATTAACCATGATAGTTTCCAGAGAGAACCGCGAGGAGGTCGACCTGATTGGGTATATTGCTAGCAATGGGATTCTCAGTCTCAATTACTAACAATCTCTTTCCCCCCTGTGGTGGTGAAAGAACACTCTTTTTGAAAATGTCTTTTTCTCAATGTCCTCTATTTTCCCAACTGGTAATATATCAACCTCACTCAATAGGTATGATACCCACATTTCGTTAAGCTTATAATCCAATGTATGAAAAGAATCTATTGCTGTCAGCCGGCTAAATTTAATTTATTTTCGATATTTTTCATCATTGGAGAATTAGTAAAAAATAAAAATAATACACAACATGTTTTGTTTCGGTCAGATTAGATCTTAAAAAATTCGCGAACTCTAAATTGGGGTAGTATACTTTTGAGCCATAATGTTTTCGTGCTGTTTTCAAGCGACTATTAAGAGGGAAAAGGAGGTTCTACATTCGTCGGATTTTATTTACGAATACGTTACATATTTACTTCTCTTATTCTGAATCGATTTTTACAATTCTTTTTTACAGTAGATAAGGTTCACATCTATATTGGTCTAATTTTTATTTTGTAACAACCGAGGCTTCCGTTCTTTTTGCTTTACAAAGTACTCATTACGAAACAATATCTATAATTAAAGATATAATTTATGAAGTAGATTATCTATGAAACAATTCCTTATTGGAAATCTACGAAACATTTATTTATTTAAACTTTATTGACCAATAAAATGTGATACAAAAGGCGAACTTAATGCTATAGGCATTCTCTACCAGTCAACTTTTAGAATGTGCAGAGATACTCGACGGCAAGGTATATATATATATATATATATATATATATATATATATATATATATATATATATATATATTAATATATATATATATATATTAATGGATGATAATACCAGTTAGCGTTATCGTTATACGCTGGCAAGGCACTAGCGAGGGATGATAAGTGACGATGAAAGCGGGTCAGTTAGCCCATCGTGTCGAATTCCACTAAAATTAACACGATGGTTTCCAGGAGGAACCGCGTGGAGGTCGACTTGTTAGGGTGTATTGCTGGCAATAAGTCAGTTAGATCCCATTACTAACAATCCCTTTCCCCCTTTTCGGCGGTATATATTTATGATGATAAACATCACATATAAAATGTGGCAGGTTCGTGCTGCACTTGAAGTTGAGTATGGTGATGGGCGTAAACTGGATCTTTGAAGTACTAGGAGCCCAGAACCTCCTGCCACAGTGGTTGGAGAATGTGGCAGATGTATATAATGTACTTACTGGTGTTTTTATTTTCTTTGTTTTCATCTTGAAGAGCAATATAATCTTGAAAATTTGCAAACGGTAAGTAAATTTATTACCTATTTATTTATTACTCTGTATTTTATCATGTAATTTACTATATCAATGTACGATTAATGAGTATATATGTAATTTGCCACATCCTAACAAAGTTCATGTAAAGGACAATTTATTAATATATTGTCATCTTTATAACCTCATAATGCTTTAATAAACAATTAAATACAAACTTTTGAGACAGTGTTCTACCGTTGAAACTCATTTTTCTTTTCCTAAATAAACATAGACAAGAAAATAAATTATAAAACAATACCACTGAATATGTCACACAGCATTATTTGGTCGCAACCTAAGCAGATCTGCAATTATCAATACTAGATAACTAATAGACATATTTAAATTTTATTTTTCATAAATATTCTGTCTTAAAAGACAAATAATACTTATTGCTTGTTATATCGTATAATCATGTATGCCAAATTTGCAATATTTCTTTAAGAGATACTAAACAATAACTTAATACAAAATACCTTTGTAAAAAAAACTTGTATCGTATGCTAATATTGTAAATGTGATACCTTATAAAGATATTTGGATGTTCTATATTTGAAAAAATGTAAATAATCAAATATATTTTATTCATTAATTTAACATAAAGTGTTTATCTATCTATCTATCTATATCTTAATTTAACATATAGGCAGATTTACTTTATATTGTTACGATGCACTTTCATGACTTCTAAAGGGATTGTTCTGAAAGCTTCTCCTAAAAATGTATTTGTCCAATTAGTAGTGCTCTTTCGAATTTAAAAACAGAATTCGAAAATAATCGATATCAAATATGGTTCTAGAAAGGTGCGCTGACCTTGTGGATATAAGTATCACTATTTGTATGTATGTAGCTATACATATAAATTTTTTTGCAACTAGTAATTAATCAAATTAAATAGAAAAATCACGAACTTACTAGTACCTACTATGACTCGCCCCGAATCGGCATGAACTTTTTAAATCCTGGCTAGGCGGATATAAAAGGTGTGCTATAAATAATCAAATAACACTAGTCTCAAATGATTCCTATGATCCTTCATATGGGGATCAAGATAAAATGGCCTGAGCCGAAGTTCGAAACGCCTCGCAATGCCCTCAGACTACTTAAGTCGTATCGGCAGGAGATGGCGAAAGGCCGCTCTATTAGTCCTTCCGCAAGTTTGGAGTGCCGTCTGCACTCGTCCCTTTTTTCACCCGGTGAAGCTGTACGAGCCATCTGCGGCCAACAGCATAGAGTAGTTCGAAAAAATCGAACAACAGTTTCTATTTACAAACGATAAATCGAAATTCCTCTGCAAGCAAAAAAGAATAATTAACTGTGACTACTGCGAGCTAATACGAATAGACTCTATAGAGATTCAGATTAATACTGTAGGTATTTGAAAGAAAGAAAGAAAACATTTATTGCCAACAACAAAGTTACATAAATGATCAATAGGAAAAAAAAAACTTTACATTTGTTATTTAATGAATAAACATACTTCTATCTTCACGACTCATCATTTATTCACCCTGCATGTAACAATATATAAATAACGCGAGCGAAGCTGCGAGAAACAACTAGTTAAAAATAAAAGATTCTTAAATTATTACTTTTTATTACAATATTTTATAGACTTTGAAATATAAAAATAAATAATATTAAATCAATTAAACAACGTTTATTAATTTAGGAGTTTATTTAAACTCTATTTAGAGAGGCTACGTTTTAAAATATTTTTATAATAGAATTGTAAAATTTATTTTTGCTGCAGGTTCAATGTCAACAATCGATTTACCAAACATTTAGAGAAGAGAGTGAAGAGTACAGCTCAAAGAAACACGTCGACCAGCCACTCCACCATTAGCGGAACTGGTGAACAGTATGTGGACATGTTACCAATGAGATCTTAATCTTATTGTAAACGTAATCAAGTTTAAAATTATTATATGCAAATATAAACAATAAACAAATAAAGCACTAACCATAATTACTAAATAACGTAAAAAGTAAATTTCTTTACACATAATTATTAAATAGGTACACTATTTTCTCTTAAAGTATAAATTATACCATTGTGAAAGGATAATACCTATCTACGGCCTTTTTAACCCTAATCTTATTTATACATTTTATTTATACATTAAGTTTTTAAAATACTACGACATTTCAAATAAGATGGCCAGACAAACTCTGGTCATCTATATAGATAAACGAGGAAGTACACAATATAAACTCCAAAAGGTGTGGCGGGAATAAAACAAAATAAATTTCGATTATTATGTTTTGGAATGTAATTACATAAATTAAAGGAAATAAATAAACAAAATTACACATTTTGAACGAAAACAAATATAATTTTGAATTTCTAGAGCTAAACATTGACTAGCTCTTGAAATTCATTATTATAATAGAACCATTATATTTGTTTCCTATAAGAATTGATAGAAAAAATAATATGTAGCCTAAATAAAATTCTGAATGCACAGGAATTGAGATTAAAATATTAATGGAAATTTATTAAAATGAAATTAAAATTAAAATATTAATGAGATTAAAATAAGTTAAAATTTGTAAAAATACGTTTGTTACTCGTTTATGCAATGGTTGGACGGGTTTAATTTGTAATTAAGTATATGGTTAGGTTATATTTTAACATTTTATATTTAAGTAAAATGTTTAAATATAAAATATAACATGTGATACTTTATATACTAATTTTAATCTTTTACATATTTTTTATAAAGAATTTGTATGTACATCTTAATTAAACTTTTTTATATTTAGATAAATTCTATGTAGTGTATTAAATTATATTTGTGCAAAATCACAGCTAGTCAGTAATTGGTAAATAAAAATCTTTTCTAATATACGGTGATTGCACAAAATTAAATTGTCTCACAAAAATAAAAATAAAAAATATATGTCATAAGTGTATTAACAATTTGTTATTCCTTATATTGATAGGTGCTTCGAATACATTATTTTTTAAATTCCCCTTTTTATTTTTACGATCTGACGGGCATACAGCCCATTTTCCATCTTGTTTGCCATCTTAATATAAAAAATAAATATTTAATGAAAAGTTTTTATTAAAATATAGTTTCATTATTAAGCACATTTTATTATTTTAGTACCTATACAACCAAAACCACATTCTTTTACAATAGAAAAAATTTATAGACAACCCCTTATTCATAAAAACGTCAAACCTCCTATAAATCTAATTAATGAACTGTTTTGTCTATTTCTATAAATTCCAAATTTGAAAAAAGTGACAAAACACTGTATCAGTCAAAAAAGGTTTGGAGAAGATTTTAGTTTTTTATAAATAAGCCAGAATATCATAAACTACAGAGTTATACAGTAGTGTGGAAACCTTATTGCAAATTCAGTAATTTATATTTTTAACATAGATTAAAAGGAAATATATAACAAATTATCTGTTGATATTATAATATTATACAGTCATCATGAGAGAGTGAACGATGTTTATATAATCTATAACCCCTAAAAATTTCTAATAACCCATTATTCAAGAGAACTACAACCTGCACAAACCTATTTTAACTTTTAGTGTTTTGCTACTTTCTTTCGAATTGAGAACTTACAATAAAAATGAGATAAACAATTTAATAACCAAAACAGGTTTATGAGACGTTTGACTTTTTATGAATAAGAGCGTAAGTATAAAAAGCAAGAATTCGATATGAATATTAATTCTAAAATTAGATTATTTAAATGCAATTCATCATAGCAGCCTTTAACTGTCCACTACTGAACATAAGCTTCTCCCTTGGGGGGTTTTGCCAGTAGTTACCACGCTTGGCAGGCGGATTGGCAACATGGCTTTAGAGATGTTTTAAGAAGGACGCTGCTGCCCATCTCTCGCCCTCAGTCGGCTCTTACGACACCCACGTGAAAGGAAGGGGTGGTCTATTCTAGGTCGGGACCAAACAGTATTTATTTTTAAAATGCAATTTTAAATCAAGAAACATAACTTTCTAAATTATTATGTAATTTCGAATTTATTCCACAAAAAGAAAATGCTGACTTTAATGAAGCAAAACTAGTTGTTTTTTTTATTATTTAAAAACTACACTACTGAACTGGTTTTGATAATTTTTTTATGAAATCAATCTAAATGTATCTATATTATTACAAATAAAAAAATAATTTTACAAATTAGTAACTGAGGTAACAGACAAAAAACCACAACCAAATTGAAACATTTTCCTTTTGTAAAGTAGATTAATTAATCAGTCTTACTGTAGTGTATACCTAGATATTAGCTATAAAAAAGTTATAATAATACTAGTGAAACATTAATAGATGGCGCGGTATCATGTTTGGATATGACATTTACGTTTGACGTTGGAATATCATAGAGTAATCTCGCTTGTTTGTCGATGCTTTCTTGTTTATGTATTATTTTATTACCTGTGGCAAGTAGATCGTGATTGATTTTTGTTGAGAATTCCTCTAAACTTCCCAGCTGTTCAGCTGCACCATCTGCATTGCGCCTGTCTCAATATCTGAATGCATTTTGTAAAATAATTAGACGACCTTATTTAGTCATCATGTCGACCACCGTGGATGAAAGGTGAGTGAACTGTGTTTGTCACGAAGAATAAATGACGCTAGTGAATATTCCTAAAAATCTGTATTTTACAGGCTTACAGACGAAATAGAAGCTCTGGAAGCTATATTGATGGACGATGTAGTGATTAAACGTGTAAGTGATGTGCCACATATCATAGAAACAGTAGTGCATCCGTCTACAGGGGATGATGTTGATCAGCAATTTGTTTGTGTTACTCTGGAGGTGAAGTTAACGCCGGGTTATCCGGACAATAGTCCGGAGGTAATCCTAAGGAACCCTAGAGGCCTGGACGATCAGTTGTTGGCAACCATTAATTCACAAATTCGAGATAAATTGCTAGATTGTCTTGGTCAGCCTGTCGTTTTCGAATTAATTGAGGTGAGTGATATTTCTATTCACTTCAATGCATAAATAACTATAAAAACCGTATATTTTATTTAAAGGTGAAAAAATGTTTTGTAACTTGAAGTTTATGTCTTACTTAATATCTAATATAAATATTAAACATTGTAAATATAATTAGAATATAATATATAATTTTGAAATATAATCGTACTTAAATGGCTGAATAAATTTGAGTGCAATTTGGATTATAGGCAAACCATAATTAAGACTAACATATAGAATACTTATATCCTGATTCATACAGTAAAACTGGCCCTTTCATCACACCTAAAATTGAAGAATGTGTTAATGCAGTTATTGAACTTGATATTTTAGAATACAACAATCTTGTAGTGTGTAACATAATATTGTTATATATTACTTGAATAATGAAGGTAACTCGTTTTTCATGACCTAAATGTTCATCTACACATTGTACTTTTCTGTTCTATAGTTATTTTGATGTCTTTATTACATAAGTACTAAACAATTATATTTATAAAAACTAATTATTCCTTCTCTTTATAATAACTGATCTATTAAGAATATTGAATTATCCATTTTTACAATAAGCAAATGTTATAAAAGTACCTCTATCTTTACCAATATTGCAAATGTTAAAAACCATTTGTTTGTTACTTCTTGGGTCCAAATAACTTGACCAATTATAATGAATATTCACATATATATATAATATTTGGGATGGCAAAGAACACATTCTACTTTTTATCTTAGTCGATGTGTTCTAGCAATAGGTAATTTGTATTTTTTTATAAATAAGTAGTAATACTCTATCCAGTGTCTTATGTGACTCAATCTTTAAAACAAATAATAACTAAACAAAATATTGATTTAATGATTATTGATTTTTTTTTTTCAGTAAAATGAATGCACTAATACTTATATACAGTAATTCATCTGAGATATCTAATCTCAGATGAATTACTGTATATATAGTAGATACAAATAATGTTTATAAAATATTATTTAAACTTCAATAAACATTTTAAACAAACAATTACACTAATTGTTTGTCCATTTAGTAGACAATACTAGATAATGTTCTCTATCAGTCAACTATTGTTATCTCCTTATCTAGTGTTGACACCTATCACACCAATTTTATGATGAAATATAAAATGTGTAATTATATTTAAATATTACAGCTGATACGAGAAAACCTGACTGAGAGCAACCTCCCAAGTGGACAATGCGTTATATGCCTTTATGGGTTTGTTGAGGGTGATGTGTTCATCAAGACACAGTGCTACCATCACTTCCACAGTCACTGTCTTGCCAATCACTTAATTGCAGGGAAAAAATATTATTTAGAGGAACTTGAGAAATTACCAAGTTGGCAACAAATGCAAGCACCCCCATATCAGGCAAGTTTACGTTTATCAAAATAATTCATTGCTGTATTCTTAGGCTATTGTAATAGCAAACTAACTTGTAGGCCAACTTGATTGTTATGGACGTCATTTATCTTTCAATCAAGAACATCATCATATATCTTTATACCAATCACTTTAGGAGAAGGGCAGAGAGAATTGAGAGTTAAAGACCTTTTTTTTATAAACTTTTCTAGCTTCTTGATTACATGTGCAAAAAACAGCTATCTCTTATAGGCATCCCATAAAGTGGCTGCATCTGCTTAACTTGTTGTTGATTGTTGAGCTAGTTTTTGCAAACAAATTATATTGTAAGCTTGCATTTGACATATAAAGGTTAAATAGTGATAATAGATACTTCTGTTAACACTTTTTTTATTCGTAACTTTTTAAAAAATGAATTAAATATGTATTACTATAATGAATATTTAAAATTCCAGCAAACATGTCCAGTTTGTCGCTGTCCTGTTTCTTGTGATGTGGAGACCCTGAAGAAAGCACCTCCACCTGTAGACTCCATCACAGCACCGCCATTCTGTTTGACTGCTGAACTTAAGGTAAAATTAGAGTTATTTATAGTGTTACTTGGTTGTCCGCTTACTACTTTTTACTCTCTTCTGAACCATATATACCTTTATAAAAGCCAATATACATAGAAAATAATATAAGAGTTACATTTGAAACTTGCTAACTGAAATTGTTATTTCTGTCGCAGTTTAACAGTCTCGCTCCTCCCCTATGATATTGATTGCTAAGACAAACTGATTTAAATATTGTTATTGTAGGCATTGCAGTTGAAGATGGCAGCACTGCTCGCGCAGCAAGTCGCCAAAGGTGGCGTAGTAGGAGTTGGGGATACTGGACCACCACCACTTACCATCACTTCACCATCTGATAATGACAATGTAACTTATTTTAATTTTTGTGCATTTATAAATTGTAATTTAAAAAATGTTATTCAAAATAACCATTTCAAAGTCATGTCGTTCAGCTATCGGTGGATTTCCGGCATTTTTAACTTTTATTTTAGCAGTTTTAAATAGCTTTAAAACTGGCGATACCTCTATACTTATATCTTACGATTTATTTACATTTTTGATTACACAGGAGGCTACAAACGGGTCCTCCAGCGGGCCACCGGAGAGTACCAAGGCAGAAGCTATAGCTGGTGTTCGGCACAACGGGAACTCTTCTAATGATAACTCGTCGCCGGGCTCGCCGCATTCTCGCCCAGTGTACCGCGGGCCTTATCGGTGAGTTCACCTTAGTTATATGTTGTTATTCAATTGACTTATCATTATAACAATCCATTAAGGTCACACTATTGGCCATAGATCTGCGACTATTAAAGGAGGTTGAGGAAGAGAATTAGCAGTTATAGCTTAGTAATTATAAGGTCCAATTCCAAGTTTTCCCTCTAATATATATTGGGCTTTTATCCCCTAGTTATTCTCACAACATTCTTAAGGAATAAAAAAGAGTGGTGATTCTGACTCCATCACTGCTTATAGAAAGTATTGCTTCTTTTCATCTTCGTGTAAGTCTACAGGGAACATTATATTTCTGTGAAATATGGACACATACAGGACACGTCATCTCATAGTAACACATGGAAACTATTTATCTTTATTCGTGTGGACAAAGTGGTGGGATACAATTATATATATATATATGTATTTTTTTTTCGTGGTAGGGGATTTAACCGACGTGGCAAGCCAGGACGGCGTGGGCGCGGCGCAGCGGCCGGCCCGCGGTGACACCGACCCGCAGCCGCGCCGCCCCCGCCTCCCCCGCCGCCGCCGCCGCCCCCCGCCGCCTAGCGAGCCCCCCACCCAGTCCCCGCTGCCTCGCGACGTACGAAACTCAACCCTATCTCCGTGGCAGGTAGTCTCTGTAATGCACAACCATCAGCTCCGACCGTTTCGCTCGGTAGCTGTTTCACCACGAAACACCACCCTACTGTTGCTGCAGATAGTATAATTTTTCTAGAACTGGCCACTCTGAGTGTTTTGACTACCCTATCCTCTACCTCGCGCCATACAAAACTCAACCTTACCTCCATGGTAGGTAGTCCCTTTTATGTGAAACGACTAGCTCCGACCATTTTGCTCGGAAGTTGCAAATTACACGCCGTGCGCAGTATGATCTCGGTGGCTCTGTGTGACCCCGCGAAAGTGAGCTTTATAACGAATGCTATAAAACTCGTTTTGATGTTTGCGGATTCGAGAGTCGTATTAGTTTTAAAAATAAACGTACCGATGTTTTGTAATACAGGGTCCCTTTATGTTGTAATGTTTGACTTACTTAGAATCGACATTGACCTTTCGAGACTGACGATATACCCTAATTACTTCGTAAACGCACATTGCACAATATACTACTCTATTATCATATTATTAAAGTTCAAATGTACCAAAATAATAGTATATTATTATATCCCACGTTCGGACCACTTACACGCTGCCAACAGCAACCAACGAATTTATTTGCAAGTTAGATACCTTTTTAAAAATGTCAAAGATGTGTGATTTTGGTGTCCTTTCAAATGTACTATTTTTAGTAGGTTGTGATATTAAAGTTATACTTTTTTGAAACTACTAAACGTAATATGTTTGAAAGGATTAATGGAAATTTTATATAAAATAGTTTTAGTTTAGTTTTTCAAGTATTTTTTAATTTATAATAATGAAATTAGTTTCAGTACAACCTTCAACCTCTGTCGCCTTTTATTATTCGATATTTAAAATTTTGTAGCGTTGTAAAACGTGTTTTGTCGTTATTTACAAAATACATCATTTGTATTTTCTACTCAACAAATAAACATGAACACAAATTTCGGGTGACCATTCACAAAGCTTTGTTTTATATTAAAAAAAAAAGTCAAAAATATTGTACAGGGTAAATCGCAAAGGGTACACAAACCAATAACCAAATATAGAAAGAACAGTGCTACAATCACAATTGAATAACAGGAAACACTTTATGGTACGTACTATCTAAATTCTTTATCTGCCTAAACGAGAAAGGATTTGGTGTTGGTAGAGTTTTGTTATACAAGATAAACATTCATAAACTTGACTATCGACTCCGCAAACTGTCCTGTGATCTGACTGTAAAGTCGTATTCACAATGACTCGAAATGTAACAAATCATTATAATTCTTTCTGTGGATATGACTTTAGTTTTAAGAGCATTTATACCGAAGCTTGCCGAAGTGTGACAACGTTGGAACTATCTGTCAATTATCAATAGTAATTGAACAATTTTAATATTTTTGATTGACTGAGTACTCTGTTAGCTACGTCAAGGTTATTATTTGTTAATCATGTAATAAGTTTCTTATTAACGCTGTCTTTGAAAATTTGTATTTTGAATGCAAAAAATACCTATTTGATGACATAAGCAAAATATTAAGTCGGTATTAGTGGTATGAGAAGCTTATACATGTTACTAAACTTTTTTTTTTTCATTTATTTGGTAAAACTAACAGTGACAAAATAAAGAATAATGCATAATATTAATCAAAGAAAACATTGAGTAAATTTGCCACCAACACCGTTTACCACAGTTTCGATTCAAATATGAGAAAGACTCTGTTTTCCGCGCTTAGCCTTTCATTTGGGCCGTTGTGCGTGATATACACAAGTCTATACAAAGGTGACCGTTTTCCAGAATTTGTACGACAGCGGCTAGTGGCAAAAAGACTATTTGGATAACGGCAATGCACTCTAGTGGGTATTCTATAACACAACTTATTGATAATTGGACTACAGTCATGTCTATTATGACACAAATCATATAAAGGCGTAGTTTCTAAATGGATACGTCTATGATTTAGTTAAATAATTTATATTTGTCAAACTTACACATGTTATTTAAATATGTTACTAAATAATAGTATAAAAATATATGACAGATATGGCGAGGTGACACATCACTTAGTAAGTGCAGTGCTAAATTAATAAATCTCTTATTTGAAAGATTACATATTTCATATTTTCTTACTGCATTGCTTACACTAACATTATATATATATATATATATATATATATATATATATATATATATATATATATATATTACTCTATATGCAACTTTTTCAATGATTACCATCTTAATTTTCTACCAGAGAATTCTTTAAATCAGTCAGAAACATTGATAATTGTTCAATTATTTACAATCGATTTAAAAAAAAAAACAGGAGGTATACAATTTCGATGTTGTATTTTTTTTTTATTTTTATTATAAACATAACTCATAACTCCATCTGTAAATCGATTTGAAAAACTCTTCTTTTTATCTGAAAGATATACTTCCAGAATAGGTCCATAGTTTTTGTTGAAGTATTGAAAATTGGCAGATAACTGCGGTGTTGACACATTATCGGAAAATTTAGCACATTGATATAGTAAATCAGTGTTCTATAGTTTTTTTTTAATTGACTTAAAGAAAAGACTTAAAACGGTACGTGTGGCTTATGGTATGGGGTAGTAATCGGCTGTGTGATTTACAGGTTATTGGGTTACATTTAGAATTTTTATGATACGTTATTTAAATGGTTCACTGCAAATTTTCTAGTTGATGGATGTCTCGTCCAAATTGCATTCTTTTTTTAAATTGAACTATTGCTACATATACGTAATACAAATATAAACCTTTCTGATTATAAACCGTTACCATAGTGTATAAACGCTTACCATACTTGAACTGCAGTAGCTAAAGATTTTTTTAAATGAAAATGAAACAGTGACTCCACCTACGCTATCGATACACACTGACGGGACACCAATGAGGGATGATAGATGAGGATGAAAGTAAGTCAGCCCATTGGTACGAATTCAACAAAAATGTACTACAATAATTTCCAGGGGGAAACGCATGGAAGTCGATATAGGATATATTTGTGGTGGGGGCCCCCTTATGGTAGACGCCTCTAGGCGTTTAAAGGTTCTTTGAAGGATATTAACGATTTCAATCCATGGGGCCATCCATAAATTGCGTCACTCGAATGTCGTCACGGAATTTAGAACCCCTCCAACCTCTTGTCACATGTCACACTACATCGACCCCATCCCCCCATCCGCCCCAATGTATGGCCCCTATTTAGACAAGTAAGTGTAGTCTTGCAGTGGATTATTTAAAACGTTTTTAAGGTACCTAATACAATTAAAATTAACTTTAATTTTTTATATTCGATTGAACTAAATATATATCCAATAGTTAATTAGTCAATGTCAGGTTAATATATGATAATATATAACACAAATAAAAATTCATATAAGGGTGGGGCGCGGCACAAAATATATAATGATAGTCATTCAATGTACTCTTAGCGTAAGACACATTTCTGTGACGAATCCTAGTCAAGCCCTAGTATTCCACGTAATAAACATAACGTGTCAAATGTTTGTACTCTTTGGCCAACTTATTGGTTATATTAAAAATATAGTTACAGTCAAAAGTGTTAAAGAAAAATATTCTTTTCAATTTTAAAATAAAAAAAAATATATTTCAATTTCAATTAAAATATGTTCGTAACGTACTTAGAAACAGGGAAATCATTTAAAGACCCGGTTGAACAAAATGTTCTTCTAATTTTTTAATAATTTCTCTATCTGAGTGTCATTCACTCCCTAAGAACCTAAGGACTTTAATCCAACAGATTAATACATTTATTTTGTGGTATTTTAATATATTTTTAAATACAAAACGTGCGATATTTCGTTGTCCAAAAAAGTACTGAACATTTTTGATAAATTTTAGAAATGAACATTATCACCACACGTCAAAGATCGCAGATCTTCCGCAATGTTCGCCAAGTGTGTTACATTATATATTGTATTAAAAAATGCAGTGTGACGCCAGCAAAAAATCCGAAACAAACGAGCGAGAATTAGTTGCGCATTTTATTGTTGCGGAAGATCCGCGACAAAAGTTTCGATTATGATAAGACGCTAGCGTAATTCGTTCTACCATTTATAATATGAAATAACAATAAGTTGTCCAAATGATAATGTCGTCGTATTTGTTAGTTAAATATAATAAACATAAATTTATTCCCAATAAATCTATAACATTTGCGGACAAATTATAATTTTCAATCACTTAAAGTTATATAAAATATTATTTTTTTAATTAATTTCTATACATGATATTATTATGATTTATTATATTGTTGTACCTTTATATTTAATTTTATATTGGTGTGTAATTCGATTATGCATGTTTAAATTAATTAGTTATTCTTGACTTTATTTTTGTTATTACTATACAATTACTATAAAACTAATTATATATGTAATAAATTTAAAATCTACGTTAGAATATTGTCTGCGACTGTACATATATTTTATTTCATAAATAAGTTTGTACACACGGCAACGTTATAACAATATACTGCCATAGAGATAATGCACTTTACAAATTAATCTGTTCTTTAGCTACATACATATATAATAAAAATGACTCCGTTATGTAAATATATTATGAAACTTTCCTAATTTAATATATAATTATTGCATTTATAATTTTAAATAAGTATAATTCGAATTTTAAAATATTATTTTAGATTTTACGCTATTCCGAAATTCCCGCCAACTGATACTATAATGGTTATTGCCAGTCACTCATTATCTCTATGACAGTTATACAGAAAAAAAAACGCACATTACATATACAATAATTATTATGTATAATATACTTAATAAAGAATTGTAACAAAACTGGCGTATGTTCACTTGAAATTGGTTGTGTTTTGAATTAGTTTAATTATTATCAAACACTGTATTTAAAAATATATCTGTTATTAAGTGATGCCCGTAGATTCGTCCATGTATAACATGTGAATGTGATACAGTTTCCAGACTGAGCCAATTTTAAATTCTAACTAAAAAGTAACAGTTGGTTATGTGATACGCTGATTGTTTTGTTTTTTTACGATATGTATGAAATACGATATCTAAACTATGCATGTGATACCATGGATAAATAACACCTTAATTGAACTTATAAATAAGGCCACATATTGACTCCACTGAGTCAATATAACCACTATTATGTACCCATGCTGTCACGTGCGTAGTTCTCAAGTGAATGCTAAATGGCTGAGCAATCGGGTGATTTAAGGAATCTCACGCTTAAATAGGTACGACACTAGTTTTTATTAGTTTCCGAACCTATAACTAAATCTACAATATCTATAGGATATTTATAGTACTTAATCATTATCTACAGTATAAAGAATTGGTTTTGCAAGCTCAAACACATATATTACAATAGCTATGTTACTCAGGTTATTAATTAAAAAAAAAATTACTTAAACGAAGTCGACCATAAACACAAATAAAAAAGTCTTTGTCAGTAGGCGAAGGAAAAATTATTTATCCGTCGCCTATTTTTTTTTAATATATATATTTTAACAAGTTATTGAATTAAACAAACTGTAGATTTGGTTGCAAGTTCAAAAAAGTAAATTTCTTGCCATTTTTATAATGTATTCTTGAAAATTATTATATTAATTTCTTAAATTTTATTTACATTTTTACATTCCATTATACCTTGTATGTATATGATTTTGTACTACGCGTTATATACATGTGCAGATGCTCTCTAAGGTCAAAGATCCTATTTGTATAGCACTGAATGTCATTTCCTGTTTTTATGTACTATTTAGGCAATCTACTTACAGTGTCATTGATCCTATTTACATAATAAATTGTACACTTATATCAAAGTGTAGCTTAAGAACTAATTTTTTTTTTACTTATATTAAATAATCCCTAACTTAGAACACTAAAATTTTTTTACTACGCTGTTTTTTTGCATACTTAATATGTTACTCATATATAAAATAAGGTTATTTTTTTTTACTTCTTGGCGTCTTAACTGCTAAATCAATCATAAAATTTGCTGTACATGTACTATTTGGGATGAAGAAGGACATAGGCTACTACTTATTTGCTCCTATCAATCAACACAGTTGAAATTAGGGAAAAAAAGTATGTGTACTCTATGTATTTATTGTGATTTCTACCTAAATTATTAATTAATTATTTACAAAATTGTGCGGAAAAAACAATGCGTAGATAAAATGAAATTGCAGTATCCTAGACACGACATTAAGTTTTTTTTTTTTAATTATATGAACAATATAGACTACATGTGATAATGAATGTTCTAATCCGCAACAAGATAATTCTTTATATAAATATTCCTACATTCATTAATGTCCTTAGAGATTGTATGCACTGTATAGTATTTTTTTTTTATATATATATTCTGTAAATATTATTTAGGCAAGCGACAGAGGAAGATTTGGAAGGCGTATCTACTATATATCTACGTTACGTAGGTAGGTCACCTATTATTACACAATGACTTAATTTGTTATTTATTCAATTTGCAACTATTACAATGTTTAATATAATATTAATGTAATGTAATAATTTTGGCTTTTAGGGTAAGTAAACCAATTGGTAACATGAAAAAATAATTTTAAATACCGTTAATATTTATACATACTTAATTTTAATGATAAGACCTCTTTTAGCTCAATGTTTTTTACATGTAAGTATGATAGATTAACTTTACTCATAATAGTTTAACTCGCATACAAAAATGTTTACATTGAATGCAAATGTATCATACATAAAGTAACGGTACATAGGAGAAGAAAACCCACATATGCAGGCGGTTTTAGGAATTTAATACAATCCAAAGAGCAATATGTTGTAGGGAGCAGTGGTGATATCAAATAATGAGATAGAAATATGATTGGTGTAACTTGCTGGAACTGAATAGGTTCCACATTTATCGATGTATGAAAGCGTATTAACGTAAGTTCCAAACATTTGTCTTGGGTTGATGCGAGATGCTGACATGTTGTTTTTTTCTTGCGCCTGCTTTAAATTTACCGATAGAATCGTTCACCGCTTATCGAAAGCTGGTATTAAGATTTTTTTTTTTTTTACATTATATATCGTATCATGTGATCAATTTCTTTCTTTTTTTATATTATATAAATCAATTATGTTTTCAACTTTCTTCTAGTTAAGTTTGTCTTTAGTACGTAGGTATATTCGAATTATTGATAATAAATCCGAATAATTAACGGTGTTTGAAATAATTTTTCAATGTTTCAATAATATTTAATTGTGCGATTCAACATCGGCGTTATACGTGTATCCGGTACATTGTCAGTTTTGTAAATGTAATTTTGTCATACGTAGAATAATAAATAACAAATAAACTCTTACCAAAGACTGTTTGTATTTTTTTTTATTTAGCCACCAAAAAAAAAAAGAAAGATGCAACTTATATTTTTAAGACCTTGGAGTTTTTTATTTTTTAATAATGTATTTATTGTTTTCTGCTAAAATTATATTTTCCATAAAGAATCTAGTTTTGCTTCTCTTTGAATCTCCATTTTTTTATTTAATTAATATAAACTCGCCTGCGCAATTGATTTACGTTACGTAAGTAAATCGTTTTCATAGAGAACCGCATAGAAGTTAGCCTGAGCTATACTGCTATCGATAGGGCCAATATGGGGGAAAAGAGATTGTTAGCAATGGAGTTTGACAGCCCCATTGCTAGCAATATAGGGAATACTTTTTTTAAATTATTAGGTCAACCTCCACGTGGTTTCCCCTAGAAACCATCGTGTACAATTCTTGTTGAATTCATCACGATGGGCTAACTGACCTACTTCATACTCACCTATCATCTCTTACTGGTGCCCCGCCGGTGTATACCGATAGCGCGGGTGGGGCTACCATTACATTATCATCCATTAAAAAAAAAAAGGGCGAATATTACCAATAATCCCCTCCACCTTCCACCCACGTCAAGTATTAACGGAAAATATTTTTTTTTTAATGGATGATAATGAAATGGTAACCCCGCCTGCGCTAATGGTATACGCTGGCGGGGAGTGGTGGGGAGGGGGGAGGGGCTGAGGGATGATAAGTGAAATAGAATGAAATAGCAGGTCAGTTAGCCCATTATGATGAATCCACCCGGAATTCAGCATGATGGTTTCCAGAGGGGACCACGTGGAGGTCGACCCGACAAGGTGCATTGCTAGCAATGGGACTAGTAGTCCGCACTACTAACAATCAGAAAAAATATTTTTATAATGTTAAGATCATATGTTATCATCATATCAGCCGTATATTGACCACTGCTAAGCATAGGACCCTTCTACAAGAGAGGTTTTGACAGTACTTGCCACGCTTGGCATGCGGGTCGACAACCGCAGTTAGGCTTTCATGATGTTTTAAGAGGGGTATTATATGTTATATATAAAATTGTAACGACGATGTCTGTATTTTGTAAATATTTAAGAAAAATCGATCTATAAGGCTGTTATATTGTTTCGACTTACAGTCATTAAATTTTATAAATTTTGTCTGTATGTTTATTCCGGCATCACGCGAAAACTACTACGCCACATTGTATGCGGCTCAAAATTATGTTCCTGAAAGTTTAACAAAATGTGGTGCATGTTTTACCTTGATATCTAGTGGCCTATTCCGTTGGTTTTTTTACTTTGAAATTCACGCATTCGTAATAGCGGGCAAAAAGCTTTTTTTTTTATACAACTTAGAATGGCAAACAAGCTAACTGCCCACCTGATGGAAAGTGATAACCGTCGCCTATAGACATAAGCAGTACCATGGACATAATAAAAAGCTAATATAATACCTATACTATATATAGAAATATGTAGAATACATATGTATATGCTGTAGCGGAACTAATCAAATGACACAAATCCAGAATAACCTTTATCAAACCTATTTGGGATTCCATTAGAATATAATGATATGTTGTTGAAAGTAAGCATATGGCTGTATAAGGTTGTTACCTTGGTCCGAGTCCAATAGACGTTATTTTTATTTGCATGTCCGATCTACCTACACGAATATGGACATGTCGAGATGGTTCCTGCAACGCATTTGGTGTAGGTAGGTATTATATGTACTGACCTCGCTGGACTTGCTATAATTATAAATATAATAACGTAAAAGACAAAATCTTTTTTGATCCAGTAGAGACACTTTGTCAATATAATATAAAAAATTAAATCCTTATTAATATTATAAATACCTTATAACGACTTAACCAAACGACACTATGAAATTTGGTACAAGTACATAAACTATATGGAATGGAAAGGGATATAAGCTACTTTTTAATCCGATCAGTAAAGGTATTCCGGTCACACAGACAAAGTTGCGTGTACTGCTAACATTCGAAGATTACTACCAGAAGTTCCACAACCTTCAACAAAAATCAATTTTCCAACCTTTCTTTCGAGCAGCAATCTAATAATTTGCCTAAAGATGGCTCGTTTAGAGGTTTTTTTTTAAAGGGTGATAATGGAATGGTAACCCCGCCTGCGCTATCGGGATATGTTGACGGGGCACCAGTGAGGGATGACAAGTGAGGATGAAAAGGCAAATTAGTTAGCCCATCGTGACGAATTCCACTAGAATTAACCACGACGGTTTTCAGGGTGAACCGCGTGGAGGTCGACCTGATAGAGTATATTGCTAGCAATGGGTCAATTAGACCACATTACTACGAATCCCTCTCCTCCTCCTCGTTCAGAGGTGAAACACGTGTTACACCACTGAACGTGCATGAATAAAATGACAGTCGGAGATTGATGGCTAGAATGGATGATTGGGGGGAAAGGGATTGTTAGTAATGGAGACTGAGAATCCCATTGCTAGCAATATACCTAACCAGGTCGACCTCCTCGCGGTTCTCCCTGGAAACTATCATGGTGAATTCCTGATGAATTCATCATGATGGGCTAACTGGCCTGTTTTCATTCTCATCTATCATCCCTCACTGGTGCTCCGCCAGCGTATCCTATTAGCGCAGGCAGGGTTACCATAGCATTTTCACCCATCAAAAAAAATATAGTCGGTAGCAGAACTTTTGGTAGTAATAGTGGTGATCAATCTTCGAGTGTTGGCAGTCACACACATATTAATGGTAGTGAAATTAAACAAAATATTTCTAATCAACTAACCAGTGATAAGGACTTCCGCAAGATAACACCTAGTTTAGTAAAGTTGATAAGTATTATGTTCAAGTTTTAATAGGTAATACCAACATTGCCAAACTTGTTTTAACCACAAACCAAAATATTTACCATACAATATAGTTCTTTATCTAAGATATAAACCCTGTTAATTTAAAATTATGTATGCTCTTGTCTCTATGAGTCAGGGTCGGCGCGTGCGCACGGATATGGAGAAAACATCCGAGGACGATGCGATTTCTCGATGTTTTGATGAGCAATGTAATTATACACCAGTAGATGCTGTCCTGGCCTTATACGACGCCCGGTGTTTTATGCATGCATTAAAAATCTGATAAGAATTACTTTGCATACATATTCATGTTTTGGAAGTCAGGAAATAATGTAACTAATATTATCTTTTGGAGGAAACAATAAAGAGTTAGGGGGAAGTTGGAGAAAATTGTTCAAAATAGTCACATTTGGTACAATTATTATAACTGTTAATTAGGAACATTAACTGTTTATTTCAATATCAAATAGTCATTAATTAAATCAAATACATTTGAACATTTCGTTAAAATATGTAGATTTTTAAAGAGAGTTATTCGCCCTAATTACCCCATATTTCGAAAAATAACATCCTATTTTATACTCATATGTGAAATAAGAGTACGGTAGGTCCAGGCGTAAAATAGGCTACCCCTTCTTAAAGTGATAAAGTTTTTTTTTTTTTTTTTAATAAGAATTAACAAAATAGCATTAAAAATTTAAACTGAAATAAAATACAATCCAATATTTTTAACATTGAATCAACTTAATTACAATTAATTAACTCTTATTTTCTATTTCCACACGTAAGTATTTCTAAAATCCTGTATAAAATTAAAATGGCTCCTACTTCAATTAATTTAGTATTTAATGAAATCGGTTAAGTAAAAAATAATTTAAAATGGCCGTCTATTTTATTGACATTATCTGTCGATATTTAAAATACATACAAATACATTATTACATACTCACAAATACCAATTTTCAACTTACACTTCACAATTTTTTACTATTTTTTAAAGCAATATGAAAGAATTATGAAGTTCTACCTACCGCATTATTATTCTTTACGTACGCATTATTACAAATAAATAGTATAATTAAATATACAAAAATGAGGTTATATACAAATATAAAGGATTATTTAATCCTAATAATATTTTAAGTTACGACCTTTACATATTTACCTTAAAGCAATAATTTGTAATCTGGTACACAATTTGTATGGACAATTTGCATTTGTATAGTGACAACATAGACTCGTATGCAATCTAATAAAAATAAAAAATAAATATAATATTAAAAATAACCTAGTAATACACTAATTAAATAGTTCAAAGAACCATATAAAGAACGACTATACAATTATAATAAATGATAACATGGCAATAAATTAAATTCGAAATTACCCGAATTGCTACGCGAATCCTAAAACGCGCTATTGAAATATTTCTGCTCGTTAAGTATATATACAAACGGGACGAGAGTGTCATCGGGGATCCGTTTCTACTCGGTCAAGCGGTACCTGGGGCAGAGCCGCTTAAATCTGCCCTAATGCATACTACAATACGCTATCTGGGGGGGCTATTGTAATGCAATCCGACGCCATGCCGCGTCAGTCCTACTGGTTTCTAAACCGATTCCGGCCCTTGCGGCCTATACAAATGAGTCCTAAAACCGATGTCTTGATGTCGAGATATGTCGAAGGATTTCTTCACCCCACCGTAGTAGAACCTTTGATCCCTTTTTGGTTTATTTTTATATTTAAATCTTTAACATAAATTGAAATGTATTCATTTAAATGTATAGAATGCACGTAATAATACTTCGTAATAGGGGGAAAGGGTTTGTTAGTAATGGGGTCTAACTGACCCATTGCTAACAATACACCCTATCAGGTCGACCTCCACGTAGTTCCCCCTGGAAACCATCGTGATTAATTCTAGCGGAATTCGCCACGATGGGCTAACTGACCTGCTTTCATCGTCACCTATCTGGTACCCTGCCAGAACATGAATAAATCTATTTGGTACCTCACTAGTACCCCGTCAGTGTATACCGATAGCGCAGACGGGGTTACCATTCCATTATCACCCATTAAAAAAGACTTATTAATACTGACATTTGATATTATGTGGCGGTAAACAAATTAAATTTTATTTATTTATAGCCCAATTAAACTTTATATTGTAGAAATTATATTTTAGAATTTTGTTCATTTTGTTTATAAATGAAGTAGTACCAAACAGTTTTATTTATAAATTTGTAAAAATGAATAGCGGTACAAAAAAAAATACCTACTTGTAAAATAAAAATATATTTTTTTATATTAAAATACATACGTTACATCACTTGATTGTATGGAATATATGTAATAATAATAAATCATTATATTTAATATAATAAAGCGATATAATTTACGCTTTAATTTTTTTTTATTATTATTCACTCGATAGAATACAATAAATTATTAGTGTAAAACGTCACATAATTTAGAGAGAAATTATTGAATAAATGTATATTCACGATGCATGGGAACTATTCACGAGGGGGGAAGGGATTGTTAATAATGCGAATAACTAATCCCATTCCTAGAAATATACCTTGTCAGGTCGACTTCCACGTGGTTCCCCCTGCAAAACATCGTACTGAATTACAAGGGTATTAATCACGATGGGCTAAAATTGACCTGCTTTTTCATTCTCGCTTATCATCCCTCACTGGTACCTCGCTAGCATAAACCGTTTGCGCAGGCGAGGTTATCTTTCCATTATCATTCTTTAAAAAAAGGCCCTATTTACAATATTCACACATGGATAAAAAAATTAACCTGTTTTGGCTAAACATTTGTTTGTATGGAGACAATATATCTACATAGCCTACAGACATATGCCTTATGCTTGTCACAGCTCTAGAAAGCTTACGAAAGTTATAACAAGAAGAATATCTCCTTGTTAAACGGTATATTATATTTATATTCACAGCTTATCGTTAAACATAATGTTATATTATTACTCACCATTCCATCACCATACCAAGTTTCGTGTCAAGCTTGTTCCGTTTTACTCCACTCATTTCCTTCGACTTATTATCGCGAATGGCATGATGTCAGTTACAAATAAGAACGTGTAATGTACGCACGTTCGTACTGTGGTAATATTAAAACCGAAATACCTATTTATTTTTAGTTCGAAATTCAAAACCGGAGTTCTTTTTTCAGTTTCTTTTTTTTTTTATTAATTTTGTGATGTATGCCAGTGTTTTGTGTTGAATAATGTCCGCTCTATTGAAGAATGTCACAAACTGCATCTGGCACGCATTCGACTCTTTGCAAAATAAGGCTGCAGTGGTCCATAAATCGAAATTGAAGGTTTGTTCCTTTTACTTATAAAAATTACGCTACTGGGTAATCGATGAATATTTTTTTTTAATTTAATGTATATAAGCAGACGTTTACATATTATTTAAAGACAAAATAGATTTATTTAAAGCTTATAGTAAATAAAGCAGTATTCGAGATTAAGAGACTTTCTCAATATCGATTATGGTTTAATGTATGCGGGTTCGATATCTATAAAGGACAATAATAAAGACAGACAGGTATATATAATTATCAGGCGTACAAAAATTGGTATTAAACTTACTGTAATAATTAATTATATCGAATAATATCGTGGTTTAGTTATATAGCACGCTGACTCATCGAAGGTCGTGAATTCGATTCTGGTCAACGTAAAAAAACATTGTGTCTATATAAATAACTCTCTGATGATTGAAGAATTGGATACAAACATACTTATTCGACGAATTGTAATCATATTGATTTTTTTTGTGAAATAATGAAATAGACATTGCTTTTTTCAACTGTTCATCATGAAGTGTGAAATCATAAGTTTCATCAACCTACTATTATTAAATTCAATTTTGCATTATTTTTAAATAATCATCTCTTGTTTCCTGCTTCAGAGAGAGCGTAAGGCAATGATCCATAAAGGCACGTCTTGATACATGAGAGATACGCTTATATGAGAGGGAGACTGTACAAAAGTCGATTGCTTGGGTACCTCTGTCCCATTCGTGTTTCAACCGTGAAGCAGTTGTGTTTGCATGGCTGTGTTTCGGTTTGAAGGGTGGGATATGGCGTGAATTTACTGGGCACAGAGGAATAACATCTGAGTCCTCAGGAATGGCAACGCATGGGAGGTATCATGGGCGAGACAGTATACTCTGTTATGTCCATGGTACTGCTCATGTCTATAGGCGACGGGTACCACTTTCCATCAGGAGGGCCGTCAGCTTGTTTGCCATTCTAAGTTGTATAAAAAAAATGTAGAAAAAAAAAAACAGTATGATGAAATTTCGATCGTCACTTCTTTTAGTATGGAAACGCTTGCTAAAAAGAAATAAAAATATTTATTATTTTGCAATAAGGTTTGATCAACAAATATGTAACAATATTCCTTAATAATATTATTATAGATCGATAGTTTAATAGCAGCTGATGAAGTACAAACGAACGGACTCCCCTTTTATGGGGGACAGGATTGTTAGCCTCATCGTAAGCAATATACAAAATCACAGGTCGACCTCCAGGTGGTCCCCCCTGGAAACCATCGTGCTGAATTTTAGGTCTATTCATCATGATGGGCTAACTGACCTACTTTCATCCTCACCTATCATCCTTTACTAGTGCCTCGCTGGCGTATACCGTTGGTGCGCGGGGTTACTTTTCCATTCTTATCCATTAAAAAAAATCATTGACAATGCTATTTGCCATTATGATTCGAAATCTGTTCTTATTATACTCTAAAGGTTTTTATAAAGAATCCTTGAATATTTACCTTTATTACCTACTTGTATTATCATATTTTTTACTGTTTTGTTCACCTAGAATAAGGCTGAAAAGAAGAATGGCCTTTGCCCAATATGATCGTTTACTTATTAAATAGTTTTGGATTTTCTTTTTTATTTTATAATAGCGAAATGCGATGATTTATTCAAAGCACGGACGTGCTTAACGTCCATTTGAATTCTGCATAAAAACAATGTGTAGGTTTGGTAGGTACTTACTTATAATAGTAGTACAGTATTATATTATTTGTGCTAATATGTAAGTACCTACAGCGTTTATTTTAAAATAACTATATTAAATGTGGTTATAGATATGTATATTTATATTTATCCCGGGATGTTTACGTTTTATTAAATTTTGTTACTGTATATCTATATCATATATCTATATCGTATATCTATAACTATAATATCGACTATTTTTAAATGTTGACATAATTAACTAATTCAATGTAACAATTAATATGTATTTAGAATAATTATTTGGACATACATAATTGATAAACTTTTACTTAACATGTGCTAAGACAAAATTTGCATGCCTTTAGATAAGGCGAAATGTATATTCAGTATTTTAAGACCTTTGTACTTTCGAGCAAATAAATTATTCTTATTCTATTCTTATTCTTATCACTTACAAGTCTCCTGCTACTATTATTATGTACTTATCGTAGATTTGAAGTACTATAAAAAATGTCTGAATTTGGAAAATTCAGGTTTAGAGCTGTATTTAAATTTAAGACCCCACAGTCGAGTTAATCGAATAAAAATCTCTTTTGTATCAAAATATAAAATCTAGATAGTTTTTTTTTAATAGATGAACATGGAATTGTAACCCTGTCTGTGCTAACGGTATACGCTGGCTGGGCACCAGTGAGAGATGATAAGGTTGAAGTAAGTCAGTTGGCCCATCGTGATGAATTCATCAAAAATTTAGCAAGATGGTTTCCAGGCGGAACCGCGTGGCGGTCGACCTGTTAGGGTATATTGCTAGTAATGAGTCTGTTAGGTCTTATTACTAATAATCCCTTTCTCCCTAATCTAGATAATTATAGCCCAAACGTGTTAAAGCTATTAGCCTGTCCCTATAATATGACCTACTTACATCGAGTTTCATACTACAGCTCGCCAGGTCAAGGGAGGCGGGACATTGCGTCACCATTTGTCTAGACCAAAATAGTGTTTATGTGGATATTACCTGTTTACTCTAATAATATATAAAAGGGAGTTACTTTTATGAAAGCTAACCTCTCACAAGCCTAATTTTCACTATACATGTAGTTTGTCATTATCTTTTAAATTAAGAATTTAGATCAAACCATAGATTAAGGTTTGTATCTGTGATCGTGCTCAAAGGACAAAGAAGAATAACTATAATTTAATATATTTAGTCCACATTTCACCTTTTTAAAGTCCACCATTAGTATTCTGTACTTATAATGTAAATTTAGTTGGTAAGCTAGAATATAGGGTAAAATGTCAAAAAGATCCCTTACGTTTATGTATCATATTGTCTTAAAATATCATTTCGATAACAAAATGAAGATAAATACATCAAATGACGATTCTGTGATAAAAGCCAATTACAATTTCACACGTCCTGAAAGCGCGCAATTTTTAGTTTTCATTGTTTTGTCTAAGAATTTCTATGGAGTCAGTGTATCTAACTGAAGGTGTATGATTTAGAAAGTGATTTTTTTTTCTCTATTTTCTAATATTTTTTATAAAGATGAAAACGAAAGACATCTATTATATCTCCTCAAGTAGGTACATATTCAGTAAGCTTAAAACTCAGTTTTATGTAACATTAAGATATTTAAGTTTACTTATTCTAAAATAATAAAGAATATTTATATAGAAGTGATTTTAATTACGAGCATTTTTGTACAGTTATTTTTTTATGATTCTATCAACCATTTGGAATGTAATTTCAATTGAGAAGAACGAGCAAGAAACACAACTGCTTTTTTCAACAAAAGTTGATTTTACAATTACAAGCTTGTCTCAATACAGACTAGCAAACAGCGCGAGAGTTGTTTTAATTAGACAAATCAAGTTCAAGATATATTGTAGAGGTAGTACCAACAATAAATAACACTAATTGAGCTACGGTAAATTAAGTAAGTGCTGCGAAAGCTGTGAACTTTCACAAGAAACAATTTGAATGGTACTACGTATGCACGTAAAGCAACGACACTGAGCAGACACAATAAAATGCATAAATTGTATGTTTCCTTTTTGAAAGGATCATACGAATGTATAATAATGAATGATGAATGAATAAGAGGAGTTTATTAAAAAAGTATATATATAAAAGAAGGTTTGACAAATTTTTTTAAGCAACTTCTAAAATGTTTTCCTTAATTCGGCTATTTTCATATGCACAATATCTATGCCAACTACGAAGCGATTTTGGTTAAAGTTGCCATTTTTAAACAAATCAAAACTTATACTGCTCTTTACAGATACTTATGAAACTATTACAAAATAAGTGCGTGCTCTCGATTACCTTCGTTCTTCGCTTAACAATAGCTGTTTTTTTTTTTAGAGCAGACTTTTTTTATTATCAGCACCATAGGGATACAAAACTGTGAGTGTGCGGAGAATAATGAATACTTTTGTTGATAATAAATGTGAGGTCGATATCGGCTTATTTTATCGACTGTAATATATACTTACATACATACATACTTGTTCAAAGGACGTCCAAAAAGAAAAGGCTCAACCGTTTCTTGACTGTATGTTTCGCAACTATGAGTTACTTTTTTAAGCGCTTTCTGAGAGAGTTTCTCAATTCACCTTCTTTTTTATATGCAATGTATTTACCAATATAAGACAGACTTTGATAATTCGTATGTGTGTATTTATACATCTGTGTCTATGTTGTGCAAGTGTGTATGAATGTGTAACAGTTTACCCATTTTGTTTTTATAAAATAAGTAAACTGTGTAATTCGTAGAAAGTAAACCGCATCATTGATCTATGATACCATTTATGTACAATTTTCGTTACAACATTCTGCAATCTAACTACAACGAATATGAGGAGAAAGGGATTATTAGTAATTGGATCAGCCCCATTACTATTATTATTATTATCAGGTCGTTTGCAGAGATCGTCTTCCACACAATTACCTTTAGAAACCATCGAACGATAATCAGACGACAACACAGATAAAAATGAATGGGGTTGCCAGGTAAACAAATGAGGTTTTATTTTTACAATACATTTATTTTAACTATTCAATGACCTGCTGATGATATATGACTGTCGTTATATATCCTATGTTATATATATAAAATTGGAAACATTTCAGGGAGACTAGAGAATTTTAATTGTAAATTACGGACGTAAATTAATAATGATATCTTAAATAACAATAATGATATATTAATAGTCGTTATACTTGAGTCTCTTCAAATGCATTAATTTAATAATAATAAACAGAACTACTTTCTGGTAAACCACATTCAATGTTTTTATATATTAATAGTCGTTGTCATTATACTTGAGTCTCTT